TTGACCAATCAAATCAATAACCAGAGTATAATACCATCAACTGACGTGATACAACTCACTTTGACTCTGAAGATGACTACCACACAGGTTGTCGAAATGTCAGTCACTGTCAACAACAACAGTCCTATTCAGGACTATGTTCACCCCGACGATCAAACTCAACCTACTTTTGAAATGACTCCTGGGTTCAAACCTTTCACCGATAATTTACAAAATTATGAATATATATCAACATTTAATAGTATGAACAAATCAGCAAAAAAAGTTTTCCAGAAAAAACATCAAGCAAAAGCAAAATAAGAACTGAAACATTTATCATGCAATTTACTTGACCTGGTTAGCGGACATTCCTTTGTTCCATTATCTCAAATTGTGAAGGTCTCTTTGCAATTCGCTACTTTACCTATAATTCTAACCATTGTCTCGTATTGAATATGGCTTTGAAGCAGTTTTTCGCTCTGTTTAAGATATCAGACCTTTTACTGTATTCTGTATTCTGTATCTCACAACGCCTGAACATCAGGAATGATACGATCGGTAAATTTCTCCAAATGCAACAATTAATTACCAAGATAAATTCATTTCTACAGGCTCGCAGAGGTCTATTAATGTCGTCTCAAAATTCGCTTATCGTTTGGTATCAATCCAACCGAAGCGAAATGATAATTTGCATTTGACCCAAACTAATCTTAAGTGCAAGTCAGACAACCCAACGATCATAAACGTTTAGCGTCATTCTACAGTGTGCTACAGGCAAATCAGCCATAAAAAACACAGTAAATAAATCTACTACCATGTTAAAATTTGACCATTTCAAAAATAAACAGCATATTTCTAGTTAGCAAGGCGGCAGTAAGACATAAGCTTGCGCTTATGTACACCAAAGGAATTTCATGCACAGGGTAAGTCTTATGTCTTGGCTCCTTGGTCTATTTTGCATCATAAGATGAAAACAGGTAATTTAAAATTTCGTGCAGTAATCTTTTTAGGGAGATCTAGCTGATCACAAATTCTGAACCATCCAATAATGAAGCTCTAGTAAGATGTCGAACATCGATTCACAACAATCTACTTACGTTGGCGGCACGGTCATTCGCATCTTTTAAATCTTTCTCGGCTGTGTCTGCCCGTTTCTCTGCTTCAGAAAGGGTTTCCCTAAGAGTGGCCATTTTCTTCTTGATCGTCTCCATTTTGTTTATTTGAAATTACTCGAGCAAAACCGATATTAAACAAACTAACAGTGTGCAACCTTCGATGGAAAACCAAGCGATCTGAACAGCTTTGAATGACGCCCAGATTCCCAACATTCTAAGCCAGTTGCGTGCCATTCCATATATGGTATGGGGGCTTTCGACTTGCAAAAAAATTGCTTGCATAAAAACCGCTTTACGAAAGCAGGCAGTTACCTCTAATACGTATGTTTCCCAGCTTGAGAGAAAATTCAAATATTCTGGCGCTACACCTTTAAAAATTCTCTCAAAAAATTGAAAATAAATTGAAGAGCAGTTCAACTTCCACAGGCTACCCAACAAGTACTGTGAACGGCACAATTGCTAAATTTAAAGTCGTGCAAAAGTCTGTGAATCATTCTAAGAGTAATATTCCCGTGAAGAGCTAGGACAAAATGGTATTTATTTAATTGATTCTCTTTCTAAAATTCGTGAGTATTTTTTTCTTTTTAAGCGCAATGACACCAAAGATGCATACAACAAGCTGCAAACCTCACAAATAGGGACTAGCATATATAGTCTAGTAAGTAGACTTTCAAAAAAAAGTCCTTCGTCGATAAAGGCTCGCTCCGCTCACCAAGAGGTTGACCTGTAGCAAGTCTAGGTAATAAGCTGATAAGCCTCTAGCCGCGCGAAGAAGGATTAACATAAAACGTGGAAAGTATTTGTTCTTTTAAGTTCTTTAATAGACTAGAACAGGTTAACCTTTGTTGTACTATATGAAATAAACCGACGTAATGTAATAATAAACCTTTAAAGGAACAAAGTATGTTAATTGCTATAGTCGAGTTACGGTTTGATTGAGATAAGATTATCAAAACAAATACAACACATATGAAAAGGTAATATTTTATTGCTACGTAACTACGTGATCACAATAAGTTTTTACATAGTTTCAACTTGAATATTTCCGGTATTGCCTGAGTTAGTTTACCCGTCTGGACCAATAACTTTAAATTTAATATTTAGGCGTGCTTCTGTCGGTATTTGGTGATAACATCCAAACAAGGGAATAGGACGAACCAGGGACGAACACTACGTTACATATTTCGAGTTACGTTTCTGTAGGAACAGTGTAGGAATCGGTAGCGACAAAAAAATGATAATTGTGCAAGATCTTGTATCTGGCACGTTCTACTTGTGACGTAAGGGAAGTTTTCTCTGGAAGCAGAGGCGCTTGACCAATATTTTGTTCTTGTACGCCTGAGTAAAAACGCGCCCAGTTTTGAATAAGTCTGTTCTCCTTGTAATAAAATTGCAACTGCGATTTGAATGCTCGTGTAAATGTTATTTATTGGCTGTCAGAGGTCCCGTCCACAAGTGTCCGTAATTTCTTTTTTTTTTTTTTTTTTTTTTTTTTTTTTTTTTTTTTTTGCCCTCCAGTTACACGTCCGGAAAAAAAAATTAATCACCGAAATACGCTGGTTTCGCTACTCGTGTGAAAGGATAGAATCGGAATATTTTACGAACACGATGACGTCACAGCATATAAACTCAAGCGGAATAAGAATGTTTCACTGATGATCTTGCATTTTTAAGAATTGCCGTTAAACGTCAACAAAAAAGAAGTTCAATTTTTTCTTTTACGCGCGATCTCTCATACATTGCCTCTTTTATTTACGAACGTAAATTTTACGCACGTACGCACGTAAAAATTACGCGACAGTGGACATCCACCCTTATTTAGGGGAGACACAGGACAAAATTTAGATTGATTCAAGGTCAATCCGCTTTCTCAAACAGAGACGGATACGTGTGGAAGGAGGAGTAACTCACTGGAAGTCGTGCCCTAAATATTTTGTTTTATTATCACATCATTAAACTGAACATGGTCTTTTTAAGTGCTCCAAATTTGGTTCCTTGATTGATTTTCAGATCGTCACTGATCAGTTTTTAATTTTGCCGGATCAGATTCCACTTCAACTTGACAGCGAGGGGATAAATGAAAGAGAGGATGGCGAGGGGTGTGTGTGTGTGTGGCGGGGGCGATTATTTGAGGGAGGCGATTAATCGAGGGACGGCTATTCGAGGAAATACGATAAAACAGAGACAAGGTATGAAGTGTTGCGATTAAACATGAAGTTGAACGACGTTCAATTTTTTATTTTACGCGCGATCTTTCATACATTGCCTCTTTTATTTGCGAACGTAAATTTTACGCACGTACGCACATAAAAATTACGCGACAGTGGACATCCACCCTTTTTTATGGGAGAGACAGGACAAAATTTATATTGATTCAAGGTCAATCCGCTTTTTTCTCAAACAGAGACGGATACGTGTGGGAGGAATACTAACCCTTAGGGGCAGGGAGGCTACTCAATGTCTTATTTGAAGAGACTCCGCCTTGATATCCAACTCCTTACCATTTTAAATACCATTTTAAAACAAAGGTACTCTACCGGCCTTTGGTATAAATTCATTGAAAAATGGTACCCCTTTCACATACCTTCTTAACAACTCTCGGAATGACATAGGCGGGTTCTAAATATTTTAATAACACTAAATACCTATATGACAGATTTCCCAACCCTTTCATATACTTCAACTAATGAAATCCCTACTCTTTCATATACCCTGAAACCCTTTTGGGCAGAGCCTGCCCCTGCGTATAGGAGAGTACCCCCCCCCCCCCGACGACTAGCATGGTATGTAAAACAGTTGTATAAACTCCCGAGTCTCTGGATACACTCTAAAAAATTTGGAAGCGTTTCTAAACCTTACAATTGGTCAAGTTAAGGGGTAACATGAAAAGTACGGAGACTGTAGCATTTCTCAGGTTCTGATTTTATCTAATTTTGGGTGTTAGATCTATCACTATAAGGATTAAAATTCTTATTGTATGGTACTGTTTTACTGAATAAAAGTTTCCAGCACTTTTGAGTCAGTAAAGACTGAAATCCCTCGACTACTACAATAAATACAGAATAAATAATAAAAACTTTTTTTACAGTTGATATAAAAATAGTGCAACTTTGAAAACTTGTAAAAAATCTGCAGAATGTACAATAACTAGTTATTTACAAATTCTTAACTTCGGTGAGTGGAAGGAAGAGTCACTCCGCGATATTTACAGCATTGAGCCATTTACATGGATCAAACTTTTCAGTCAAAGCTATCCAGCAAACTTCTAATGAGCAGAAACAAGCTACTCTTCATTCTCCCGCACATGGTTGTTTTAACGTCTGAACCTCTGAATTAATGCCTTAAATAAAACCTATTCAAATAGAAGATAATAAGCAGCACTTTCCTGTGGTGCTGTTTATGATCTTGTACTCCTTTATGGAACGCCAGCTTTAAGGCCAAGCAGTGAATAAATCATTTTAGTAAAATCCAACTAGTGGTCTATTATCAATGCTGCGTTCTGATTGGTTGAGCTACTACTAGGCTATATGTTATCGCCTACTAGTAGCGAAAAGCGCGCGCTTTTTGGCGGCAAAAAGGATTGAAGTCTGGCTCTCGCTAAAATTGTTTTATTCTCGATATTATTGACCAACTAGTTGGATTTTACTAACTAACAGCCCTCAAGGTCTCTGAGTCAATAGCCCATTCGGGCTCGAGGAACAATTGTTAAAAATCTTTGCTACGTATAACTGCTTATAAGGCTCTTCCAATGGAGTACACCCTCCCCTCCCCTCCCCAAGGCTCCGTCTCCCAAGGTAAATGAGAGTTAATCCACTATTTTCCTTCATCCGTGAAATAATAAGCGGGGTTTAGTTTCTTTCTCACGGTGCAGCTTTCATTTCTATCAATAAGGAGAAATTCAGCAGTTCAACCCTGTCAAAAGAATAAAATGAAGGCAGTTAGTTGTTGTTGGAGTGATTTAATGCCATAAACTACAGCGAGAATGGGTAGGAACTTCCAGTACAAAGATTTCTGGGACCGCTTGGTGGATAAACGTTAGACATGATTGGTGTGCGGTATCAAAAGGGAACCATTAACCAATCATTGTTTATATGACCAAATGACCAAACAATCCCAGGAATCTTAGAAAGCTTGTGCCTATTTTTTTCCTTAGTTTATAGAGATGAGAATTGTCTTAGTTTTACATTGCTTTCATTTATGAGAAACTGAAGGTGTCGTGTTACTTCTGAATGGATGGTAAAGATAAGAAACTGTATGGCTTGAGCTTTGGAGTGCCTGTTAAGTTCCCTCTAGGTAACAAGTACTGTTGGATGCCTGACATTGTGTAGTTTTGGAGTATTTGAAGAGGCATTCTTTAACCATGTCTGCTCAAAAAGGGTGTCCTGGAAAGGTAAACTTCTATAGTTAAAAAAATACAAAATGCACGTTTATTTTTCCAGCTTACTTGTGTACTCTCGTCAACCTCAGCATCATCCACGGCCTCTCCTTTCTTTAACTTTGCGATGATCTGGAAAAAAAAAAAAAAACGCTTTTTATTAACAAGGGGAACGGGCTGAAAGCAAAATGAAACAATGCGGAACAAATTCGAGATTAAACAGCGTTCTATAGGTACAGGCAAAAGAGGCCTGTTTGACACAACCATGTACATAGATATACTTACTCCCTTTAATCTTGCGATCTCCTTGTTTTCTGAGTTCTTCTGAGCGTCATTTGTAATGAGTTTGACCCGAGATGCATATCTAAAACGAAAAATCAAAGATCGGCGATGAATGGTCAAACCAAGATGGAGGGTAGTCTAATAGGCCATTTCCGAGATCCCCTGGGCCTCTGTATCAAAACGAGGCTAAGTGCTCAGCCTTTGGTGTGGAAATGAAAACAATGCAAATAAAACTCATTTTCACAAGAAAGGTTGTGGCCTATTCCTTTCGCGCGCCTTCAGCGGAGTAGGCCTGGGGCTGACTCCGCTGTCCAGCATAGGTTTCTTGTTAAAGCTGGATAATTTCTAGGAAAGAAGATATTTTAATCCTCCTGCTACAGACCCTCCATTGGCACAATGGGCAAGACAAACAAACAAATACATAAACAAGACCGAGCAATTTCGCCTCAAACCTTGTCACAAGAATAAAAACGAGTCTGAACTCACGTCAGAGATGTAACTGTTTCATCTGTATTATAATCCGCTGGCGAAATGTTGACAAACATAAGAGTTTTGGCGTTACCTCCTGCGAACAAAGCAGAGAAAACAATCAGCAATTCCCAAAATACCCGAGGTAGCTCTGCGTACAAGAACTGTATCTAGGTATGCTGAATGTTTTGGCTTTTCTTACCGAGCGAGTCCTGCATCAACATAGTCAGTTTGTTATTTCTGTAGGGTATAAATTGCTGCTCGCTCGATAGAGCGGAAATGACATCACCAAGGGCGCTTAGACTTTTGTTGATGGACTGGGCTTCCTGTGGAACAAAGAAACCATCAAATGACAATGTGGAAGAAATGGGCGTCAACAGAATATAAAGGCCCAATTTGTGCATAACCATTTTTAGTAAAATCCAACTAGTGGTCTATTATCAATGCTGCGTTCTGATTGGTTGAGGTGCTACTAGGTATTATGTTATAGACCACTAGTAGCGAAAACCAAAACAATGGCGGCTGAATCGCGTTTTGCTAGCTAAAGTTGTTTTGTCTCGATATTTTTGACCAACTAGTTAGATTTTACTAAAACAATTATTCCTCTCGCCCTCATGGCCTCTGAGTCAATAGCCCATCCGGCCTTCGGCCTCATGGGCTATTGACTCAGAGCCCATTCGGGCTCGAGAAATAATTGTTAAATATTTTCTATTATTCAAAAGTAGTCAGCAACAACACGTGAATTAAACCTCTTAGCTAAGTGGTCAGTTTTGGAAGCACAGAATACTAGTGAAGCGGTGTTATGTTACCTTGAGTTGTTCAGCAGTTGCACCCGTCTTATTGGCACGCTCCGATCCCGCCAAATCAACCAAACTGATCTGGAATAAATAAGAAGCACGGTAAAGATCTTCCTAACTTGTTACCGTACAATGTAGCTAATCAACAAACTAATTTAAGAATAGGAGCAATTACACCTATTACGCGGCACCTCTATTGTATCAAACGGCCATCAAGCGTTTGATACTCTTACTCTGGCTTGATTTTAAAAATATGAATGATGGAAGTTCAACTTAACCAGCCCTAAACAACATAAAAGACCTGCCAAACGCGCGTGGGAGATGAAAACTTGTTACCAACAGAAGAAATGGTGATACATTTCACCCAAGATCAAGTAAAGAACTGGGCAGCATCAGTTATGACAAAGAAGAAATCACTAGCAAAAAAAAGAACTGGTCGACTAAGGAAGAACGATTACAACCGCCGTGGGAATTTGTTCTTCAGGCCATAGTTTGAAAATAACTGGCTTACTCCAGAACAAAGTGGATAAACATAAACATACCTTTCCCTTAACAACAGCTCCAGAAGTCAAGTTCGTACTTTCAATAATGATTCCAAGAATAAGATGTGAACGTGAACTCTCAGCATTCATCTCTGAGGAAAATGAAGGCTCTCTTTAGTTTGGGAAATACAGTAAAAACCCACGAGTAAGAACCTACATTTTCCAGGGTTAGCCTAAACAGGTTCTTACATAAATGGTGGTTAACATAAATTTAGGCTATCTAGGTTCTTAATAGGTTCTTAATTTCTGCAAAAAATTATGTTGTTGCTAAGAAGATTTTAGTGATCAGCACCCTTAAATTTGCATACCTTATGATTGCTTATATTTTAATATGACCATAACAGAGATCTATTCTCACATGACTTTTAATTTCTTGAGTCAAAACAACTTTATATATGTTGTGGTTCAATTTTATCCTTGGTTTAAATTTTTTTTTTTTTGTTTCAAACTCATTATCATATATTACCATACCCCAAAACAAAAGAAAATAAAATTTAAACCAAGGATAAAATTGAACCACAACATACAAATGATTGTACTGTAAAACACAATATTATAAACATTTTCTCAATGACCTCAATCAAACAACATTTATATAAGAACCTTTCTCCAAATTTTAGGCTAAAGAGGTTCTTATATAGAGGGGGTCTAAATTGCAAATTTCAGCCTAACAGGTTCTTAAATCTTAGGTTCTTACTCGTGGGTTTTTACTGTATACTAGAGCTCTATTTTCCAACGCTACGCTCAGCCGCATAGAAAATACTTTTGTCGTAAGTATGAACAGACAAAACAACACAATGATACATGGAGGTACCCGCCACCAATGGAGTTTATTATACGCATTAAAGTTACAACAAAAGCACCAAAAAAGGGATACATGGGAAAAATAAAGTTACAGAACACCAAGAGAAGCTTAGATATAAGTGGACAAGAACTAATACGAAATACTGAACAAAAATTATCAATTTGAGCGGAGTCAGATCAATGAGAGCGATGCAATAGAACGAGTAGAAACTTACGTATAAAACTGATAAACAACCCAAACGAAAAAAAAAAAAAAACAGGTAAACTGGTCGGCGTCAAATGGTGTAAAATTCACAAGGAGTAGCTCATAAAGAGTCTAATAAACCCAAAGGGAACTAAACTAAACATTGTAATCAACAACGAAAAGAAGTACATTTTCTTTACTGCACATTTCAACTGATGCTTTCCTGGGGCCCGTTTCTCGAAAGTCCCGGTAACTTTACGGGCCCGAAATCAAATACCGTAAAATTCCGAAAATAAGCCCCAGGGCTTATAATTTTCAGAGGCCCTTTTTGACGGGCTTTTTTTTGGAGGGGCTTATATTCGGAGGGGCTTATCTACGGAGGGAAATTTGCGTTTCAAAATCGATTGGGCTAGACTTAAAGTTGGAAGTAAATTTACCATTTTTGCTTTGTTTTACTTTGTATTTGAGGACAATTTTCCAAGTACAAGCCCCTGGGGGCTTATATTTGGAGGGGCGATTTAACGGAGGGTTTTTTGCGTTACCGGTTTGGGGGGCTTATATTTGGAGGGGCTTATACATGGAGGGGCTTATTTTCGGAATTTTACGGTATTCAAATCGAAATATAAAGAATAAGAGCGCGGGTCCTGGCTAGCAAACTACTCCATTTTGTTTCATGAACTGACAGTTTTATCGTGTCAGATGCAAAACTATTGAAACCTCGATCTTTAATGTAAACGGAGACAGCTTACCAGGGGCCCGTTTCTCGAAAGGCCCGGTAACTTTTCGGGCCCGAAATCAAATATTCAAATAGAAATGAAAAGAATAGGAGCGCGGGTCCTGGCCAGAAAACTTCTTCATTTTGTTTCACTAACTGATAGTTTTATCATGTTAGATGCAAAACTACTGAAACCCTGGTCTTTAATGTAAACGGCAACAGCTTACCGGGCCCGTTAATTATCGGGACTTTCGAGAAACGGGCCCCAGGCCCGTTAATTATCGGGACTTTCGAGAAACGGGCCCCTGGTCCGGAATTTGGAGCTTCATCCCAAAAAGAATTTCAACACTGTTTGCATGAGAGTGCTCCTTGATAATTTCAGAATCAATGAGATCTTGGTCACACTCTTACTTGTAGAGGCCACGTGTCTGTTTTCAGACCCCTTTTCAAATATGTTCCAGAGTTCTTCTTTTGTTGCGGCTTCCATCAAGATTGAGCCTTGTACAAATACAAGACCCTGAAAATACAATAACAGTAAAGTTAGCAAAAACTTTCTTATCAAAAGTCAACTTGTTCAACAGCATTAAATCTATGTCTTCTAACGAATGAACAAGAGACAATATACATTAATTACCTTCTTGTCTTTCTTGATATCCAGTTTCGCTGGCTTCAAAATATTAAGGATTTCAAAGAATTTTCTTTATTTTTAATGAAGGCATTGGCATTAGCTGTCATAACTTTCTAATGCTAAGAAACCCCTCGCTGTAAACAAGACTTATCTAGCATTGCTTGACCCTTGTAAAATGTGATGAAAGCGCAGATCACTTTTTACAAAACTACAATAGGTCCACTCAAACCTCCCTAATACGAACTCCAGAGGGACAGATCCAGGTGTCTGTATTAGGAAAAGCTTCTGTTTAAACCACCTTACACCTACAGTAAGATAAACTGCAATGCAGACATAGTGGGCGACAGTTAAACCTGCGACAAATACAGAAAATCCCACAAAACTCATCAACGAAGTAACTACTGAGACTAACTTGCACAAATTTCCAAAAACATTTCGCTCCTATACAAACCGATTACGGCAATCTGACATGCACTCTGAACACGGTTGAAATATAGGTGAGAGAAGAAGAAACATATTGTTTTACTCTTCATTTGTGGTACTGTATCCAGAGCATACCAGTATAGTTCTCCGCTTGAAATTACTCACATATACTACATATGGAACTATCACCACAAAGCTATGATTGACAATGTTGATTTCTTTATCCCACAAAAAGGAGATAAAACGTTTTCGGAGTCAAAGGATACCTCCTTGCCATGAGGGGCAAGTAAATCGATTAGTCTGTCATTGTATAACTCCAGCATATAACAATGGACTTTGAATGAGAATTTGGACCTGTGAAGCAAAAATAAAAAAAGAAAGAATTACGGATGAGTAAAAAATTATTGCACATATTAGTCCAATATTGCAGAATAGTGTGACACCAACATTTCCCAATTCCCTATTCGACCAGGAATCAGGTCGACGAAAGACCACTTTGTGGATCTGCTACCTCCAAATTAATCAACTTTTTTATTTTCATTTCTTATTTATTTCTTTATCCCTTTAAATTTAAGTAATTCAAACGGCCAGGGCTGTAAACAATTTTTCTTTTTAGAGAGGAAAAAAGTCCGATGAGGTCACCATTTTAGGCTTCGTTTTCACACGGCCCACCAGACGAAATGTTCCACCGGTTGAAAATTCGTGCATTTAGGTGTTCCGTTCACGGGGCGGAACGACCTTAACCGTACTAAAATTTGGATGCCTAGACGTTCCAAAATTTGAACGCCAAATACGAGGTCACCTCATAATGAACGGTTCCGCGTGAATGAAAAGTCCGGTCAAGTTTTTCAATCGGTCAAAAATTCGAACGGCGATATGTGAACTTCAGTTAAGCGGACACATGCACCATAAAAGTTGTCAGAAATACTTAGCGTTCACTCTTTGTAATTTCTGTAGTTACTATGTAAATCTTCAGGTACTAATAGGTAGCCTTCAGTAATTGGTCTGTCCGTTTATCATATCCGAATCCGACGGTAGGTCGGATTTCGAAGGGAAATAGTCGGACATTGTCCGATAATCAACCGTTGTTTTGAAGCACTGCAAACCTGATCCAACACCATCCGACAAGCCGTTCAAGGTGAGATCCAACATGTAACATTAGCAACTCCGTTTTGTTTACTTAAGTTGCCGGCAATTTTCCACTTTGCTTCCCTGATAGCAGAGGTCTCTCATGACGAGGCAAAAATTCCTTCCTCTCATTTTTGACTCGTCGTGAGAGATCTTTGCTAGCAGGGAACCCCTTTGCATGGGTATCTGAAAGAACATAAAGCTAACTTGAAACCTCCGTCTAAATTAGAGGGTGTATAATATTAATCCGGCAATGTGTGTTGTAGTTCAAGTTATTCTTTACTTTGAAAAATGCCACTCGGAGAAAAGGAAAAACGAAAATATAACTGGATTGAAATTTTCGAACGAATGAAACACCATACCAAAACATTTACTCTTCAAAGACCTGCAACTGATACACAGTGGAAACAAAGCTAAAAATACAATATGTTAAAGCAGAGTGTGTTCTACTTTCGCTTCATTCTTTGCAAGTGGAAAGGAGAACATAAGTTTATCAGTACTAAAAAAACCTACGTGGATACTCACTTCTGTTCATTCATCAAGTTAAAAATGGCTTCCATAGCACGTGGAGCAATACCAGGTGACTTGAGCTCTTTGTCTCCAATCATGGTGTAAGTAAAAGAGGTTAAAGAACAACAAGAAGACTTTAAAGTGCTAAGAACGACAATGATGTTTAGCTACGAGAAGTGGTAGCTTTCTTTCATGCAGAACGTCTCTACTCTTATTCAAACCTTCCTTTAACTCGCCTCAATAAAAACTCTCTGAGGCAGTTCAATTCATAAGCTATTTGAAAAAGTGAAATAATATTCTTTCCACTAATGCAAAATGGTGATTTAAAGGATATGTTTTTCCAGAGCCAGTTTGCCCATAAGCAAAAATACACACATTGTAGCCATCAACAGCTGACTGGATAAGATTCTGCCAGAATAAAACAAAGCAATTTTACTGACTTGCATTTTAAAGTGAATGACGACTCTTGTTAAACTTACCATTGAAAAGTTTCATCGATTTAACCATAACGGAGCGCTTCATCAAATGCCGAATACATGTCAGTGTCGTAAGCATGCAAAGGGTAACCAAGTCGACCACTGACTCAACGACATGCATGACTGAAACACACCTCAGCGTGTACTTCCCTTATTTGATTTAAATCTTAAAAGGTCTACCTCACAATTTTTAATGGTTCACTTTGAAAACCCAAGACACTCTTTTAACCCAAACAATATCACTTCACGAAAACTGTTCATAAGACTTGCTTTAGTTGTTTTTGACCAAATGAAGCGCCTTTGCTGAATTTGACCGTGTCCTTGAAATTATCTGCAATTTGCGCTCTATTGACTGATTGACTTTATATTTTCCTCTTGATTTGTTTACAAGAATTTTCTGTTCGACGAAGTAAATGTATTTCCAATTGAAAAAGGAACAAACAAACAAACAAACAAAAACAAAACAATCTATTTACAAAAAACAAGACTCACATTCGTGTCCTCAAAGACTTTTTCTTGGCCATGTTCGGGAGTGAACACTTGATCGTACTGAAAGTCTTTTGGACCGCGACTTGTCTCCACTATTAGAGTATATTCATCCGGGGACTTGATAACTGAGTAATTACCCTACAGTGTCGAAAATAATAACATGTTAGGCTCCTCGTATCTAAGCGGTTTTGAGTGTCCGATTGGTTCCGAGGGGGCCATGGCTCTAATGCTGTCACGAACTCGGATTTTTCTTTGATCAATATTCAAAATTTCTGATCCTCTGCCGTGCTTGAATCTACTCTCTCTCTCTCTCTCTTATTAATTTCCTTACAATACACTTTAGACATCGCCGACCACTGTAGAATATGTTTTTCAGATGTGAAACTGTAAATTGCCTACTATAAAGGTTTTCACCTCTCAATTCCCAGCAAGTTAATTATCTGTGTTACACTCATTGCCTCAACAGCGAAGGGCAAAACAGATAAGAATCACCCTGTTAACTTGCCATAAAATTAAGAATTTCACTTTTAATTCATCGACAAGTTAATTAAAGCAACACAGAGCAGTACCAATACATTTTTTTTCACCACAGTTTTCGACATTTTCTGTACAGCCAACTAACTAACACTGGCAACGTTGTGAACCCAATTCTCTATTTTCCAATTGTCCATAATACACTCTGTTTGCCCCCCAAATTTTGCATAAACCATTGTTTTTAAATGCTCCTGGGTGTATTGCATTTTCCCAAGAGTATTTTAAGACAATAAGTTATGCAAAATTTGGGGGGCAAACAGAGTGTATTATGGGCAATTGGAAAATAGTCAATGCTTTTTTAACCATCAGAATCTTGCGCAGAATAATAAGGACGGACAGAAGGCGATAATGAACTTTTTCCGTTTCATTTAATAGGAGAGACTTTCGCGAAAATAATCCTGTTGTTAGCACAATCTTTAAAACATCAGAATTGAATTGTCTTTAGTGCCAACAGAGATGACTCACCCGCTCCTTTTCGGATTTGCTCAGCGGACGTGCTCGGCAGTAAACACGGATTTTCCCCTTCATGTCTTCCACCATATTGTAGTACTTTTTACGAAGAATCTAGACGAAAAATGTTTTAAAATTAATAACGAAATTGCATTTTTCTCTTGTTTGATGTTTTACCCGATTTCCAATTGAGAAAACTAACGGTTATTCAAAATCCATAGCCTGTGTACAGACCCCCCACCCTCCCCTCCAGCTAAAAATCCACCGTTTCTTCCTGTCTAGTTATAGTTTTACTCCACTTTTGGTCTAAACACCTGAACGAATGTTTGAAGTTTTTGTTTCGGGTGGATATTTTGATGGTAGAGTGATAAAACTCAAGGCAAGGCAATGAGAAGACCTCCAATTCATTCCGTTCTTTCAGCAGAGCTCATAGTCTGGCGAGGGAGAGGCTGATGTTTCCGAGTGGTACATGTCCGTCAAGTAACGGAAGAAGGCGCGAAATTCCGGAGCAAGCGGGGATAAGGAGTTCAGTTTCTGAGGCCATAAAACAAATCACAAGGAGAAAAAGATGGATTAATGCAGAAAAACAGCTACACAGCGACTACAGCCGTCTCTCTCCTCACTCCTTGCCGCTGGGGGCATTTCGAAGGGGCGACGGCTTTATTCGCTAGCTGAAAATTCACATGGAGTAACTTACTCTTTCACTGTTGTAGTTATCTGATAGAGTTTTGTTTTCTTCTCTCAAGGACTTCACTTCTTTAGACAACTCATCCACCTTCTCTTGAGCAGCAAGGCCTTCCTGTGTATGATAAAAAAATAACCATGTTATTTGTAGCTGTAATTACAGGCAGTAGTTATAGGTGGTGCTTATTACCAATACATGTTGCTATGTTGATTCTCTTTGAACATCGATAAGCTTACTAAACGAAAACTGAAAGTAACTTACAACAAGGAGAAATGATAATTAGTTTAAATTAGAAATCCTGACCGACCTGAGCAGCAACTTCAAGTTTTGAAAGAGTATCCTTGTCTTTTTTGCTGTCTGCTAACAAGGCATCATGTTCCTGAATAAAAAATGATGTTCATTATAATTCATTAACAAATTTATTTCACTTCATTAAAATTACTAACTGGGCTCATCGACAAATGAAAAACAGCAGAAATATACCTTCTTAAGACCTTTCAGTTCTTCTTCTGTTTTTGTTAGAGTTTCCTTAATCTTCTCAAATTTCTTCTTCTCCATTTCTAAATTCTTTGTCAAGTCTATTGAAAGATTATAACAAATACTACAATTGAAAAGCAGTGTCTGATTTATTTTCATTTTTTCTTTTGGTTAATTCCACCGATTACACCAAGCAACGGAACTGTAAAGGAGAAAAATAAGTGGAACCAAAAGAAAGAGAATGTTGGTGAGGATATCAGGCAGATTATTAAGAAAATGGAGAAGACAAAGAAGAAATGTAGAATCTAGTGGCGACAACAGTGATTAGAAAAGTTGTGTAATGATGGTGTAATGAGAGCAATTGGTGTTGTTGGTGATGTCTATGTAGGCCGCGTATTTTGGTGGGATCAGAGTGGGCGAGTACTTTTTGGCGAATCCCTGTAGGGATTTTCGTGAGAGGCCAGACTGATGATGATAATGATGATGATGATGATGATGATGATGAAATTAGATGGTGGTGGTGATGACAACACTAACGATGATAATTATAATTGTATCCATGATCTCACCATTGTTAATGGGACATGACTACATGATGAGGATTATAAAGCTAACGAGAATGATGATGTCGTAAAATACCCAACCTTTCATTTGTTTGTCTTGCTTCTTTGCAGCAGCTCTCTGTTGAGGGAGAGTGAAAAAAACCGTCAACACAATACCATAGGTTTATTAACATTTCCCAAATTGGGATTTTCAATGTAAATTTACAATCATCAGAAAAACCTAATTACAGTTCTTAATTATTTTGAGATGAAGTAAAATAAATATAATCCTGAAAAAAATATAACCTAAGTCAGAGTATGGATGCACAAAGTTCCCTACGGGCATGACGTTTGAAAAGATCAGTGTTCATACTGTTCTTGGTATCCTTGTTTAACTTACTCTATGATACTATTGTGCGAAAGAAAAATGATCTCCGCGCAGTTGAGGTTCTCCTAAATGTAATGTCTAAACGATCTCTAATGGTTGTGGAAATATGACCATATTTTCTTCTTCCAGTTAGTACCCTGGCGGTAAAAATCTGTAATAGCTGCAGTTTCTGGATATTCTGTTGTGTTGTTCCTGACTACACGGTAATAATTTGCTGAACAATTAGGAATTCAAGATGACTGATTAGGAATAAAAAAGATATACAGTGTAGTAACGTAAAGTAGTATCCAAATTTAACAAAGAGACATTTTTTCTTATAGGTGGCCGGAGCTTATAACTGAACTCGTGCCTATAATTCCATTGATTGGACTTACGCTAAAATGCTAAAAATGTCTCTTTTATTTTCTAAGAATTTTACCTTGACAACTCTTATTCACATGACGCGCAAAGAAACATGAGTAAGCTAACCTTATACAATAACAATTGAAATTTTATTACAATAATTATAGAAAAATTAACAACATTGTCTGGTACCTCTTCTGCAGATGGTCCTGCAGGTTTAGCTTTTGTCTGTGCCTCCTTCAAATCCTTTTCAAGTTGTTTGATTTTGGCGTGATCCTCCTAAAAAAGTTCAAATTTGACAAAAAAAAGCAATTACCACAGGGTTGGGGACCTACCATAATATATGAATGTTCTAGCCTGTTCCAAGCGTTCAGGGATCGTTCATTTTTTATGAGAGGGGGGGGGCTGGTGGGATTTTTGGGGGGAGCACTCGAAAAAATTGGCTTGAAAGTGGGGGCCAGCCGAAAAAAAATGAAGGAAAGGGGGGGGGGGGTCGGACGAAAAAATTAGATTAAAAATAGGATAAGAGATGTTTACAAATGGAAGAAAAATTGTGCTCTTTTATTTATAACAAATATGCTAAAACAGTTCCAGGGTAACAAGAAAACTTCTCAACAGCTTTTATATTTTATAAGGACAGTAAACATACCATAATAACAGTCTTGAAGAATAGCAACAACTTTCTTTTCATTCATAAAAATGTTGTTGTCAAGCTCATATAATTAAAACCAATAATTTGAGTCCTGAATTGGAACTGACCTCGTTACCAGAGCTTTTCTCTGAGAAATTTAATGGGAGGGGCATGAAACTACTACGAGGTGTCCCCTTCCTCATTTTCGACGTTCTCTTCGATCTCGTCGTCGCTGTGTTCCTCTTCTTCTTCCTCCTGTTCTTCTTCGTTGTCTTCCTCTTCTTCCTCTTTGTTCGTGTCTCCGACGTTTGAGCTATAATCTTCAGGATGCAGCAAGATATACATCCTGTTTCTTACTTCTGGCTTAAGGTTGGTAATAAGCCTGCTTTGTGCCGCGTTGCTGAAGTAGCTGGATTGCAGTAGGTGAGCGATGAATGCTGCATCCCGTGTTAGCAACAATGCTGCTACATCTTCAACGTTTATGCACGCTTCCGGAATTGTCATGGAGGGAGGATAAAGAAGACAATTGGGAAGCTCTTTTGCAAGGGGATTTGCAACGCAGATATGATACACGCGTAGGACGTTGTTTTCAAACCGTTTGCGTTTTCTGCCCTTTGATTTCCTACGGTTTTGTTTTAATTTTCTTTTTTTTGACACATAGGGTCCTGTTAAGCCCTTGAAGACCTGGTCAAAGGTCTCCTTCTTTTCTTCGAGGTTTTCTAATTCCCCTGAAACCTTGAGCTGCTTTGCCTCAATCCTAGCGATGTGTTGCACATTGAAGTCATGGTGGAATTTCTTGTCAGGCTTCAGGGTAATGCCATTCGCCTGGAAGAGCGTGGAGTCATGATCACTCAGAATTTTTAACAGCCCTTTCAGTTTCTCAACAGCCTCTCTGTGTTCTTTTATAACGTAGTTCAGTCTCCGTCCATCACTAAATTGACTTTTCATTCTTTTGAGTGAGGATTTCTTAAAAACAGCTTTCTAGCTTTCAGCTTTCTTTCACTAAATTATGTGAAATGTAACAAAACGAAATTTTAATGCAGTAACTTTTTTAATGCCTTATGTATTTTTTTATTCATGGGGGGGGGCTCCAAAAATTACTCTGATGAGGGGGGGCATGCGAAAAAAATCGGAAATTGGGGGGGGGGTCATACAATTTTCAAATTACACTCCTCCAAATCCCACCAGCCCCCCCTACCCCATAAAAAATGAACGGTCCCTCAGATAGTAGAGTGCGGTGCGAAATATGAAAGCCAAGGAGGAAAAAAGCAAGAGGGAGAGAGGAGGGAAGTTTTACAAGCGTTCATTTTTGCCATCACTCCCTAACCCACCCTTTGCAGTCTTTCCACCTCATGTCGGCTTTGTGCTGTCCTCACAAAAAGAGCATGAGAGCACCTGGATGATGTATTAGATGAGGATGGAGCAAGGTTGTTTGAGAGAAGAAGCTGCATAATAAGATGACAAACAAGAAAAAGAACTTCAAAACAATGACTTCTTACTTGTGCTGCCTTTTTCAATGCTTCAACTTGCCCTTGAAGCTTCTCCTTTTCTTTGTTTGCTTTTTCAAGGTCTGCAGCCGCTCTAGAGTCCTTCAAAGAAAAACATCGCATGATCTAGTAACACTTCCAATTCTAATTCTGATTTAGATAATGGCATTTCAAAATACACTGTATGGTATCATACCATATTGTATGTGCTACTTTGCCACACACAAAATCTATTTTTTGTCCAGCGTCAGTTATTAAGACAGGTGTTGTACTTCTAACTTCTAATGTTTGTGGACAAAACGTTATAGCCTTAACATCATTAAAGCGTTTGCCTTTTCCAGAACAATCATAAGGAAAGTATTCAGTTTTCAAGACAGTGAGATCCTGATATGATAAACCCCAATATGAACAAACATCCCAGCATACCAATGACTTCTTCACCTGCTACTGATGTGGTAAAATTTATGGAACAGAACCTCAATGTAACCTTGCCCCGTTATAGCAAAAGTCTTTCCTAAGTTTGTACTCCTCAGGCACTTTGTCACGTCATGAATGTTCCACAAAAAAATGAAACTTAAGATTTTTTTATAACTTCTACTTTTGCACACGCTTAATAATTATTATCATTTGAAGCAAATTTTTCTTTCTTTTCATTGGCCGAAAGCCCACCACGTGACCTGCAAATAACTGCCTACAAATAATGGTCTGCTCATGTGCAATGCCGTCCAACTGTGTTTGGCTGCAAATAATATTCTGCTCATGCGTAAAGGAAACCGTGCTTTTCTCCTTCTTGCGATCGCTCTTGCGTGAAAATGGCAGATCAAATTAAAAAAAACAAACTCGGTGATTGCGTGATAAAACAATTATTGAACTCCGTTATCGCAAAATATCGTGATTTGTCAGTGTCTCGCAGATCAATTATCTGCTCACCACAGACAAATCACGATATTTTGTTCAAGCTCGTCCAATAATTGTTAACCATTCTGCATACCTTTCTCTTTGCCCCCAATCCAGTATCAATCTTGGAATCTTGAGGTTTGACTCCACCAGCTTCAAGCTCTTTTATCTGCAAACATGACAAAGGATTCTTTGTCTATTCCTTGTTCACTAAATATATACAGCTGGATGGTCTGTACCACGCATTCAAGAGGGAGGGGAAAGATGAAAAACAGCTAACAGGTAAATGGAAAACCATAATGCATAAAGCCAACCAGGAGAATAAGAAAATATTTGCTTCAAATAAAGGTTATTTAGCAGAACTTTTCATCGTCTTAAACATAAGGCTAGCTAAACAAACTCTGATAACTAATGATAAACAGTCACACTAAACAGCCTTTAGCAGAACAAAGTGGTTTATCATTAGTTTTGTTGGCAGGACATCACACCAAAAGATAAGACTTTGAGAATGTTACCTTGAACACGCAAACTGTCCAGGAAATGAAAAAATAAAAAATATTTTCTGAACACTTAGGTTCACAACTTTCTGCTCCATACAATATCTGTTTCTCAAAGAACAAGATTGCCTTATTATACTATTATTATTATGTGTCCTCTAAAACACTAGAACATGACTGCCAGTCATTTGCTGACCAGTATTCACAGATGTTTCTGTAGATGCAGCGTAAGCCCAGAGGACATAGAAACTCTATTAAGTCCCAAACAACTAAAGATAATAAACAAAACATAATGATAACAATGCTCAATAACAGGAAAGAACAAAGATGCATGGTAATCTGAACAAATGAATATAACAGACCCTCTTTTGAAGAGCTTGTATTTTCTTGTTGTTTTCTTCAATTTGCTTCTTCGACTTTGCTTCTGCTTTATCTTTGGTATCCTTCAGCTCTTTAACTCTCTCAGCACGCATCTTTGCATTGGCATCCTATAAATAATAATCAGTGGTAAATTAGTGACTTGAACAGCAAATAACAGGGTTTGTGCTTCTGAGGAGTTTCAAATAGGTATCCCAAGGGTTTAAATGACTATTAATTTCCCCAAAAAAAACCATTTACACAGTTAGTAAGTCAGGCTGTCTGTTTGCAAGCAATAAACAACTTAAGAGCACTTAAAATTAAAAAAAAAATAAGTCCACATAATGGAAATTTAACATTAGACATTAAAAATCCCATCTTGCAGGAGGTAAATGAGCTGGTTATTTTAAAAGAATGCCCAAGGTGTTGGTTTGGACATAAGTCGCATTTTAAGGCCAGTGCCCTAACAAAATTTCATCATCCTCTCATCTTCTCACAGTCTGTTCCTTCTTTTTGCTGAATCAAACATGAATAGCACTGGATAAAAATTATTGCATTCCACAACAGTTTTACTGACCTGTAACTCCTTTTCTGTTTGTTTTTGTTGTTCGATATTCTTGGTTAGAGTTTCCACTTTTGCTGTCAGAGTTGTGACAGATGCCTTTACAGTTAAGCTTTCTTTTACCACCTTTTCCTTCTCCTTTTCAAGGGCAGCCTAAAATATATAATTATACAGAAATTACAGACAATTGAGTCAGCCGAGGCATGCAAACACAGACCTAGACAACAAGGGACAAGTGAATTTTTTTAAAAAAATGACTTAACCCTGTGTTAACTTGGGTTATTATTTCTACAAGTGCCATAAATATTTCTTTGCACTGACCATTTTCTCTTGATATGCACCAATCTCTTTGGCTGTGTCAATCGGAACATTTTCTAATAGTTTTTTCTCTAATTCTTCTATTCTCTTCTTAGCCTCTGCCAAAGCCTGTATGAAACAGACATAATGATTATCACATACAATATTACTACAAGAAAATAGGTTTTAAAAAAGGCATCTGATGGCTGAAAGGGACAGATATCTCAAGTGGCCAAAATAATGGTCTGGAACAGCAGCAAAGAGACCCAGCAACCCAACCATTTAAAAATGACTGGAAAACATCAGCCAAGTTAATGACCTCCTATTTATTTTTGATGGCCAACAACCTCAAAGAAGACAAAGACAGTCTTTCCAAAACTTCATATATATATTGTTATTCTGTTGCTTTCAATAAACAGAAGACCAAGGAAAGTAAAGATTATAACAAAGATTAATTTCAGCTACCGGAGCTAGATCAGCAGTTGAAGGTTGCATACTATCTTTGTACCTCAAAGAAGACAAAGACAGTCTTTCCTTTTTTTTTCCCTTTTAGTCTTTTTTTAGAAGGTTACCAAAAAGGTTTTTCACCTGCTCTGGCAAAGACAATTAGTGTAGAAATTGAAACCATTATTTGTTCCAAATCACTCAGACTTCACCAGCGGTGTGAATTGACAGGTTGTGTAAAAGAAAAGGTACAAAACCCAAGAGAGAATTGCAAATTGCTTGTAGGTCCAGTCCCAAGAAGGAAGGTGTTGTTTTCCTTAGTAAAATGTCCTGTCAGTGACTAGCTAGGGCATTAAGGCTCCTTCTTAAATGTTCTGCAAGTGGTATAGGATTTAATATATGGAGCCAAAACCATTGTGGAATTGTATGCATTTTAGACACTCTACTGCTGTACAGTTACAATAGTTATTATTGTTTTTAGCCTCAATGAATTAGTGATCATGATATAGCCACACTGTAGTATCTGGAAGTGTTACTCAGCTGGCTTCAATGAAGAAGGCTACATGACAGTAAATGATCAACACACTGTACCTCTTCCTTGTTCTTAATATCAGCTTCTAAAACTTCTTTAGTGGAAGCCAGCTGTGCTTTCAACTCATCTACTTCTCCAGAGGAGCCTTGTCTTAAGTTGGCTAGTTCCTGTAAACAAGTGTAAAGACTTAAACATCACACAACCTCTGGCTTTATAGTGGATTTATTTACCTGTAAGTACTTCATTTTGTACAATAGTGGCATTGACATTATTGCAGGAAAAAAAATCAGGGGGAATTTAATGATAGAAAGTAGATAAACTCTTACAATAATATACACTCCCCTCCCACTCCTATCCAATCCCCACAATGACAAACAGTTCTTGGAAAAAGAAAGATTCATAGCATTCTCAACAATGTGTAGAAAAGCTTTTAATAGAAGTATTGGGAAATAACACTGATCAATGTGCAGATATTGAAGATAGAGAAAACCTTTGTGGTGAGCAAGACCAAAATTTAGAGCTGGGGCCAGTTGTTCAAATGGTGAATAATGCTTCTTCTTTTTGCCAAAGATCTCTCAAGATCTGTATATCTACGATTCACATCCATAAAGTAAAACAGAAATCACAATCGACCATAATAATCTCAATTTCACTCAACACAAAATTCTCCCTAATTGTTATCTGCTGGATGGTGATTTACATGTATGTGGTGGATAGTGCAATCCAATGTTTGAGAACCTAGGGCCAGAAAGTCTTGGCTCCTCTTGAAATGAGGAATTTGACATTCAATTGCACTTTACTGCTAACCTTCTTCAGAGCTTCTATTTCCTCTATCTGAGCCAAAGTTGTAGCTTTTTCCTGTTCTAGGTCATTATTTGCCTTTGCAAGTTCCTCCTCTAGTTCAGTGAGTTTGCTTGACATCCCCTGTAAAAAGAAACAATAACCTATAAAACACATTTCAAAAAATATTGTACCAACAACCTTAATTTCAGCAAAATGATATGAACAAAGAAGTGGGGATAGAAGGAATACAGCAAATAATATTCAAGGCTAGTTAATAATGTCGCAAACAGGTGATGAATAATTTCCCATACCTTTTGCAGTCAAGAGGACACTAATCTTTTCGTGCAAAGGGGGAAGAACCACTACCATTTACTGGAGATTGCTTTGGAATAAACTGTGCCAAAAGATGTCAGAAGCAACCCATCAAGACCAATATACTATATCCCTATGAAACTGCAACAATTTTTTCCTCACCTCTACATCCACTCCATCACTTGAGAAAGATGTGGCCACAGGGGCCCCATCACCAATCTCATCAAGCTCATTCCTCAACTCCTCAACCTCTTTCTCCAATTCAGCAACTTTCTCTGTGAGCTCTGCATTCTTCTCTGTTAGTTCGTTGTTATTTTGCTCCTGTTCTGATACTTTCTCTTCCAGGGCCTCTTTTTCTTTTGTTAATTTTTCCACTGAAACTTCTAGTTCATCCCTTGCTGCCTCAAGCTGACTGACTTTGTCCTCCAGTTCTTCAACTTTGCTGCTGCTATCTGCAACTCCTAGATGCAAACAGGATGTAAAGTTAGCCAAGTTAGCTCCTCGGAAAAACTTGTTTGCCATGTTAAGAGGCATTTTGCTGAATATAGCTAGACAGCTGCAAAGATTATCAATAACAGAGATTTTTGTTATTTGAAAGGTCTATACATTGCTGTTCTACTTCTTTTTTTTTAAATTATTTTTTGTTGTTTTCCATATTGTTAAATAAATGAAGACTACACGTATAAATAGAGACATAAGGCAAGTAGCGGCAGTTTGGATTTTTGACAATGTTATTACTGAAGGTGATTTTGATAGAAACAGTGAGTGATAATGGTGAAGTTAACTGCATGCATTTGTTTGTTGTTTTGTTGACTTGATTTATGCAAGACAGTTAAGCACAAGAACACTGAGTGTTCACCTGCAGTGGCAACAGTCTCAGGAACTGTTCCTTCCTTCAACATAGTCATGACAGCAATTGTATTTTCAGCCTTTTTCAGTTTTTCCTCCTCCTGCTTCAACTTTTCCATCATGGCCTGTACTTCTTCAGTCCTTAAAATATGAGCAAACAGAGTAGAGGTGAAACTTGGAACACAGCAAGTTTGCCCTTACAAGTCAGTGTTTTGAGCTAAAACGATGTTTGCTGACATAATAATATTATATTTAGTATTCTCAACTCACTTAAAATCTTGTTTAGTCTGTTTTGCCAAAAGTGTGTCGTTTTGACAACACACATGACATCAAAGGGACAACAAACAAAGTAATTAGAAGAAGTTCAAAGAATAAACCTTGTTGCTCCCCAACCCCTTGTATATCAGAGTCACGATTAAACCAACATGATAAAGGAGCAATCCACTAATATGACACCTACATTCAGATGCAGGGCAGTCACCAAGATTTTAAGTTGTCAGGTATATGCACTTAGTAAGCAGGGAATTGAACAGGCAGGAAGTTTGTTGGGTTCTATTTTGCTTTTGTTTCCTACAAAACTAGCCAGGGGTCATGCTCTGACATAGCAGTCAGGGAAAACCTTAAGTCCCAGGACTTTAGTGAGAGCCCCGCAGACATCATTGACAATAAAAGCTAAACACCAAATGGTGGGGTCATGTTCAAAGTTTAGAAAAAGAGAATGGAAAATGACAAATTGCAGTTGTCACATCAACTAACACTAACCTGTCCTCTTCACTTGGTTCCTCTCCTTCGTGTTCTTGTCGATATTGCTCTTTCCACTTTTCAAATTCCTCTTTCATTTTGTTCTGTTCATCAACTAATGCCTGCTTCTCAGCTTCAGCAGCTTTTAGTTTTTCTTCTGTCTCATTATCATCAACTTGTCCTGCAGACGCTGTCACTACTAACAAACCTTGAAGCTGCTCTCGTAGAGCTGTGCACTGCTGTCTTGTTTCACGAAGCTCCTGAGACACAAAACATGCAAACAGTTAACATTCTGAATAAATCATTTGCTATTTTAAGTAATCCCTTAAAAAGGACCTTATTCAATACACTATTCAAATCTTAGCCTGCATCACAAGCATAATCTAACCACAGCTAGTACACCAGAAGTGCTAGTGTGTTTTGAATTTCCCTTCAACCTGATCGGCAAATCAACAATGGCTTTCTAGCAGGCTAAAAATGATGCATACTCAAATCCTGGTACACACATGGGGGTGGCGGATCTAAAATACAGGTCACTTTTCCACTGGTCAAAGTACAGGCCACCATGATACAGATAAATGAATAGCATTAAAAGTGTCTCCTGGCCATAATATTTTAACAAAATGCTCTATTAGATCAAGAGGAATCTGTGTGGGTTGGTAATTTATCTGTGGAGCAGTGACCTGTACCCTTGACCTGTGGAATGTGACTTGTACTTTAGACCTAGCCATGGTGCAGGCTATCAAAACCTTTACACTGTGTTTATTCACAACATTAGTGTAAAAACATTTTATCCATTAGCGACTCAAACAGCCCTTAACCTACACAAAAAGAATTGCATTGACTAACCTTTTTGTTATCAGTAGCTTGTTTCTCAAACCTTGTCTTTTCCTTGCCAAGATGACTGACTTCCTCCTCTAAAGATACAATTCTTTCTTTACCCTCTTCAAGTTCTTCTTTATACTTTGTTACTTCTGTTTTATTCTTCTCTAGTTCTTCTTGTAGCTTTGCAATCTCCTGAGTTAGTCGCTCCTTTTCAGCATTGTCAAGAACTGTAACAGTAGTTGTAGTTGCAGCTGCTGCAGCAGCAGCACTGACTGGAGCAGCTTGGTCAGTAACTTCATCTTCTTCCTTGACTTCTGCCTGTGTTTCTTCTTTAAGAACTTCAGTTGTTTGTGGCTCTGTTGATTCAGATTTCACTGCTGTTGTTGTGAGCACTGTAGTTGTTGTTGCTACTGCAGCTACTCCACTGTTTACAAAGAGAAAAATGTAACATAATCATCATGATCATCGGAATGTTTGATTGCAAAGGTAAAAAATCTGTGTTTCCCTGCCCTTTGGGTATGTTTATAACACATTCCAAAATTAACACGGGGTAACTGAGATGTTGGTTTGGTACACAGCTGAAGAACTAATTCAGCTGCCTTGTATGAGACAAAAAGGAATGGTAAAGCTGGACTTTGAAGACCTACACATCAAATATGATCTTCATCCTTGTTTATTACCTACACATTAGTGAATCTGCTAAATAAGTTCTTGGCTTGAAAAATAAAAAAAGACCCATAGCTGGATACATGAAAGAGCTGGAAAGCAACTGAGAAGAAGACTGGAAACAGCTGAACGAAGAGATAAAGGCAGGAGAAAGAGAGTGGGTCCAAAGAGACTTGGATAAAGAGAGCAGGGAAAAAAATTCATGAGTTAAGACTGGGATAGGGGACTGTGGTATCAGCTGTTCCACATGACAAAGACCACTGCATAGAGCTGATGTAATTTCCTGTCCTATATAGAACCCACTTGGGGAAAACGAAGTTATCATGAAGATGATTCAACTTACCTTGCTTTTAATGCCTCAATTTCTTCTTGTAGTTTTTGCAGCTCAGCTTTAAGTGCACCTTCTTCACTTGCATGCTTCTCTGTCAATTCATTAATCTTCTTAGTTTCTTCTTCCTCTCGCTCTTTTAACACCTTTTCATGCTCCTCTTGTTTTTCCTGTTTTTCCTTCTGAACAAGTTCTAGCTGCTGTTTCAACTCGGTGACTTCTCCTTGATGTTTTTCTTTCAAAGCTGTGATTTCATCTTGGTGTGATTTTGACTGACTTTCACTCTCCTCCTGTTGTTTCAATCCTTGTTCTTCTAAAGATTTTAACTTCTCTTCCAACTCTCTTACTCTTCCTTGCTCATTCTTGAAGTCAGTCAGTACTGTAGAAAATGATTGGAGAGAAAAATTACCATTATTTTGCTTCAGCATAGATAATTATGTACACATCTGGAGACTCACTAAAATTTTACGATACCTTGCAATAGCTTAATAACAGAATAGATGCTAAGCTACTCACACAGAGTGTATTTTGCATGTCTTTCATCTAACATCCTTGTCAAGTCTTTGACTGCTGTCACCTACAAGGCAAGGTATTGAATGAAAAGTTAAAAAAGTATACAAAGAGTGCATTCACTGTTAAGTACTAATATCTACAAATCCACATGTACTTACAGTGAATGCAGTGAAGCCATATGCATGCTACAGTTATGCTAATTCCCGACAAAATTCAATGATTTCTCAAAGTTCATTTGAGTTCAAACACAAGTAAAAAGTGGTGCAACTAGCAAATAGCACCCTCTTGCCACTCCATAACACATCTTTTGTTAGGGTTTTAGGTCATTTTTTTTTTTGGTTTTAAAGTTTACAAACCAGTTTAAAATTTTGCTTTCCTTTGACCCAGATTGTGTTCATGGTGACGTTGAGACAAAGAAATCAGCTTAAGCTGTTTTTGTATGTGAGTAAATCTGTGAAATAACAGCATTAATCACACCTTCTCATTTTCCAGCTGGGTGAACTCTTCTCTGTTCTTAATAAGTAGCTGGCGTTTCTCGTTCAGCAGTGTCTGGTTCTTGGCTTGTAGGCTCTGAAAATATTATATTACAAGCAAGCTTTTTTTAGTTATTGCTTCCATAAAATCCAGAAGGATATAATATCACTCCAGTACAACATGAATTGAAGGAGGAGGTAAGAAATCAAGAGTAGCTTCTAACAAGCACCTGAGACCGTTTTTTGCCTTTTAAATCCATACCAGAAAGAAGAGGGGTCAATTTAATAAAAATTTACAAGTGCGGCTATTGTTCTCAGACTCTAAAACAACGGCTACACTTGTAAACTACTGGTGTAAAAGATTTATTAAATTGACCCCAGAAAAAGACACTAAGAAAAATCTCTGCTGCTGAATATCAGTAGCATGCTTGATACATGTTGCAAATGAATCATGCGATTTCAACACTTGGAATTCATTACCTTCACTGTATCTTCCCAGTGAGTGTTTGTGCGAAGTGAGTCTTCACGATGAATGGTGATCACTTGACGAAAAGTAGTGACTTTGTTTGAGTATTCATTACGAAGGTTCAAAACAAAAGTGTTGAATTTGGCCTGGAAAAGATAAAAACCAAATATTAGGTGGATCAAATAAATAGTGGTATAGACTTGAAAATCAAAACTTCACAATGTTGCATATTACCCTATTCTGCCCGGGCAAAAAGAATGGAATATAATGGCATTCACACTTTGAAGCACGCACATATAGGATCAAGATAAAGGAACAATCAACATGTACTTAATTAAAAAATACTCCATCCTAGCCACCAACATCAGTCTATTTCAATCAAACCTTCTTTAAGTGAACACCACTGAAAACAGAAAAGGCATCTGCTTAGGAGATGTGTCCACTTACATATCGGGGATATGTGAAATGCAGTGTTTGTACATTTTGTACATTATGTCACTGTCACTGTCACTGCACAAGTGCTGCTTGGTTAGTATGGAACACCCTCTTGAATGACCCTTAAACATATAGCCCATATATAGGAATCAGGATCACACTACCTTCCATACAAGCTTAGACAATTAATCATAACTATAACAAAATTCTCACATCTGATTAGCTTTCAACTGCCCTGATTTCAGCACTAATAGGACAGTGTAACTGGACAGTATGCGTCATGCCTCTAAGTAACTGGACAGTATGCACCATTGGACACTTTTTTCACTGCTGGCAAAAAATCTCAGAATTTCTTGTGTTTTAAGTTGAAAAAAGCCTAAAATATCACAAATTTGTTATATTTATGATAAATTGGTAACAGTATATTTTCGTGTCATCCAATTCGGTCTGTAATCATCACTCATATCATTACAGACCAAACTGGACTCCACTCAGTCCTATTACCATTATATATACTCATCAATAACAATGAAACAGAAGCTTTTTAAGTTGTTGTGCAGCATCTACCTGAATATCATCCTCAACTGATTTGTACTGATCCTGAATGCGATCAATCACCTTCACGTGATTACTCTTCATCTTCTTCATATCGTCCATTACCTACAAAAAGACCAAACAACAACTAAATTGCCTGAACTTAAGTCTGCAATAGGAGGATAGGAATGCAATTCTTTGCAAGCACTCTGGCCGTGAATTAGGCTCTAAGATGCAAGCCTGACAGCAAAGAGGCCAGTTACACTGAAAATTGTAATTTGTTTACCCATTTGTTTAAGAGTTCTTAAGACCTCATTCAAACATGTCTGTGTGTTGCAGTGTTGAAGGTAATAATTGTTGGGGAAAGTGGAAAACTGGAGTACTTGGAGAAAAACCTATTGGAGAAGAGGAAAGAACCAACAACAAATTCAACCCACTGGCATCAACATTGGGTCTTAAACATGGGCCACACTGGTGTGAGGTGCTCTCACCAATGCACCACCCTTGATCCTTGAATAAAAACAAACTGAATCTAAGTAAAAAATGCAAGAGAGTTACCATCAATAATATGCATCCTGAAGATGGATAAAATATAGTTGACATACCTTTTGAATGCAGTCTTTAGCATAAACGTATGGGATGTAAGCATTCTGTTCTCCTTGAAGCTGAGGAGGTGCTAGAAGACCACTGCTTCGACTTGATGAACTTTCTGCATGAAAATACACAAGAAATTGAATGACATGTTAAACTTACTGCTTTTCCTGACCAAGTACATGCCACTAATGATTGATGTCAAAGTTAGATTATCAAATTTTACATTTTACTCGTGCAAATACAATCATGTAAATATATTTCAATTAGCCTTTACAACACAATGTAAATAATTGCAAGATCTACTCTCAGCTTTAATAATATTATTTTAAAAAGTTGTAAATATTTATTACCGGTATATAGGTTTTTGACACATCTTCTAGTATATTTTTTGTCGCATGACTGTAAAGTAGCTATTTAGCCAAGTACATTTGACCACATTAAATAAAGGTTATTGTATTGTTTTGCAAAGCAACAATCACAGACAACTGATTTTTTTTGTGGAGGAGGGGGGAAGTCCCTTTCTAACTCTTACCCTTATCTTACATCCCCAAAAAATATAATAAAATAATAAAAATCACGGCCAAATCACTCATACAAGTACCTTCATGGTTTCCAGTCTGCATGCTTACCTCTATCTTGCATTCCCATGCTGGAATCTGGTGATGGTTCCTCCCAGGGAACTACCTCCTACAAAGTAGAAGCATCACAGAAAAAATGATTTGCAAAAGGTTTAGGCAAATTGGAAAAAAAAGTGCTAGTGTTCGAGAGGTGATCTTTTCAAGAAATAATTCAAGTATAACATTCTAACTTTAAGCTACAGGATAATAAATTTTTTTTTTTTTTTAAATAATTTTGTAACAAATACATAAATGCATTACACAAATTTGTAAGGACAATTTTTTTAAAGGTAAATACATATATAACATGCAAAAATTAGTCCAAAATTAATACTTCTGTAATGCTTAGGCCTTACAAACCACACTTTGTTGTAAATAACAAGTGTAAACTCTCTCTGTGTTACATGCAGTTGCACTTGTTAGTGAATCAAATGACTGTAATTAATACGTTTGCAAACTTAAGCAATATCTCACCCCATTTGTGATTGCCAGTGGAGGCGACTCTGCAGATGAGGTGGGGCGACTAAGCCTTTCTTCATCACCCCTTGATCTTGGGCGGGATCCTGAAGATTTAGGACGTGAAGCTCCAGTTGTTCCAGGTCTAACTTGGGACCGATAATCCACAGCTGGTGCTGTCATAGGTCTTGGTATTGAGGCGGCAGGGGTGACTTGCCGTGCGACTGCAGTGGCAGGACGCTGCCTTGCTCTGTGGTGTGCAGAACTTGGTCGACTTGATGCAGCATTAGACTCTACATCAGCATCAGTTTCAGCAACACTCCAGGCATCTTAAAAATTTTAAACATGTAAGTTAAAAGTCACCACCAACAAAATCATTTCACTTTTAATGTTCCATAGCTGTTACGGGTCAAAATTGAATTCATGTCAAAAATTTTTCACCTAGGTTGATTCTCTATAGTTTTCCTTTGTCTTCTAGCCCTGTAAATATTCAATGATTTAGGGCTAGGAGACAAAGGAAATTGAGAATCAACCTAGGTTAAAAAATTTTAACCTGAAGTTAATTGTGACCTGTAACATACACGTAGCCACCAGAACATTTAGCTTGTTACATTTTAATACAAATGAACCTTTAGCAACGACCACCACTAAACATCAGCCACTTTTTTATGCGGACAGTCCCTACATTGACTCTCGTTTGAACCTCTGTACACCAGCTACCCCCTCTATAACGGCCACTTTTTTACAGACCCCAAGGTGGCCATTATGAAGTTTCATAGCTCAGTGCAATTAGTTTAAATTTCTTGTCTATTTCATCTGAAACTCTTGAACTTCATCTGTGATAACAATCACCTGACCGTTGAGATCACACAACACTTGCAATGGATTCAAGCTCACGAAATATAATACCTTTTCTAGACTCCACTTCTGGATCAGTCTGTCGGCCACTATCCTCTGCATCAGTGGGTACAACTGTATTCCGTTTAAATCTCCGTCTTGTTCCACTCTCCATGCTCCCCAGAGAATCCGTTTCTGTTCCATTAACTCCTTCAGTGTCTGTAGTTTGTTGGACCTCTGTATCTGTTGTCTGTGGATTGTCATGACTGACACCATTTGTTTCTGACTGATTTGCTTCATCACCAGTTTCTTCTCTGTTGGATTCGTCTGCTTCTTTGACGGAAATCAGACTTCCTTTCATTGCTTGTCCAACGTTAGTCACATCCTTAGTTTGATCTGATGACTCACCAGATTCTTTAGTTCCTTCTGTGTCATCTGTGTCTGTCCAGGCTGAAACACATGTATTTGTTCACAAAACTTTAAAAATGCTGTTACATTGATCAACATAACATTATTGGCACTAGGAAATAAGGCAAATACAAAGAAACCAGTGCTTACAAAATCTACTAGACCCTGGTTAGTATCACTTTGATGCAGATGTCAACTTCACACAAGTTTGTATTGCAGAAAATATAGGAAGAAAAGTTGAGGGCTAACTGATACCCATGCTGCTTAATACAGGTTTCAACAAAACTGTAACACTAGTCCGACATCAAATGACAGAGCAAGTTAAACTTCCTTTTGCCAGTGCAAGGTACAAAGAAAGTCACTTTCACAGCTTGCCAAAAAAGGATCCTCAGATGTGGATCATAGAAAGTCGCTTTTGCAGCTCGCTTTTCATTGCCCAGCCATACTAGGGGGCTTAACCAAGTTATTTCCAATTATCTAATAAAAATTAACCACGTTAACAAAAAATGTGAGTATGGCCACATATTTTGGGTAACTGAGTCTTAACCAGGTTATGCATGGTAAAGTCTTTTTAGGCCCCTTTTATATAGAGAAAAGCCGTCCCGTATAGAAGAGTCACCTGCCTACCCAAGTTGCCCATTTCCTTACCAAATATGGTGAATTATTTACATGTCAAGATACAAAAACTTAGCTCAGCTAGAAGGGTGACCTGCGTACATGTAGCCAGGTCACCCTCCTAGTTGGACCAGCTTTTCTCCAACTCAGTCAAGGTAAGACAATCAAAACATGTGCAACCAGTATTAACTTGGACAAAGGGGTCAACTTTTTTTTCACATAATCACTCATTAAAGTTCAGCTGAGAGGTTTACTCTTCTGCCCAGGACAGGGTTTTCTTCATATGAATGGGGTCTTAAACTATCTCACACAATAGTTTGATGCAGGTTAATGTCAATAAATCGACCTTCTCTGCCGGTCAATGGGCAATTCCAGAAAATATCCATACCCAACCACGGACGGCTTCCACGTTTTACCCCCCCCGTGCCTTCGGAAATTCCAAAATGCGTTACCCCCCCATGCCCTCAGAATTCCATAATCGTGAACCCCCCCTCCCCTTCAGAATTTCCGTTTTTTTGGAAGTACATTTTCAACTTAGCAACGCCTATATGAACAGACGAACATGAATTTATGCCTCCTCAAGGCTGTGATCTAGCGGCGCCAGGCGACAAGCTTTCAGACTCTAACCTATCGCTAGTAGACAGGCTGTGCAAACTCCTTGTTAGGTCCGAATTTGGCAATAAAAATAAACACCACTAAAGGCAATTTTACTCCTCTTTGTTTTCTTGTGCTGTTTTGACGTTTACAAAGCAAAGTAGCTCAAATTCAGACTGTTAAAATCTTTCGGTGGTCAAATATACCGTCGAGGCGTGTTGCGTCCTTTTATACGTCATGTAGTGTGCATGAAAAGTGTTCTAATCTAACAGGCGTTCCTTGGAAGCAAGGGACTGGTGCGAGTTTTTTTACTGTTCATCGGATGGGAGTAACAAGAAACTTGCAAGCAGTAAGATACATATTCCGTTTTCTTTTTCATGTGACAAGAAATTCATCAAGGTTAATGTGAAAGTCACATTTTACTGTTCACTTCTATAAGTTATGAGCGTAAACACGTGTCTGATCTATCGATGCTTGTCTTCTGCTTCCGCGGTCATACGTTCGTGGTTTATTTACGAACTACAAAAGTCCACAACAATAGCGTTTTCAAGGAACTCACTCTACACTTTCTACTCCAGAAATCCCACCTGTGGAATTACCCCATGCCTTCGGATTTCCAATCGTAAATACCCCCCATGCCCTCAGAATTCCATAATCGTGAACCCCCCCTCCCCTTCGGAAATCCTAAAAGCCGTCCGTGGTATGGTATGGATATTTTCTGGAATCGCCCAATGTACCGATTGAGTATTGCCCAATATGTTGGCCAACATTCACTTAAAACATCGGCCAATACACCATTTAAAATATCAACTGGTCAACTATCGATAACATAATTACTGAAAGCCATCTAAGTTACTGACTTTCCACTGCAACAATGACAACAACAACAACAATGTAAATTATTAACAAAATGATTAAGTTTTACAATATACTGTATGCCCTGCAAATAGCTACATTGTATTATGCTAATCTAGGCAGGACAAAACTTTAAACCAAGGTAATATTTAATCACAGATTAAAAAGAAAAGAAAAGAAATGCTTGACTCATTTAAATTTACAATATAAAGCATTGGTTTTAACTTTTAATCAGCATGTGCAGAGCGCCCACCAACATGTCCGACTTAACTTGCCTCTGCCTAGACCACCACTGCATGATGAGCGAGTGTCAGTCGATAGTGTCAACAAATACTTGGCCAAGCAGTGCCCTGGGTATGCATGATCTTAGGTATGCATAAGCTGCATGTACCAGTACATGGATCCAAAAATATAGCTGCCTCAGAAATACAGCTGTTGTTGCAAAACTAGTGCCTAGTGGGCATTGAAAGGTCCATGACAAAGTATCACAACTTTTGCCTTACATATTTTAAAGTTTCACCATTGAGGTTACTTTGCTACTCGGCAGAGGAGAATCTTAAACCACCTACATTTGACGTACTGTATGTGGAAGCTAATCGAAAGTATACTGAACTTACCCAGCAGATCGCATTTAGGCTTATTAAATTCAAGAAACAGAACAAACACACGAACTTGTTATGATCCAACCAAGCATCTCAAGCAAATAAGTTCTTAATTTTCGCCCACTGCTACAAATCAAACTGCGAAAGTGGAACACCACATGCCGGTCTATCAGATATAAAAGTCAGTTGCCGATTCAACTCACCTTGATCTTTGGATAGAGTAGATTCGCGCGCTTGAGGCTTCGAAGGTTTTCGCTTTGGAACGACCTTCGGATTTCGCGTGGCCATCATTTTGGTCTTGATTAAGTTAAGAGTCCTTAGCTTTAAAAGTCCAAGAAATCACAGCTGAATTCCAACAACTCCAAGACAAATAAGCAATCGGCCTCGATCTCCGCGTGTTCCCCGCTTGTTCAGCTCACAGCAAGTCACAAATGGGCATCGTTTCATTCCCTGATTTATAAATCACTCTCCGCCTTTGCACAAGGAAGCCGACCAAATCCTATATTAAGCAATACTCGAAAGTTATGAAAGGAAAAATAAAATAATCTATTGACGATTCTATGATCTATTGAGAAGACAAATGTTAGGGCCCGAGTTGCTATACAACTGCGTCCCTGTTTACTGCATGACGTCAAGCGCTGATCGATCGATTGTTCGTCGATTTTGCTCGGTCAGCTGTCTCACAGGCGATAAACATTCGTAAATTGTGCCGAATACCGAAGTTGTTCCATTTCAAGGAAGTTCATGTTCATGTACTTTTTCTTGTGTTTTGAAGGAACATGCGGCTGCTAATAGGTTTACTTTCCGTTTGCTTTTTATCTCCTCTTGAATCTCAACACCCACCAGGGCATTTACAACCTTTAGGGTCTCATCAGCCGCCATCAGGATCAATAGAAAGTTCAGAGGTTGTTCCAGGGCCTCGAGAGTTCTTCGAGGAAAATGTTCGTCCTGGAAAACCCTTACTTTTAAGGGGAGCGGCAAAGAGCATGCCTGCTTATTCAAAATGGACTGATGGTTATTTGAGGTGAGACAAGTAGCTGTCTTTCTTGTTTTTTTTGAAAGATGTTTTTCTTTCGACGCGAGTGTTGTTCTTTATTTTCAAACCTAAACTTTTTAAAATCACTTAAATTATATATAGCGGCGTTTTAAGTCTACCGGCCAGTTATTAATAGTTATAAAGCTTTTATTGTTTTTGTTTTGTAATGGCTAGGTTTCCTATGATCGTCTACGGGTCTCCTGGTAGCTTTAATTTTGAAACTCTTATATTTAGTGTATCTTAATTAATTCAAAAGTTTGAAACTATCGCGTATTTAAAATACTGATAACTGTGGTGATCGAGTAAAATTGGTTTCTTTGAAGACAATATGGGAGACTTTATTTCCTGTGTTTTTATATTAAACTTCCAAGAGCAATTCATTTTGGTGGATTTAATACAGAAACAAAAATTGGTGACTAACAGGTACAAAAAAATTAAAATAAGCTTAATGATAGGAAGAAAAAAGAAAAAAAAATTCAAAAGTAGGGCAAATTTTTGGTAATTAATATGCATATGGCTTTGGCTTAGCGAGTCATATGGCATCTGTATCTGCACCTGTGGGTAGCTATTATATCAGATCCCCACATATACTGCTGGTCTTGAAAAAAGAGTGAAATTCAAGAGTTTACCACATAGAATTATTCTTACTGTACTGCACCAAAAATTTCAGGAGGCATCAACAAGCCGAATGTTTGACCCTATTAATATTCAGACAATCTGTAAAAAGATTGTAATACTTTAAGATTACAAACTATCAGCCCTCTTGTTGGATCAGAATGATTCATGCTGATGTATGACTGCTGGTGACAGGTGCATGATATTAGATTGATAATATAGCTTTTCATCTTTCTTTATAATGCAAATTTTCTTTTAAATAGACCTTGTCACGGTTTCCGATGCCATCTTGACGAGTAGGCAAATGCATGAGAAATTACAGTGTTTGTGTGATCGAGAATCTAAAGTCAAATAATTTCCGTAGATCGGCTGTTCTGAAAAAAATATGAATTGCAAACTAAAGGTTCACTCCTAAGAATTCTACTGAAAAAATTGAGCGTGTTACATGCACTAGAAGACCTAGAACCTCTTTTTTAAATTTTCTATACATTTGTCTGTAAGAAATTCCCGGGAAAAATTACAGACAAATATATGGAAAATCTAAAGCAAGCCTCTGGAAAATTTAAACACAGGTATGGCCCCAAAATGTTTAAGGACAATCCTTCGCTTTGTAGCTTTAGTTTACATTATTGAGTTTCATGCCATACAATGTACTCCCTCATTGGTCAGATTGCTGATGCATTGTGTTCAGTAGGTTTTGTAAATGAAAGGGAAATTGTTTTTATATCAGACTGTTATAATCTTTCTTTATGTAAAAAGGTATTGTTTGTGTTGTCAAAAGCATGCCTTAAGTGTTCAACAAACATTATGGCATTGAAAAAAAAACGATGGTAAAAATCTGACTTGAAATTTAGTATACAAAAATAAATTATTCTAGTATCTATGTTTTAGAATAATAAAAATATTGAATTATTGCCAATGGGTTTCACAATGTTGATGATTAAAACTGCAGATACTCCATATGCTAAATGTCTAAAGAGTCTTTAATTACGTTGCTGTTGCTTGGTGACACTTTAATCCTCATCCCAGTGGTATCTGTTTAACCATTTGAAATCATCAGTTCCTATAAATATGCAGCATTGTAATACCCGCTAGCCTGCAATGCAGACCTACTGTAGTTTAACCTCGGTTAGTAGTGTCTGCTTAGCAGTGTAGAGATCGTCGTTCTGTGCCCCCATTGGACTGAACAAAATACTGGATGAGGTGTGTTATTTTCAAATTTCCTTTCATCCCTGATTAGCAGATTGACAATGGCTTTCTTAACAGGGGAATCAGTGTAAACAGGTGGGGGCTCGAACAAGATTTTAGCACTGTTTTGTAGAAGGACTTAACCAGGTTTAGTTTCATCTGTGGATGAGGTTATCCAATATTTTTTCACTATACCCCCTTTGAGGGGGTATAGTGATTATATTTTGAGATGCAAATTTTCTCCAAAAGCTCCCTAGGAGAATTTCTTGCTGTAGAATTAAGGGTGTTGTTTGAATGGTGATTATTTATTTGCATCTAGTAAAATGCTATTGTATTGTCTTTAAACATGTATTTATCCTGCTGCAGTGCTGTTTGAGTTGCGTGACTAAATTATTTATTGATATGGTTGTGGTTTGAGTGTTAAAATTAGTTGGAATTGGGAGAGGCAACCCTTTCATTCAAGAACTCTTTCCAATGCATTCAGTCCCTTGCTATTCGGACACAAGATCAGGTTGCGCGCTTTGTGTTTTCCTTTGTCAGTATAATTTTTTTGGTATGCAAAAATAACATTAAAAGATGGAATATTCTTTTTCTCTTGTTAGCGAGAGATTTGGTGAAGTGGGCATTGATGTCGAAGAAGGGAAAAAAGAAAACAGATCCTTAGCCACATTTCATTTCAAGCTTCAAGATTTTATCTCCCGCTATAAGAATGAAGACATCTACATGGTAGAGTCTCTTCCACTCAAAATGAGAGGTATTATTGATACAAACTTGTTTAATAATCCAACTGTTAGTTTTCACCCACCTTCTTCATTAAATTCCAGTTTAGTTTCCTATACTTTTTTTAAAAAACAAGAATCACTTCGTGAATTTTACCGGGGCCACTTTTTTTGGTTTTTCATTATTTTTTAATTATTTGTCAGCCTATATTTGACGAGGTTTCCTGCAGCGAGAGCGAATTGTAAGGTATTGAAACGCACAAACAAAGTTTTGCGCATGCAAGTTTAATAAGTTAAGATTTTTGTTTTGTCGTAGTGTACACAGTTCAACAGCGACTAAGCTTTGTCACTGTTAGGATGAATACTGTAACAGTATTTTTCAATACATGGGGATCTCATTTATTGATAAGTAGCAAATATAGTTGCATTAACCATTCCGTTCCAAAACTAATACAATAATTAACATTAGCATGAGTCAACTCCCAATCCTAGGCTGTCAAGTTACGCAGTTTTTGTCACGTGTTCAGATCGATTACATAATAATAAGATATTTCTTAGCAACAAGAATCCAAAGAAGCTAAGAATACCAAGGAGAAAAACAAAAAAATTCTACGTCAACTTCTAATGAATAATGTCAAAAGACAAAATGTTAGGGAATCCCCCATTTTGAACAGTTACAGGCGCGGATCTGGAATAAATACTGACCGATTTCCTAAACGAGGGCCGAAGGCACAAGCACTATCTAAGGGGGTCTGGGGAGCAGGCTTCCCAAGAAATGTTTTGGTGTTTAACTCTTTAAGTCCCCTTTCCTGGGTTTTCGAGTCACTCAGGTAGCATATTGCCCAGGTTTCAACTTGGAAAGTGTTTTTTATTATTAAAAATGTATTTATGCTTCAATCTACCCACAAAATGGCAAACCTTACTCAGAATGAAATATGTGCTGTGCTCTGTTCGAAAAGGCAATACAAACAACATGATGGAGAAAAAATGGCAATGTGAAATTCTGCACATTGCCGGTTTATTAAACTCTGAAAATCCAATACAAATACAACTGAAACATTCATGAAACATGTATTGCCGGCGAAGGTGAGGGCAATTAACCGCCTGAAAAATACAAACCATAGAACAAGAAAGAGGCAGGAATGGGGAGGAGGAGGGCTGAGGAAAAATTTTTGTGTGTCAACGAGATCAAGAACGCGACATCCTTTATACGACGATCAATAAATACGACATTACCTAAAGACGCCATCTTGAATTCAAAATTCAAATCAGTACCCTCGATTCCATGTTCCTAGCCTCTTTCCACATTACTGTATTCATAAACTATGTAAGGCTAAATTGTCGCATAAAATTTTATTTGAAGAAAAATAATGCATTTATGCTTCAATCTACCCACAAAATGGCAAACCTTACTCAGAATGAAATATGTGCTGTGCTCTGTTCGAAAAGGCAATACAAACAACATGATGGAGAAAAAATGGCAATGTGAAATTCTGCACATTGCCGGTTTATTAAACTCTGAAAATCCAATACAAATACAACTGAAACATTCATGAAACATGTATTGCCGGCGAAGGTGAGGGCAATTAACTGCCAAAGACCTTGCAAAGCAAGGGCACGCCCCACCCAAGCACGAATTTCATTCTGGGTAAAGGTATTACTTAATATTTAATATTACAAAATTGCATCCTGCATAATCTGTTCAGATCAAATCAATAGTGTAGTTCCAATGGTGTGCCGCCTGCAAGCAACAACATCACAACCTCTGACACATTCAGTTACTTAAACAGATTCTAGAGAGGTTATTCTGATATACTTTTTGAAAGCATCAGATTTCCATCTACCCAAATGCCTAATCTTGTCGCCGGAAACCCCTTGTTCAGCCGCATAAGTAGCAGCACCAATCCTAAAGCTGTGTCCTTTATATCTATTGGGATCCAAGTTGCATAGTCGAATAACTGAGCCAAGCATTTTACTAAACTCGCTTCTTAAAACTGGGGACCCATCGTGATTAATAAAAAGTGGGCCATGTGCTATACCACGAACAGAAGCATAATCCAAGAATGATTGAACAGGACATGCTTTAGGTTGTCTATTCAAAACTATAGAAAAAGGATTTTGATTGTAATTATGTTTATAGCTTGAGAATGTAATTATCAAGGAAACCACATTGCCATTCCCACTATGTTTTTTAGAAACTTGATCCAGTTGTAAAAGGTTACCATTGACACTGTCTCGCTTTGACACTGTGATTTCACCAATACGAAGAAATGCAAAAAATGCCATAGCACACATGGCCTTAAACATAAATAATTCATATTGAGAAACACAAAAATATCTAAACCTTTCATGATGCGAACTAAAATGGGAAGGGTAATAGGCAACCTTGAGTCCAGTTTGTGACCAATCTTACCATACCCTTTAAGCATCTCAATAATGTAAAAAGTTTTGGTAGGATCCCGTAGACCCGCCAAGCGATGGAAATACCCAAGGGCAGAAACATAAGTATTTACGGTGGAGGAAGCATATCTACGATCAAATAAATGTGCAACAAACAATGCCAATGTGGCCGGCAACACTGGTAATGAAATGTGTGAGCTCTGTAAAACACTTATTTGAAATTCTTCATAAAGCTTCCATGCCCTACGGCACGTTGGTACTGAAGACTTCTGTAAACTAGCAGATAGAAGATCATGAACTATAGATGCCAGTTTGCCGGGAGTAGATGAGATGGGATTGCTGTTGGCATGGGATCCATGTAAGCTGGTGCTAGTTTCTTGAAACGTTCGATCTGCAAACGAGACAGTGCATCCGCAAGAGTGTTCGTAAAACCCGAAATATGCTTGGCTTTAAACAAAATATTGTGCCTCAAACAAACTAGCACAAGTTTACGAACAAAAATCATTAAAGAAGTATCTCTACAGGTAGACTTATTTATCACATGTACTAATGCCTCATTATCAGTAAAGAATGTAATACACCTGTCCCTAATATGGTCCCCCCACAACATTAAACTCAGAACAATTGGGTAAAATTCCAGAATTGCAATATTCTGACCCAACCATTCCTTAGGCCATTCGCCATAGCACCAGTGAGAACCAAATACAGCTCCAAAACCGTGCGCCCCCTGCCGCATCAGTAAATAACTGTAGGCTCAAGCTATTGTCCCATTTCTCATTAAGGAAAAATGATTTACCATTGTAATCTTGAAAAACTGTTGCCAAGTAAACAAATCAGCCTTCACCTCCTTGGAAACACGAACAAAATGACCTGGTCTTTTGAGGCCAATTGTCAAGTCAATAAGCCGTCTTAAAAAAAGCAACGGCCTGGAACAACCACTGAACAAGCGAAATTTAGTACCCCGGTAAGCGACTGCAACTCTCTCAATGTTGCCTTCTTCTTTTTGATAAATTCAGCAATCAATTGTTTACATTTCAATAATTTTTCTTCGGGTAAGCGTGATTCACAACGGATAGTGTCTAGTTCCACACCTGCAAATGTCAAAATTGTAGATGGGCCAAATGTTTTTCAGGTGCCATGGGAATGCCTAAAAATCACATAATTCTAAGAAGAGTCTAAGACTTCTTGAACACTGACTTTCTGTTGTCTGAATGAGGAGAAAATCGTCTAGCAAATGAATAAGGTTAGCTATACCAAGCTTATCCTGTGCAATCCACTCAACAGCTGTACTAAAAGTTTCAAAGGTTTTACAGGAGCTGGAGCATCCCATAGGCATGCATTTATCATAATAATATTGACCACTCCACTTTATGCCTAAAAGATGATAATCTTGAGGATTAATGGGTAAAATCCTGAAAGCACTTTTTAATATCGGTTTTAGCCAAATAAGAACCGACACCTGACTGTTTTATCTTTTTAATAGCATGGTCAATATTAGAATATTGAACACTGGAATGTTCATGGGATATTCCATCATTTACTGATTTACCCATGGGATATGAAAGATGATGAATCAGACGAAATTCCCCTGGGGTTTTCTTTGGAACAATACCCAGGGTGACACTCTGAAAACAGGAAAGGGTGGTGAATCAAATGGTCCAGCCAACCTATGGGCTTCCAGCTCCTTAGCTAATTTTTGGTCAACTACTTGGGGCTGTTGTCGTGCAGATAACAAATTAGCAGATTCATAAGATCTACTTTGACCAACAGAAAAGAGATGAAATCCATACTTAAATCCATCAATTAAAAACATTCGCTTTTGAAAGTTGTACCCTTCTAGCAAAAACTCAAGTCGGTTTACCTTTACTGGTGTTGGGAGCAGTAGGATTGGCAGCAACAGGTCTTCCAGTGAAGTTACGAAAATTATGGCAATTAATCATTTGATGAGTCTTTTGACATAATGGGCATGAATGCTTGAAATTACATCCAACACATTTTAAGCCTTTATGGTACTTCCAGCAATAACCTTTGGGAACTCGAAAGCCTGACTTTGATTCACCCTCAAATCTCTTTATCTGTGAATAATTATTTCTGGATGGCTGCGATCTAATCCACAACTCCCAATGCACTGCACCCCAAGAATATGCTTTGGGGTCCTTTTGTCGGAGATATCGAAAGTTCTCGTCATAATATCGCCAGTTATATCCTCTTGCTGCCAAATCCCTAATAATTTCACTATACTTCATTAAAAAGGGGGCTTCAACAGGATATCTCTGTGTGTAGACACCCACAAAGATTTGGTAGGCTGTGACCCACATTTCAATCGAATTGATATGTTTTGACTTTTGCTTTGGCTCCAATACGATGCGTGGCTGGTCATTTGATGATGCCATGTCATTTGAAAGGCATAGATGGAAACTGTCATGGTCTTTCTTATTATTTAAGAGCATTCCAAAATCGACATATTCATGGGCCCATATTTTTCTTTTTAGCCTATCAGAGACTGACATGTCAATGGGGATGTCAGATGACACAAAAATATCTTTTGGCTTAGACATTAAACTGGTGCCTCCTGACAAGCTATCCAACACAGTCGCAATCGACCCCTGTACAGTTGCGGCTGCTGTGCTAGCCTGATCTGAGCTATTTAAAATTTCAGAAGTATTAACCTGAGAACCACTTAACTCATTGATGACTGGTTCAGCGACAACTGACCCCTGTAAAGCTGAGGCTGTTCCAGGCAAAGAAACATTTCCAGTACCTGTATTATCATTGAATTGTGTATTTTGTAATTTTTGTAATACTGCATTTGTCACCCTCTCAATCAAGTTGTCAACGCCAGCATACGGAAGACTTGCTGGGCCTGGAAGCTGATCTGCTTGTTCTCCATTCTCCTCAACCCGTCTACGGCGACTAGCTGGCTGTTGCTCGGACTCTTGCAAGATAGTTGGTTTTCTCTTCACTCTAGCTGATACCCGGCGAGACATCCTGAAACGTAAAATAACTCAACACCAGTATACATGTAAGCTAGTAACATATAGCAAGCTTTTCCATTGCTGATGAGGTCATTATGCCCAAAAAGAACCAATCCAGATTATAAACAACATGCATCAACAACATTAATCAAGGAGTCTAATTATTAAATTTGCTCCATCTAAATGACTGAAGAAGATCTCAACATGATCAAGAACAACAACTTCGAGATAAACATGGCCTAACCGCCAATTTCACATATATCTGAAATATATAACATGCCTGTTTTTATAGTACTCTGTATAGTACCATAAAGGAAAACCTTCCAACAGCCTTTGGTTGGAAAAAATTATATAGTACCAAACATCTAGCTTGGACAAAAAACCATACACTTCACAGTACAAACCCAAAATTAAACAATGTAACAGGACATCACAACATGAACTTATACGTGAACTATGGCCGGGATGGCTTGGCAAACTACACATGTCGCCGGAACATATAAAATGCCTGTCCCTATAAATGCCATAAAAACATTCCAACAACCTCTGGTTGGACAAAAGCAAAAAGACCAAACCTGTAGCTTGGTCAAAAAACATGCATCACATTATACAAAAACAGGACTTCACAACATGAACATGTACATGAACTATGGCAGGGATGGCTTGGCAGACTACACATGTCGCCGAAACACATAAAAATGCCTTTCCCTATAATGCCACAAAAACCTTCCAACAACCTCTGGTTGGACAAAAACAGAAAGACCAAAACCATACGTTGGTCACAAATCCATGCCGAAGCATGTCACAAAAACATAATTAAACAAGAACATTCCAACAACCTCTGGTTGGACAGAAGTGAAAAGACCAACAACGTTGATTGGTCAAAAATCCATGCACAGCATGGCTCAAACACATAATTAAATGACAAAACAGGACATAACAACATGAACATACACCTAACAAGAATGGATGGTTTTGTAACAACATACGTCAGCTTGTAATTTATGACTGAAAATACAATCATAGTTTTATTCACATCGAAATGACCATAAGCTCACATTCGATTTGGGTTTTCAGCTAAAATTAATAATTGCTTTTATATCGATTTGGATAATATCGATATTACCAACAACATAAACCCTACAAAATGAAGCGGAGAATTGGCAACACAATGTATTTGCCCCGAGCATTATTCACTCAAACTTATTCAAAATGTTCACAGCCTTTAAAATTGCACCTCGGTAACTTCTGTAAAGTAAATACTGGCCACGAGGATTTAAGTGAACTCCATCCTCCAACAGGAAATCATGGCTTGGAGAGTCCAAAATCTTATGTCGCCATACAAACACTCTAGGGCGGTCGATGACGACACGTAAATAACGATTTAACACTTCTACCTTCGTATTAAACATTGGCTCAGCTCGCTTAATCACCAGACAAACTCCAACTACCCTAACAGAAAAATGGTTCAACAACAACTCGACTAATTCGTCAATCTGAGAACCAACCGTTTCTGGTGGTTCATTACAAAGGTCATTGGTACCTATTTCTAATATTACAACATCTGGTGCAAAGCGGGAGACATTCGCTACGTCAAATTGCTTAATTTTCTTAACCGTCCTTCCGCCAATACCAAATAAACGGACCTTAACACCTTCGAGGTCGAAGTTGCTTTTGGCACGATCGTCAAAATGATTCTCCAAGTCACCACTGAGGCGTCGAACGAAAGAATGACCAAGTATCATTACTTTCGGGACACACGAAGCCATTTTGGACTGAAAGAAATAATTAATTGAAAGGTCAGATCGCTCGTATGTACAAAAACCGAAACGATGCGGCACCAGCCAGAAATGTTGTTGAAAATGGTTAAAAGTCATTAAAAGCCAATTGGAAGGTGAAAATGAGTTGCAAATTACGGCCATCGATGCGAATAAACTATGAACCAGACAAACTGAACAGCTAAATTATCACAATAAAGAGAGAGAAAACTCACCTGTTCTGACACTGAGGAAAAATTTTTGTGTGTCAACGAGATCAAGAACGCGACATCCTTTATACGACGATCAATAAATACGACATTACCTAAAGACGCCATCTTGAATTCAAAATTCAAATCAGTACCCTCGATTCCATGTTCCTAGCCTCTTTCCACATTACTGTATTCATAAACTATGTAAGGCTAAATTGTCGCATAAAATTTTATTTGAAGAAAAATAATGCATTTATTATGAAAAATCTGATCGATTTCCGTAAAACGGTGGAAACCAGTGTGGATCCGCGCCTGAGTTAAGAATTTGCGCATCTTGCTAACATAAATATTGCGTGACAAAGGTTATTTGAAAATATTTTGTTTTGTTGCTTCATAATATAAGTCAAAGCAGTGACAGACTTCCTCCTAATGAGTTTTAATTGTTTGTCGGAAAATATTTGACGAAGTTTCCTGTAGGGAGTGCGAATTGTAAGGTATTGAAATGCATAAACAAAGCCTGGCGCATGCAAGTTTGCTTTGTCGTAGTGTACACAGTTCTACATCGACCAAGCTTTGTCATCGCTGGGATGAATACTGTAACAATATTTTTCAATAGACAGGGATCTCATTTATTGATAAGTGGTAAATATAGTCGCATTAAACCATTCCGTGTCCAAACTAATCGAATTAATATTTACATGGTTACAGTTATGCTCCCTACTTCAAATTTCTGCACCAGTGATATCTTGGCGAACACTCCCAAAAGTAACGAGCCCGCGAAATATCTCAGTCAGCGATATATCCCTAACAATGTAACTTTGAAAACACAGAAACGCGTTGCATTTTATGACTGGTGCCAGCCTTCGGCTAGGCCCCGGTAAAAACCACTACCCACTGTTGGGAGAGGTGGGGATCACAGTCACAGATGACACTTTGTGTAAATAAACTATGATGAACTGCTTTGATCATTTTATTCTTTGCCCTACAGTTCCTATAATGATTTTTATATATTCATTGTTAGTCATTTTCATCCGTACAAGGGTTAATAATTACGAACTGACTCAATGACCAGCTCCCAGTTGGTTTGTTAGCTGAATAAAGAGTGCTGCAACAGTATCGCTCAGGTTAAGGGTTTGAATCTCTTTTTGGAACTGCAGAAGTTGCATCTACAACTTCAGTGATCTTAATTTATTTAATTCACCACCCCACAGTTCCAGAGTATATATATGTTTTTTAAGTTTGATATAGAAACATTATTGTGCATCATCATCAGACCAGTAACTAAAAACTAAAAAACATAACTGTTTTCTGCGACATGTATTGTGTACAACAGGTGCATAAGTAGAGAAAATAAGTGGGAAAAAAATGTTCACTTGCCAAAAATCAGCCTGTTGGCGCAAATTGGTGGGTAGATAAAGGACATTACAATCCAAGCTAATTTTAGAAGTATTTATATGGAGTCATCACTGGGAATCGCTGCACTAACAGGCTGACTTTTGGCAAGGGAGATTTTTTAATAGTTTGTGAGATTTTTAGTTACTTGTCAAGTTTTATCACTTTAGCTTAATTTTAATGCAGTTTTAGTTGTTGTATAATTTTAGCTTATTAATGTATTTTAATCTTTGTATTTTAGCTTTTTAATGTTTTAATTTTTGAACAGCCCTCATTGATATCAGCATTTTATACTGAGGAGGATTTTCCCTGGCTAAAGAACATTTATTATTATTATTATTATTATTATTGTTATTATTATTATTATGGCTACAGTTGTTGTTGTTGTTGTTGTTACCGTTGCTATTTTCATCTTGTTCTTTCTGAATGTGCTAACCAATCTCATAATTTCACAAAATATTTGAATTTTTGTGACATCACACCTTTCTTCTCTATCAAGGGAGCATGCATACAGCTTCTTGCTCTCCACCCTGCAGTTCCAGAGTATATATGTTTTTTAAATTTATTAGAAACATTATTGTGCATCATCATGACCAGTGACTAAAAAACTCAAAAAAAAAATAAATAAATAACTGTTTGCTGTCACATGTATACATGCAGTTTCTTGTTTGGAATGTTAATATCTGAGATGGCAACATGAAAAATGAAAATATGTCTTTTAAATATGACTGTTATAGGGTACCAGTCATCCACCTTTTTCAAGTGGACAGCGAATAAAGTCTGCTTTCAGTAGCATTTGCATTTCTCTTAATCCAGCTTAACATTATGTTTTACTCTTTAGAGGAGTATGCCTTATTGAAGAGCTTAAGATGTGGTGGATATACTGAAGTCCTTCAGGATGCAGTTGTCTGGTTTAGCAGTGGAGGCACCAAGTCTGTTCTTCACTTTGATTCAGTAGATAACATAAACTGTCTGTTTGATGGAACAAAGGAGTTACTTATGATTAACAAGGTGACGGCTGTTCAGTTAATTTTGGCATTTATTAGAGACAAGCTTAAGCTTAAGCTTAGACACTTTTCTCACTGAGTCTCTATAAAATAATGATGACCAACCATTTTAAAGAACCAGCCAATCACATAGTAATGTTAGACAGTGTATAGTCTTCAAAACTAAACTGATATATGTTTGTTAAGCCTGTCAAATGAAAGTACAGATTTACAGTGGGCCTATGATAATTTAATGGCCACTTCAATTAAGTAAGGGGATACCTCAGTGTTGCTAGTTGTCACCTACTGCTAATGATGTCTGCAGGAGGGGGGGGGTCTATTCCATAACAACACTTCATCATTAAGTGGCATGTTGGTTTATTACTAAGAAACTGACAATTCCTTTCTTGGCCTGTTTTAGATTTCTGTACTGTCAAGGTTTTTTTTTGCGATCCTACTTGCCAAAATGGGCAATCAAATGATTGTAATTCTGATTGTAATTCCATTCGTAATTTTTTTTAAACATATTGATAATGATGAACATATGATCATCTTTTTGACGTGGACCTATTCTTTTTTCTTTTTTTTCCAGTCTTATCTTGAACAAGCACACATTGACAAGGTAGAAGGAGCATTCTCAACTGTTGATGTGGACAGTGTGGACATGTATAAATTCCCAGGCCTTCAGACTATCCCCTACTACAAGGTTCTTATGGAACCAGGCGACTGTTTGTTTATACCCTCCAGGTGGGTAGTGCTGACAATTTCTTTTGTTAACCCCATTTAACCAGCTGCCTTGCGTATTGAAAGGTCGGTGCATCCAGGAGCCTCCACTGTGGCCAGCCAGCCCCTAGATAGAATCCGCTCTCTGTGGCTGGGAAATCCCCACAACCCAGCTATAAGCCCCCATTCTATGCACCTGTCACACTTATGAATCAGTGGAAAGAGAGATTGAAGGTGTGGTGGTTGGGGAATGCTGAAACAACTGTTTAAAAACTGCTCAAAACCAACACAGCCTCTATGAAAACTACTTAAGAAAAGACTAGACAATCCTGACTTTGGCAAAGCAACGACATCCCATATGAGCCTACGCTTGAACTGCAGACCAGCAGAGACTGCTAAGCTCATGGCATTTAACTTTGTTGAATTTTCCATTTGACTAAATATTTAACCAGCAGCCTTGCTAAATGAAAGGTTGGTGCCTGGGGTATTCAGGAGCCTCCATTGTGGCCAGCCAGCCCCTAGATAGAGTCTGCCCCATGGCTGGTAAGTCCCCGCAACCCAGCCATGAACCCCCAGTCCAAGCGTGGAGACTCTCCTAGCTGACCAGGCTCAAGTTGGAGAGAGGTAAAAAGTGCTTAGGGCTAGGGGAAGCCCTGGCCCCAAACTACCAGAGCCCCAAGACACCCTATTTGACTGGGAAGAAGTATTAATGAATTAGTAGACCAGGTTTGGGGGGCTAGGAAACAAAAAAATATGCTTGTCATGTGAGCCGACTTGCTATCAGCCTACAATGATGCCAACTGGAGTGCGATTGTACATCTGGTACACATCACTAGACCATCTACCCAGAGTTTTGATGAGATTGTCACAACACGTTGAAGCCTAAGGTAACCGACCAAATGGTCAGGCGGAACCTCCATAATGTGTAATGATCGGATTGCTAAGTAAACCTTTATGGATGGGTGGTAGCGAGTATCTGGAAGTTGGGTGCAGAAACGTTCAAGTGTCTTCGCTTGCTGTAACTGGAAAGGCAGTGAAAGGAAAAGAGTAACAAGCCGCCAGGAGACAGAGATAGCGAACCAGTGACATGAGGGTAGGGGTTCTTGAAGTGCCTGACCGCAGGATTTCTGCCACTGGGCTACTCTCCGATAGGAAGTTGACTTTTTTGAGGCCCACTTTGGACCCGAAATGTAGGCCGCCACTGCAAAAGGGAAAAGTTCTTTGTATTCGATTGACTGGGAGATCTATGTTGGGAGCCATGAGCCAACAATTCCACTGTTGGAAAATTATTGCAACCACCCTAGGTCAAGGAAGAACTCACGGTTGTGAAGGACTGGATGGTCATCGCTATGGAAGGCCTCGGCAAATTAATTATGCGACACATCACAATTATTGGACCTGTCTAGATTGCGTTGGCAACTGACAAGCTAGTAGTGCCAAGAGTTTGATAGTTTTCTAGGTAATGCATCAGGAAGGTGATACCATAGTTCTGTTTTGCAATCCTCGCAACTAAATCTGTTTTGCAGGTGATCTAACATCTAAAGGTAGGAACATGTCTGCATAGAAGGCGCCGCGCCATCTCATGCCCAATAACTGGTGATAGCCTTGATGAACTAGCACAATGCAGTATGCATTTGGCATAGTTTTGGCATAAGGGTACCTTGACCAAGCTGAATGATGCAGCCCGCAACTACGTCTTGTCAGCTATCTTGTCTTCTCATGTATAGAGAACGGTCCTCACTAACAATGACAAAACAATGACACCAAGACGCGTCACAAGGAGATTTTGGGAGAGGAGGTTGGGAGAAAGGGTCCCGCCAGCCTGCCAGTTGAACGTCGGACTGCAAATAGGACATTTTGTGTCTGAGGACTTTCCGCCAAGGGACCCAACAACTGAGGTGAGGGAAAACTGGCAGGCCTTGCTGCTGAGAAACTGGAACGAGAGGAGAATGTAATGGTAAGGAGGAAATATTAACTGACGAATCAGCAGGAACAGAATCAAAACTGTGCACAATGTCCGTTTTCCCTCCAAAACGCTTGGGGCTCGATCTCTAGCGGGCGTATGTAGTCTGGTCGTAAGCCGCCAGGTCTACACCCTCCCCCACCCCCCCTCCACCCCCATAATTTTGGTCACCAGCTTGTACAGGATTGGAGCGTACCCTAGCCTATCACGAATGCTTTGTTGAGGGGGGAGTGCCAAGGAACTAACTACGCTGTATGTGGATATAAACGAGGGAGCAGCAAGAGTACCTAACGTTGTGGAAGTTCTGCACGATGTGGCGGATCTCGAGGAAGACGACGAACGCGTTGAAAAGGTCGAGACAAGAGGTCCAGCCGTCGCGGCCATGTTGACATTCCCGCCTGAGTGGTCCCGAAGCGATGACAACACCGAAGGAAGCGACTCAGCAAGAGCCCTTGAAATTGCCTGTACCAAGAAGTCATTGTCCGTAATAGGCACGGTCAGACTGGATAGAATAGTTGTTGTGTTACCGGAGGTGCTGAGGTAGAATTACTTCTAGAACTTGAAGAAGCGGTATCAACAGGCAAAGACAAGGTTGTCTCAAAACTAAAGGCGGAGAAAACACGCTGAAGTAGAGACGAAAAGACGCTACCAAAAACGTGGAGGAAGAAACAAGACGAGAACAGTCGGGGGGAACGCTAAAACAACCTCTTCCAACCGCTCCATACCAACGCAGCCGAACTGGTTGTAAGGAAGTAACAACGTTCCATGTGAGCCTACACTTTTAAGCTTGACCGCTGATTGTAGGAGACTGCTAAGCTCTTGGCGTTTAACTTTGTTAAATTTTTCATTTGAAGAACTATAAGACAAATACCCTAATAGCAACACTTTTTGCGGCACGGTAATATGTGTGCATTATTGACCAAGAATGAGGTGAAGATGGATATTGGCCAGGTTTTATTGTGTGTGTGAGGTCAATAAGAAAAGCAAAAAACAACGAGGCCAATATCCAGCCATCATGACAAAACGAGCTGATTGTAATATGGCCAAAAAGAGAACTCTTTTTTTGTGGGACCAAGGTGGGAAATCCTGAACGGGTAAATTAGACCCATTTTGCCCGCTCAGGTAGCCAATCAGGTTTTTGCCTTATCTTGCCCGCTCACGGATTCAGCCACGTATAAATAAATTAGGCTGTCTTGTTGGAGTTTCGTGCCAGGTTTTGCCCTTGGCTTTTGCATGGGGGTTAGGAGGAGCTTCTCTTGCTAGGTCATCTTGTAGGTTTCCCAATCCGCAAAATCCATTCAATTAACTGCTATACTTACTTCCCGACAAGAGAGCTTGGTATATTTGTATGATAATCTTTCCCAAGTGATAGAATCAATAATTTAAATTGTTGTATAGCTGGAAATTTTCTTCCAACACCTTGCGCTCTAAATGGTTACTTCGAGGTCACATGACATCTAACAATGAAACAGTTTCCGGCCAAAATCTCTCAGCGGTCAACATTGCTAAATATATAATGTCAGAGGGTAACAGTGCACTGTTTAGCCGCAAATGTTGACCGACGACCGCCCGTTACAGCAGGGTTTAATGAATTTCCAGCTTCAAAATTTCCTGCTATATACCAAATCACTTACTGATTGGTCCCTCGGGAAACAGTTAGTTTTGTTTCCCTTGAGATTCTCGGGGAACAAAATTAGCTTTTTCCTTCGGGACCAGTTATTAAGTGTTTAATGTGGTATTTTTGATTGCTCTGACTGTTTAAAATGGCATGTAGCATGAATTGATATTTATTAATTACTGTCATTTTATTTATTTGATGCACGAAATGGATAATCTTATTTTTGCCACATATTTCACCTAGGTGGATACACCAGGTCCGTTCCTACGGCTCTCGTAACCTTGCTGTCAATATATGGTGGGCACATTTCACGAACTTCAACCATACAGATTGTGAAGTGAGTCCTCACAAAGACAAAGAATTAGTTCCCCTTAGTTTGTTTGACTTCCATCCCAGTGAAGCAATTAGGTAAGTGCGTATTTTAGATGCAATAATACTGTACTTCCACAGGTGGCCTAAGCTCGAAATATGACTCTATTTCGTAACGTTCAAAATATGGGGATTTGTATGGGAGAAAAAGCATTTGTTTCTACAGCCTACGAATGTGAAAAGATTTAAATGCAATCGGCTAACCTCACTTAAGTTGTGTGTTTCTTCTTTCCTGTGTAGTTTCTGAGCCGATTTATGGCCATTTGATGTGTGTTATTGGAACCGGTTGGTTCCAATAGAACCCATTAAATGGCCATAGCATCAAGGTTTTACACGTAGAAAATAATTAATTAAATCCCCCAAAACTGTTACTACCGATCCCTCTGTATTATTAATTATCCACCGTATATTATCTTGCTCAGTACATGTATGAATCACTGCCGCCACACCGACCCCCCATATGTTTTGTATTACTTGCGTATTTTCCCATTCCTCTCTTTAGTATATCTTACTCTTTTTCTCCTTTATACGAAATGAAACTGTTTCTAAGGTTATGTTCACGCTATATCGAATAGCTTTTTCACCGCCACGAAAATCATACCGACTAGGGCTTGTGTTCACACATAAGAACGGTTGTGGCGCCGCGATTTCTGTGACGGATCGAAGCTGCGTCCCGCCGATCCTTAAGGCCCCGTCCACACGTATCCGGAGATTTTTGTATCCGCAAATTTTTTTATGCGGATACACATAGCGTCCACACGTGTCCGCCGTATACGCTCGGTGTATCCGGAGATTTCTGTATACGCTCTCCAGAGTGGAAATTTCTGTATATGCTGTGTATCCGGATACGTGTGGACGCTCGTATCTGTATATTTTTGTATACGCTGACGTCACAGTATCAGAACCAGTCTTAATGCGCATGCTCTGTTGACTAATCCTTTGAGATGTCCGGATACGAATCGGATACGTGTGGACGGTCGTATACGATTCGTATACGCTACGTGTGGACGCAGATATTTTTGTATCCGCATAAAAAAATTTGCGGATACAAAAATCTCCGGATACGTGTGGACGGGGCCTAAAATGGAGGGTCACATTATCGGATAGGTGTTCACACAATACCGGATAGATTTCGTGTCAGCACCAAAACCTATCCGTGAACATAGCCTAAATTAAAAGGGCATACAATTAGCTTCATGATTCTTGCCGTTTTCCATTCAAGCTTGTCACAGATTTATTTCTTTAAATCTGTTGTCCTATGAAATAAGTGGAAAAAAGAAAATGCCACTACACTACAATCCAAAAACATTTGAAGAAAAAAAATTGTAAAAGTGAACATAAAACTGCCCAAATTAAGGCAACGTCCACACGAATCCGGATACGCTGAAAGCGCATTCTTGATATTTGGGAGCTTAAGCACGGCGGCGGCTGGGAAAACGTCACTTATTCCATCACGTTCAATTTGTCAAATGTTGGTGGATCCACACGAATACGCTATGCGATTTACATTTCCTCATTACTAGCTAGTAGGCATGCGCAAACCGAACCCGTGATGTGATTTCGCGGCATTTTTGAATGTTGTTGCTATTTTGAGTGCCATGACCAGGCGTGCCTGTACGTTGTCCCACCAGGCAGGCACTTCTTCGCCCTGGACGAACCCAAATCGTCCTTGACGAGGTTCAGAGTGAAAACGTTTTACACGCCTTTGTCTCGACCTAAAAGATTCCATAATCTAGATGCGGATTAAGTCTTCTTTTGAAATGGCTAATTGTTGTCGTCAAAATAGCAAACTTGATTTCAAACGGCGATAAGAGCAAGCAAAATTGCAATCAAAACATTGTTGTCCGCCATTTTCAACTTGAAAGTTTTCATTTAAGACTGGACCCGAGTTTATAACGTAGTTGACTTCAAAAATATCCGTTTTCAGTCGTCCACACAAATTCACCAAACCCGTCGGATCAAAAAAAAAATCCACCATAGGGAGCGGTTTCAAAAATATGCGGTTTCGGTGTGCGGATTCACTGGTTTGGTGTGGATGGAATGCCGATTCATTAAAAAAAACTAGGCGGTTTCAAAAGTATCTGGATTCACGTTGTGTGCCATCTCTCTTAAAATCCGCTTGTTAAAAGTTAATTTCAAGTAAAATTATTGCATTTTAATGTCAGGCAAGCTGCTTTGGAAGTTACTGGTGGAAAAACAGTAACCTTGCAGGAATGGACTAAACTAATGGAGGTGAGAAGAACTGAACCGCTAAACAAAGTGAAGGAGACTAGAGAATGCTTCATTCATCTTTAACATTTTTAAAATACCTTTTTAACTGTCTAGCATCTTCTGAAAGGATAGTGTTGTTTGAAGTGTTTAAGATTTTCTTATTTTTTTAGAAATTAGTTTGTAACGGGGGTTTGTAATTTATGGTGTATCAATATTATCTTGTATCAGGGTTTTCAAAACTTGCCGACGCCCGACGCAAGGTGCCGGCTACTTGCCATATTCGCGTCAGGTACTTTTGAGCCGAAATTTCAGATCATTAATTTAAACAGTGAAACACTACGCTTATACCATCATGGCTTAAACAAAATAAAATGTAAAAGATTGAAGAAATTGGAAGAAAAAAATCAATAGAATTTTTTGATGATGTCGATTTTGACCTGTTAAAAATCACGTTTTGAGCCCTGAAAATGTACCAGAATACATCTTTGGACATTCAAATTTTCAAAATTCAAAATTCAAAATTCCGAGGCGCATTAGTGAGTCGGATACAATTCAATTTCCTCCTGCTACTTTTTATAAAAATGAAAACCCTGTTGTATGTACCTAACAATGTATATTTTCATCAGCGTAAACTAAAATAATGGTAAATGTATTCAGAGTATGGCTAAAGTTGTCGTTGTTATTTCCTCAGGCTAATTATCCTGGTGTAGTGATCAAAGAGTTATTAGAACAGGTAACTGGTCGTACTGTTTTACCGCTAACAATGAATTAGACACTAAAATTAGCCTTAACTTAGCGTCAAGTCTGGTTCAGACGCTGACCTTTTTATGAGCCGAAACTAATACATCAATTATTAAGTGCATGAAAAGTTCGGCGTCTGAATCAGTTAGGAACGCCTATTTGAATTTGGAACAGCTTAGCCGTTCTTCCCTCCTAGCCCGGCCGGGAATTTCGCCTTTGGAGCGACTTTGGAACGCCTTTGATTCAGACACCGAACTTTTCATGTGCCTAACGCTTAAATTACAATAACGTATTTTGCGAGCAGTTTGACCGAAATGAGCCTTTTTCTCCTTTTGAATTTAGTTCGACTGGAATTGAGATCGGCGTCTGAAACAGTTCTGCCGGTCTAAATAATTGGGGTCGGCCTTAATTCGAATCATCAGGTTCGGCTCATGAAAAGTTCGGCGTCTGAACCGGGCCTAAGACCTGGTTCAGACGCCGTACTTTTCATGTGCCGAACCTAACTGAATAAATTCGACTTTGAAGCGACACGGGGGCGACATCTTATCCAGACAGCGCACCTTGTGTCAAACATAAGTCAGCATAAGTTAAGTTCGACAAAAGTTCAACCACTGGCAGTCCGGGCTCGAAATATGAGCATCGACGAGCATCGGCATTGTTGCGTAACATTCGAAACATAAGGATTTGTATGGGGAAAAAACCTATCGTTTCTGTAACCTACGAAAATGAAAGAATTTGAACAAAAAACAGCTTACCTTACATAAAATGTGTGTTATGTGTCTTCTGTGTGGCCCATGGGCCGATTTATGGCCTTTTTGGGCTACCTGTGGTTCGACAGACTCTGTCGGACCTGTCGAACTTTTGCCGCACCAAATTAAAACTGCCGTACCAAATTGATTTAGACGTCGCTCTTTTGCCGTACTTAATTCATCAGTTAGGTTCGGCACATGAGTGGATCGGCTTCTGAACCGAACTTAACTCTCAAATGCTGCGGTTCGATTCTCGTACGCGACCACATCCTGTGAGCAAACACTAAGTCATTACATTTTTGGTGATCGCTCACGGGAGGTTCGACTGTGAGTGATTATGTTTCTCATTTTAAAGTTCATAATATAATTGCATATGTTTTTGTCATCCGGTTGTTAGAATTTCAATGAAATTGATGCAAACAAAGATGGGTTTGTATCTCCTGAGGAGATCCAAGAAATAAAATATGAAGATCTTCAGCGACTTCTGGATGGTCCAGCAGACGAAGAAGAGGAAGAAGAGGAGGCAATCGATCCATCAGAGCTCCCTGAAGGAGAAGAAGAAATATCACAGACTGAAGATTTAGCAGACGAGGATGAAAAAACGGATGCTACTCACACTGAACTCTGATGAATACATAGTCAGCTTTTGGAGTAAAGCTAGGTGCGAACGGACGCAACAACTCCCAACATTGTTGGCCTAACAATGTTAGCGCAACAACTCCCAACAACACACAACAAACGGACGCAACATGTAACATCCAACGATGTTGGGAGTTGGTGGCCAACGATGTTGCGTCCTTATGGCCAGGTTATGCTATTATCGCCAATTATTTAAACACACTCAAACCTCTATTAAGCGGCCACTCGCCAAACTCTCTTCTAAGCGTTCACGGTCACTTTGTGGTACCAGTAGTGATTTTAAGATGCCACGGCGCCGACGGCAACAGAAACAAGAACGTCATAAAAGCAGTAGGCTGCAAATAGCAAAACAAAAACTGTGCACGTGAAGCACACTTTTTTGGTACATTTCTTTTCCGTCACTGCACGATTACGACGTGAAAATGCTTAGTTTCACCATAGTTATTTAAGTGGAATGGTTCGGAAACCCGTTAGACTCCTTTGTTATACGTTTTTGGTAACTTTATTGGAACTGACCGTGCACAACCTTCAATAGCGATTCCTGTCATTTTGAACTTACTGACCAATAGAAACATTGCATTGATTTACTCAGTCAATTTGTGAACAAAAAACAAAGGATTGTGCGCGGTCAGGGAGCTTCCAACATAAACCACAGCACCATTGTTTTCAACATTGATGTTTGCCGGCTTCCGTAACCAGTCTCCTCCACTAACTATGGTTTCACGTTTTCAGGAGGACGTAAACAAGCGACGACAAAATTTTCTTTCTCTCTCTGAACTTAGAGGTGACTCTTAGGAGTTTAACTCCCAAAGAGTTCCCTTGCATTTGACAAAGTAGGCGAATAATAATCGCAATAGAGATTGAAACAACACGAATTCACTTTTTAAGCGATGTTTTCCCCGTCCTCGCCATCGTAGTTTCTTGAACTCTCCAGCTGCCTTCGTGGCAGGTGTTTCAAGATGAAACGTAAAGGGGGAATAAAGACGCGGGAAAACGCCTTGACTCGGGCGTCTTAATAAACGTCTGCCACGTAACCTTGGTACCCCCTCTCCGCAAGCATTGGCCGCTAGCAGGGATCCTTGATCCCTGTAAATGGGTTATAATTTTGCCTGTCTTATTCTCAAGAGAATGATCCTTTGCTAAAATGTACCACAATTCAGTAGCAGTACACTAAATGAGTACATTTGTGAATGGTCTGTAAGCAGTGCCGGATCCAGAACTTGAGATAAGGCGGGGCCCCGGTCATCCAGACCCTTAGATAAGGGGACGGGGGGGCGGTCTCCCAAAAACTTTTTTCGCCCCTTCGGGCCTCAGTTTGGCAAAAAATAAGGGGGGGAGCGGCCCCACAGGCCTGTCCCCTGGATCCGCCACTGGTAAGTGCCTCTTTAAATAGTTCTTTTCCTTTCACGTAGAGTGAGTTAGAGAACCTACAGAAAGTATTTCTTCTTGTGATGGATACTTCTCCATTTTCTTTTCTTAATAACTTTTGGGCTTGATAAACCTGCGATAGTGGTCACTTGAATTTTTCCGAAGGGTAACCGCTTGTAATTAAGGTTTGGCTTTCCTCTGCGTATAAAAGTTCAATTTAAGCGAACACTAAAATGGCAACAATGTTTTACATTGAGAAGACGGTACAGTGTGACGATATGCTTATTTTCTGCTACATTATATATTTTATAAGAAAAGCTAACTTAATATAAAGTAATGTAATATATTCAATTTTGGATACACAGATTGGCAACATAGTAGTGGCCTGGGCATTTAGACGCAATTGTATTGTAATTGTACATTTATAAGAAACAACTAAAGTATCGTTTAAAACAAGTTTTTTGTAAGTAATATTTAAGGCAAGAGTCGTTTCAGTATGAAATAAAAAGTTTAAGAATATTCAAATATATTTCTATTGGTAAAGTACATAATGAAACATTGTTTTCAAATTCAGAAAGTGTTCTTTTGACTGAATAAATATCCAGTACGCCGGTTGAAAGCGCATGCACCAAAATTGTTGACGTAATATGTAATCTAAATTAATTTACTAAATTTCTTGGAACTTGACTCGAAAAAGTCAAAAATGGCTTGAAATGTGGGGACATGTTAGCCAAACCTTAGCCTGTATTACAAATGGGAAATACTGGCGACGGCAAGAAGCAAAAGGTATTTTGCGTCGACTAGTTTCGCAGTTTGCAGTTCACTTGGTAACCTTTGTTATGCAGAATACTAAACCTTGGCTAACCTCTACTGAATGGATGGCCATTTTTAGCCATCTACTAAAACAAACTATGAAAGACCTTAGACGTGACCTCAGAGGGGGTGTTCCGGATTTTAAGCGACGAGGATGATCGAAGGATTTTCTTGGGTTTGAAATTTTCGATTCCGGGATTTCTTGGGGTTGTAAAATTTGGCAAGTATTTTTTCGGGTAGCTTGATTTAAGTAGGTATTTGCGGGAGGGGGGGGGGGGTATTTAAAACAATCCGCCGGCTGGTTCGTGGTAGTGCCGGCCCACGCGTATCCCAGCCGCGTTGTTTTGCGGCGGTATTTAACGCACTACATTGCATCTATTTCATAAAACCAGTTACCAAAGGCTCAGAATTCGGCATGAGAATTTTGAGGGTTAATTTTTGGTCCAGAGATTTTTGGGGGGTTTTGGTGGAAGCCCTAGGGATTTTTTGGGTTTTTTGATTTTTGCCCCCTAATCAATGATCTCCGTCCCTGAAATCCGGAGTACCCCCCTAGGGACGTGACTTGGATACTGTATTTAATATTTATTTCTAGTTGTTTCATCCTCTGCTGGGCCACTAATTCATCGACCCCATTAGACCAAGGCACAACGCGTGCATCTAATGTACTACAAATGTAACTGGTGTAAATTATTACTTATTTTTGGGACTTGACGGTGCACAACGTTTGCGTTCCATCATTTTGGACTTACTGACCAACAGAAACGTTCAAAAAAACAAAAACAAAAGATTGTGAACGGTCAAGAAGCTTCCAACATAAATTGCACCACCATTCACCATCTTTTTGCCAGTTTTCATAGCCCGCACGGGAGGTAGGGGCAACCAGCAAAGTTTTATACGGAAAGACTCCAAACCCTTACCCCTTTATATACAATTTAAGACAGAGAATGTACCCCCTTTCGTGTACATTCTACTAACAATTGGTACCCCTTTCACAGATTTTAACCGCTGTATTGGCATCGTCTTTTTAATATGAATAACTCACTAATCACTGAAGTTATGAATGTATGAAAACCATATATGTGAACTGCGGAGTGAAGCATTAAATGAAGAATGATCATCGCAGTTATATACGCAACTTTTGCAGTTGCGCAAAGAAAGCCTGAAAACAATTCAGTCTTGTACGGGATTCGAACTCTTGACGTGCGATGCCGGTGCAGCGCTCTACTAATTAAGCTAACAAGCCAACTGGGAGCAGGTCGTTGAATAGGTTCGTTGTAAACCCGCGAAAGGATGATGATGAAGTTATGAATATACGAAACTGCGATGATCATCCCAACCTCGTTCCCAGGGTTCTCTCCTACCCGCCCTACGGAGCGTAGGGCGGGCAGGAGAGAACCCTGGGAACGAGGTTGTGATCATTCTTCATTTAATTTTTCACTCCGCAGTTCACATATACGATTTTCATATATTCATAACTTCATCATCAAAACATTTCATAGGTTTACAACGAACCAATTCAACGACCTGCTCCCAGTTGAATAGGTGGTTTTCATGGAATCTCGGGAGACACAAATAACAATGGTGAACTGAACAAATGCTGGTGGACAAACAAAGCGAGCTAATGAGTCATCTTTTGTGTACCGTCCACCAGCTTGGCGGCGATGACGTAACAACCACCTATTTTTTAGCTTAATTGGTAGAGCGATGCACCGTTATCGCAGAGGTTAAGGGTTGATCATCCTTCATTTAATTCACTAATCACTCTCAGTAATTTTACAGACCCAAATGACAGATTTCCCTACCCTTTCATACACTTCAACTAGTGAAATCGCTACTCTTTCATCGTGACCTGAAACCCGGTTAAAAATGTACCCCTTTCCGGGGGAGAGACCACTAAACGAACAGTTGTTGAACACATCACGGTGATATATTCAACAATTATTCTTTGAAATCGAGGGGATAGTGGCGAATAGTGGCCACTACATTCACCGAGATTGAAAAGAATAATTGTTTTAGTGCATACACACGAAGTGACCTCAACAAAATCAGAAAGGAAACCATTAATGCCGCAAATAGTAAATGCGCAAAAGTTAGATTTTTACAGTATTTTCAAACATGGCAAATCATAGTTTTTGTAAGCTTTAGCATCAATGGTTTAAAAGAAAACGTCCAAAGTTTAGATTACTGCTCCTTTAGGGAAGAAACGTTGAGATTTAATTGCTTTTTTCAACTCACCGTGAATGGGAAAGGTTTTTTTCTTCTTGCAAATGCTGTCAACAGCGGCTACCATATCGAGGTGAGAGTTGTTTATCTGTAGTGTTCTTTGCTTTGTTAACTTGCTAACACGTACAATTTTCGAAAATAGTTGCTTTTCTTTTTTTCTCCACAAATTAACTTCTATTTCTAGGAAAAATTTGTCTTGCAAGGAAATCCCGAGTTCTCAAAACAGTGACAATTAAGTAGTCTGCGCGCAGACGAAATTAAACTCTGGTTAACTCCGTCTGCGAAACAGCGCCGAAATCCTTGTTGTGGACTTCCAGCTGTGTACCCAGATTTGAGTACGCGCCACGATTGGCCAGTTAAAAAAGGCCTTTGTTTTGTTTGTCGTGATCGCCAATCAGGTTGAAGGGGAATTCGAAAAGCACTTCCGGTAATTCGTTGAGTCCGTTGGGGCTCCAGAACAAGGATCTCTGCGCTGCTTCGCAGACGGTACTAATCAGAGTTTAGTTATCGTTTGCACGCAGGCTAACAATTAAGCGGCCTCGTACGTTTTCCTCTATAGTGGTAAACATTGCTTCGAGCGTACAAAAAGTCAGCTACAGTAAATCACTTCACAATAAATCATGCTATTTAAGCACCATGAAGTCTTTTCTTACCTTCAAAAACGTCAACACAAGGATGTTCTTGTATGTTCAAAAAAATATTACTCCCGGCGAAACCCACATCCAGTTCACGACAGCGATTTTGTTTTGCTTTAGAAGCATATTTTTAGTCCAACTTGCGATTCTCAGTTAAAGCCTCACCAGAGGCAAATAACCCCTACTGGCCTCACTTAAGAGTCTCACTAGCCTCACTTTAAAAAGAGCCTGACAAACAATAGACCTTTTTACCGATACGGTGGCCATATTGAATTAATTAGATTTAAGAAGTATTATGAGCACGATGAGCACGATCCGAAATACTCGCTCAGTAAGAATGCGCGCTTTTCGGGGCAATTTTTCGTAATGGTTTTGTAGAATAAGATTGTAATGGGAATAAGATCGTTGTGCCGTGTTTGGATGTAATAATGATCGCCTTTTCCCGAGAAATATACAGTGAAAGACCATACCAGTGTCTACCGAATGTCCACAATATTAATATCAATTCTATATTCACTCGCTGTTTAGAATCAGTATCTGACTTCTTCTCGTTACTCGTAGTTGGTTGCACTAGAAGCCTTTCCATGGGAGCCTTTCTCTTACGTGTTACTATTTCCCGATCATAGCCCTTCAGAAAGAGCGTGGAATGGGGATGATTGTCAACTGGTCTTTCATATTTAAAATAATTAGAGCAAACTTCAGAAGTATTTTTGCTCACCTTAAAACCCTTCCGCTTCAGTAGCCTCGCCCAAGTAGCAAGTTCCTTGGGTCCTTGCAAAACCAGAAACGTATTTCTAGTTTTCCTCCGAAGAAACTGGTATTGTCTTTCACCATATATTTCTCGGGAAAATATATGAAAATTATATATAAAATTTTTGGAAAATTGGACTCTCTGAAACGCCATATCCTGCATTCCCTGGATCGAACGCAACTACTTTTGCGTGTATTTTGTTGAGCTTCTCTCAGAGTCTCATTATTCATGATTCCCGAGCCGAAGAGCAAAGATTCATGATTCCCAAGTTTTTAAAACAAAGATTCATGATTCTTACATGTTTTGTAAGCATGATTCATGATGCATGATTCCACTCAACCTTCGACACCAGGGTCTCTCTTCTTCCGGTCCCTTGAGCGAGGTTGGTCTCTCTTTGCGCCAAGTTTCCTCGACACTTATTTTGAGTGATGAAAATATGGCAAATAAATAATCTGCCTTTCAAAAATATGTATCAAATTACATCTGTTTTTTTTTGTCGATCCATGTTTCCCAATGTACAGGATGAAAAAAGTAAGGTAAAAAACAGTGTTATAAGGCACCGATGGGATTCGAACCCATGCCCTCCTGTTTACTAGACAGGCGCTCTAACCAACTGAGCTACGGCGCCTCTCCGTTCACCGTTCCGGCACTTTTTACACATCATCGATCTTAGAGTGAAACTCTACGGACCCCCAGAATCACCACTGAGGATAGACATAGGAATATCATATTCGAACATTTCAGAATCCCCACGAAATATTCTTATAAGCCTATTTAGTAGCTGCTTGGAGAGCTGTGAGTCAGGAAAAAGGAATCTTTAAAGAAGTCTTTGAAGGTTTAATCCCTGGAAGCGATATGTCCACTTGTTTCAAGCCAGAAATTTCCAAAACATGACAGACTTCTTTTTCGAGATTTTCAAATCCACCAATGAAGTTACCCAATGAAGTCACCAATGAAGTCACCACCCTCTGTCTGTGTTTTGATACTGAAATCTGCGTATCAATCTGTCGGCTTTACAGACGAAATACAGATGAACCGTGTTTTTTCCCCTCCTGCGTGTTGTTCAATTAATTATTTGACCGTTGCCTGAATATAGTCTGTGTACAGCCGTCCGACTCCGCTCAAACAAAATCGGGGAGAGAGGCTCTCTTCCCCGATTTCGTTTGAGAACATGGGCGGCCTGTACACAGCTTACCTATTAACGATGGGCGCCTGTACACAGGTTACCTATTAACGATCGCTAAAATATCCCTACAAACCCTTACAATATTACACAACAACGATCACTCCTGAGCTTGGTCAGCTTGGGGCACCTGTGGTCTCAGTTACATGCTCAGTATACGAAGATCATTCAATAACAAACAAATAAAGAGACTGGCCTTTTGCTGCCCGCTTTCGTTGACTGCTTCGACCGGAGTTTAAGAATTTCCGATTGTGTGAGAAATTTGAGATTCGCAATCAATCGGCCCAAGTTTGACTTGTCAGTCCACAACAAGATAACATTTGCAATAAAATATCTTCTCATGTTACATCTAGGGTGTTGACGTCATCAGTCACGTGGCCGTTGCTGAATTAGGGTTTTTTGCAGAGGTGACAAGATTTCATTATTGGGTTAAAATGAAATAGCATATTTCATGGTTTGGTTATGTGGAGCATTTAAAAATAACCAGTTGAAGTCCTACATTTAAAATTTAAGGGGGCAATGAACATGAGCGAAAAAGTCGGGAGACTAGGCCGAGGGTAGGAAAGTAAAGTTCTACAATTATGTTGGTTGAATTATGTTCTACATATTCTACCTGATAAAAAAGATCGCTTCTGGAATCGAGGCCATGAGACCTGTTTCCCTCGGCTACATTGCATCTTATATATCAAGCTGTAATTCAATCTCACTTCGACTACTGTAGTATATAGTGTTTGGGGAACCCGTGGGGTAATTTTACAAGATAAGCAGCAAAAACTGCATAATGGAGCAGCCCGCGCTCTCACATTCTCAAGTTATGACGCTGATGCTGGTCAATTGTTAGAAATTTTGGGGTGGAAAAATCTTGACCGCCTACGAAACATACCGTCATGGTTTTCAAATGCCTACATGGGTTAGCTCCGGACTATTTAGCATCAAAATTCTCTCAGCGCAGTACAAGTTACAACCTAAGGGACTCCGCGAACAAACTTAATGTTCGATTACCACGCACAAATTATTTCAAAACGGTTTTTGTTATAGTGTGGCACTACACTGTGGAATAACCTTCCTTGCGAGGCAAGGGGCGCATCACTGTTCCCTCGAGTGGTTCAAACGCGCCATCAGTAAAGCTCTTAAAGGCACGGTATTCACGGAAAGCAGCTTTTAACATACTGTAGTTTAATTTTTAGTTTAATATAATCATAGTTGTGTAGTTATATTTTGAGATCTCTTCGTAAATAGGATGAATTGTCCGTGCACGGTTAAATGACGTTCATCTATCTATCTTCAGTTGCACTATACAAGACCGTTAATTTCTGGGATAAGAATTTGGCCCAAGGTTTCTTCGCAACCTCGTAATAACCAAATAAGGAGGCTTTAGCCCGCCTCAAAAGAACCCCATGATGTCAAACTAGACAGTAGCAACGGCCGACCCAGTCTCTCACGAAATCTGAGAATATCCAATGGAGCGTTTTCGCTAGCCTGCGTATAGCAGGCGCTTGGAAGTAGCGGGCGAAAGAGAGACCGGGCGCGCGCGGTGGCCAGTATTTATGCAAACTTATTGGAACAAAATAAAGGATTTACATAAGAAAAGAGTTCAAGTCCCAGAGGACTTGTTTGGAACACCAAAATGGCCGCCGTTTTATTGTTTTGGAACACCAATATGGCCACCGCGACGTCATGTGAAAACGCTCTACAGAGTTATTGGACTGGCCACAGTGGCTGTTAAAACGTTAGATAGCACTATCCTCCGGATAAATCACAATACAGAGGATAATTATTTAGGAAATTCGCTGGGTGTAGTTATCTAACTTTTGAACAACTAGGGCCTGAGTCAGTTGTCCTTCTCTCGCCAGGTCGGGGGCAGAAGCGGAATCATTTGAATCTTGATATATTCATGATTCCTGCCGTTTTCTTGTGCCTCAATAATTCATGATTCCTACAAGAATTTTCTTCCAGATTCATTATTCACGAAGACTTTTGATCACCTATTGACTTAATGATTTTCTCAGTTGCAACTTAGTCTCCTTTCGTATAGTTTCTTCGGCGTTCAAACTTCTAATTCATCCAAACTCGGTATCATCATTTGTTTGGTCTAGGTATGGAGTTTTCTTTTGTAACTGAACATTAAGCACCAGGTTACTGGAGACACAAGCGGACTATCAGCCCCGATTACAGGAATTATATAGGGGGGTCCGGGGGCATGCTCCCTGGGAAAAAATTTGGAAAACTGGACTCTCTGAAACGCCATCCTGCATTCCCTGGATCAAACGCGACTAATTTATACGTGTATTTTGTTGAGCTTTTCTCAGAGTCTTGTTATTCATGATTCCCGAGCCGAAGTGCAAAGATTCATGATTCTCAAGTTTTTAAAACAAAAGAGTCATGATTCTTACATGTTTTGTAAGTATGATTCATGATTCATGATTCTGCTTCTAACCGCGATAATCGAGTTCAATAACTGTTTTATCATTCGATCACCGAGTTTGGGAAGAGAAGCAATCTGCCATTTTCACTTAAGAGCAATCGCAACAAGGAGAAAAGCGTGGTTTCGTTTACGCATAAGCAGAATATTATTTGCAGCCAACAGTGTGCATGAACAGACCATCATTTGTAGGCACTTATTTGCAGGTCACGTGGTGAGCTCTCGGTCAATGAAAAGGAAGAAAAATTTGCAACGAATGATAATTTCATTTATTTAATAACTTTCTAGTCGATGCAGTAAATGTTACGCTTCTTACTGCAAAACAAATTATATGTTTACAATGACTTGTTATTAAATTTACATCTTTAAAAGTGCTAAAATGTAAATCAAGTAATTTAAAAATCATACATACTAATAGAAGTATAAACCGTATTCCTTAGCGTTAACTAGGTAATTGGGTTGTGTCAATGAGTTATAATGTTTACGGAGCCTATAATAAAATTGGGATATAAAAATATAGTTTTAAATTACCGAACGAAAGTACGTTCATCTCTGATTAATATACAAGGCTTAGGCACTGTTTAGAGTTAGTGTAGAAAATTAACTTGAATATTTTACACAAACCATATTTTTAGTTGACCCCGAAATGAGGTCGTGTTTTACCTTTTCCAGATCATGATCATCTAACCTGGTGTCAACTAGAGGAGTATTATCAGAACCAAATTAAGTATATTCTTTTATTACATAACTGATGCCATATACGTATATAAATTATTACAAATATAACTTGTGTTCAAGGATTCATGACTGATATCTAATAAATGTTTCAAGATGTAATGGTTCGACAAATAAGTTACATCGGTTTGCTTTCATGAATTCTTGTTCTGCGTTTAACCTACCCTATCTCGGATGACTGGTCAGCAGAAATACGTCTCTAACTGAGTGCTCAGCATGTTTTTCTATGATTGATCACCTGTTTTAACGGGGATCTTCGACCACTTCCGTCGCAAGAAATGGATTAAACGCTCCATAATGATTTTTTTATCGCCTAGAGGCTTTTTCCTGACCTCGAGCCCAAAGTGTCTCTTCAAAACTGAAGCAAGTTCTCGTTGCGTGATATAATAGTTATCCAGCTCTTCATATTTGCACGGCTTCGGGGTAGTTATGAGGGATTGTTTGGCAGGATCGTCATTGATTCTGTCAGAGTCTAAAAAATCAAAGAGGTGCAAGCGGTGAATTAAAAGTGCAAATTATAAAGCCAGCATTGCCGGCCAGCAATCTCTTTCATCTTCCCTTTATTTAACTTCGCGGGCTGTTAGTGTTATGGCGCGTGTGGTTTATCCCGACTTCCAATTTCCCTTTGGGGCGCCAGCCTGCAGGCTGGCACCAGGCCTTCTCAGGTACTAGGCAGATAATAGAACGTATTATAATTTTTGTTGCTGAGCTTGTAACGAGTTTTTCCTCGATCTTTATTAGCTACCCCGGAGTCTCAGCGGTTGATTAAGGACAAGAACCATTTACCGGTTAATTCGGAAGAGATGAGATGTATGACACGATACCCAGAGAATAGAACCCCTGTACCACGATATCCTGGGATGGCATCTTTGCTTCATTTTCATCATTGCGGACACCCTCAGATATATTTACGCCTATTTCAATTAAGGTTGCTTCGGTGAAGACTGGTGGATGATCATAGCCCGCAGTGCGTTATGGGAGCAAGTTCATTAAATTATGTGTCATAGGCAAACCTAGAAACCTAGTCAGCAAATGCCGACTAACGCTACTTGGCTATATCAGTAGAACGCAGACACTGAATCGGAGACCTTTAGCCAAGCCCGCTTTAAGTTAGACAGTGATTTGAGTCCTAGTTTCGTGGTAACATTCAGACGTTGCAAATTTTCGACGTGTTCACTTTACTCGCACAAGTGTTTTACGGGAGTAATGGGCCATCCCAGTTTGCAGGCCGATGTGGTTAGGGTTCATGTAGGCCCGTGTTAACTTGGGCGCCAATTTGGCCAGACTCGTGCCCTACTTTTCCTGGTTCTCGATTCCATACTATATGGCCGGACCTCGGTTGTAAGGTCTCTGGATGGTTTTTGAGCATGCAATAATATAAATCAGAAATTCAGAACTGCCTGGAATTAAAAAGTGCATGGGTGATCACCGTTATAAACGGGTCTGGTTGATGATTATCTTCGCTATTATTACTGTGATTAGCTCAAATCCCTGTCTAATTCTTCATAACGAGCTAGCGTTAACCAAATTTGAAAGATGTTTTTGAGATCTGGTAAAATGACGTCAAAAGTGAGAGCTATCGCTAGAAACAGCCACGGCAACCGAGAGGTTCTGGGGACTGGGGACGGATGACAACTGCTATCTGAAAAGAGTTTCTCAGGAAGAAGGAAACTTAACACCCATCGAGGTAAGCAGGTTTGCATGTAACACCCTTCTTCAGATCATACTCAGCTTCATTCAATGACATGCTTGTTAGTGAAGGCATCAGGACGGGAAGGAAAAGAAGACGACAAGCCTTGTGTGACAAGCATGAAAACAATTCCGTTTGGAAACATTCAACACCAAACTTCCCCTTCCTTTAAACAGATCTCTTCGCAAAAGACCCGAAAAACACCAATGTTAAGAGAAGACACGACAAAACAGTCAAGTAATAGGCCTGTCCTTTTTGTTTCACACAAATGTTTTGACGTCTTCTTACTCTTTCTGCCTTCCTGTTGCGTAAGCTTAATATTTATTATTACCTCTGCAACGCCCTCGGTACTGAATGTCAAGAAACGTATTTCCCGAGCACATTTTCTCTTTCAAAGCGCAGTAGCTTGGGTACGTCATGTTATCTGTGCCGCACAGTTCTGAACTGGGTTTTACTGATCCTGGGAAGGATTCTTTGCAAGTGCAAGAGATGCACCGTGGTTTGTTGTTATTGTCGTACACACAGTGTCGTCTGACGGAGTAAATGTTTCCTCTGATGTCCCTTTGTACGTCTTCCTTGGGGCAGCTAATTTTTTGGCACGTCGCATTTGCTAATCGAAGAAGGAAACAGAAAATCAGTGTTAGGGGTAATGAAAAATAATCCATGTATCCGAATATCAATGGCTTCGTGTCGTGGTCGTCGTCTTGAATCAACAAAACACTTTTCATCACTGTCAGGTGAAAACGCCAGCAAAGTTTTAAAGATATCTTAATGTACCAAGTAATCCTCTCTGACTAATGGAGAATAAGTTGAATAGCAATGAGCCAGATTCTACAATTACAGTTGCTATTTTTAACGTTTAAGATGACCCCATACATCACTATAACTAACATTTTTCTATTAAATCCTTTCCTACGAAGCATTTTCGAAAGCCCAAAAAACCTAAAACAAATATCTATGATAGCTGAGTGTTAACTGTTGTCTTAACGGGAAAAAAGGACGGACTCAAAATAGATTAAAAAGGGCTATGTCACGAAGATTTTGCTGTTTTTGATCAATTATTTGCTCAAGTCATTACTTAGCATCTTGACCTATACACAGAATGCTCCTGTAGAGTTATGAACAACATATCAAACACATTTCATCAGGGACCACTAACATTTGTTTTGGTGATTTTTGCGGAGATAAAAAACTTAAATATGTTGGCCCAATTCTCTAAAGTTTCAATCGATGTCCATCCTTCCGATCCGCAGTAACAGACGACAAAAAACCTTTTCAATGCCTAAATAAGGTCTTAAATAACAATACTGGGCCATTATTTTTTTAATTCAGTTGATGCAAAGACAAGTTTTGGGTTTTTTTTTTTCTTAAAAAAAAGATCAAATTTGTTAAAATATTTTTCTAAGACAGCACAAATTGACGAATCAGTGATCGAACTGGAATTTTAAAATGTTACTTTTAAGCAAGAGAGAATGTTGTTACAGTTGAATGACGACTACTCACCGATACAATTGCCTTTGTAGGCCACACCGATCGTTTTTCCTTGTTTGCAAGATTCCAGTCTTAAGTGATCGTCGTTTTGATACTGAACGCCGTCTGCTCCGCATATGGGGTCGTACCTCGTGAAATTCGATTTAGAGTTGTAAAGTGCCTCACATGACACACAGCTTGGTACATTGTACACGTCTACCACGCAAGTGCGGTTTTTACGACAAACAACATTGTCGCACCCGGCTAAAAAAAGAGTGAATTGTTAATAACAGTCGCAGACCTCCAACCACTTGGCTGTTTGGCCAATGTCAAGCTAAGATATTTTTGTGAGAGGATGTATACGAAATATATCAGATTTGAACTTTACATATGAAAGTTGATGGCTTTTCTAACCGGCCACAACCTCCACAAGGCTCTATCTTAGGGCCTATACATTTTATAAGTTAATGACATTCATCTTTGATCAACTTTCCGTGCGTTTATACTATTTGCTGATGACACAAATTGTTTTATCTCAAAGGATGATCTTAATGTGTCACAAGATACAGCTTGATATAGCTAGAGAAAGTCTCTAATTGTTAACAGCTATTATTGTTCATTTAAAATATTTCACGGTTTCCGATTGGCTCCAATCTCCTGGTTAATTTTTAATCTGAAATCAAAGAGTGAGTGTTGTCGCTGGCTATGCTGTAATATAATTAAGCAAGAGTTTTAGAATTTCGACATTTCATGAATCGAGTCCCACTGAGTAACTTCCATGACTGTTCTCGATGGTGCGTCTTATGGCAAATTTAAAATTTGTCTTCCATCTCTACGGGGTAACGCTTGCAGGGATTTAGTGTGGTTACAGTTTTTGCAATTTTCCAAGATGGTGATTTCGTAAGTCACAGAAGAGAGGATCAACATAAAGTATAAGTAAGAAGAGATTTTCTTTTTAAAAAAATAGCACTATCTTACACTAGCTTGTTGACAAAGTTGTTCTTCAAATCTATAAGATGAGTTAGTTCACTTGCAAATAGAGTCATAGGCGGGCTTTGTCTACCCTATCACCTTTGAAAGATAATTTACCGGGAGACCCACCACGAGGAGACCCATGCCTAAACTACATCACTGGAGCTTAAGCAACCATGACGGCGACGGCAAAGAGTACGGCAAAAAAGCAATAGGTTTATTTTTCTTTGCCGTCGTTGTACGACCACAACGTAAAAGTGCTTAATATCACGTTTTGTCGAGGACGGGAACACAAGAAAACAACTTTCATTTTCTTTTCCTGAACTTTGAGAAAATTCTTTAAAATTCAATTACAAAAACTTTTGCCAACATTTGACGAATTAGACGAGATGGAATAAGCGCGATAAACAAGCGCTAATTCACTTTTTAAGTGACGCTTTCGTGGCTGTCGCTTTCGTGGCTGTCGCTTTCGTGGCTGTCGCTTTCGTGGCTGTCGCTTTCGTGGCTGTCGCTTTCGTGGCTGTCGCTTTCGTTGTTGCTTAAGCTCCCTAATCAGAGCAGCTCAGAGCCTAATCACCTCTGCGGCGGCTGCTATAATGCCAGCGTGGTTGCATTGACGATGTGGTCGTTATCACACCTGACTGGTTAAAATTTCCTTTTAAAAAATTTATTCTGTTAATTTATATTCATAGCAATATGTATGGGCCACTCGAGGTTGCAAGCCACTACGATCCACGCTCGACAAAATTATAAACTGCTGCTTCATGAGGCCTTCGGCCTCGCTTTGCGAAGAATAAACTTCTTTTATTCAGTCAAAAAACAATTGCACTTACTTTGACAACTGCCTTCATAATCTATTTCAACATGGGACAACCCTCCATTTTTGCATGTCATTCTTCTGAATTCACACTCGTTGTTGTATGTGTTTCCATCTGTGCCGCACACTGGCTGATGTCTTTTTAAGTCTGGAGTATGGCAGCTTGGACAGAGGCATTTTGGCTTGCCGTATCTGATCTTACAGACTTTTCCATATCTGCATCTCGTGGTCTCACAGCTGGGCGGATTTACGAAAGATGAATTCACCGTCCGACCTAATATGAACCAATGAAACTTTATCACAACTGACGGTCAAAGCCGAGGTAGTTTCCTTGAGTTTACGCAACAGAACGGCAGAAAGAAGAGGGCGGCAAAACGCCTGAGTGTGACAAACGTGACAGACCTATTACTTATGTGTTTGTGTTGATCGTGACTTAAAATGTTTCCTGGTCTTTTACAACAAGACCTGTCTGTTAAAGGAGGGTGAAGGTCGGCGAAAACATTTTTCAAACAAAATTATTGTCACGCTTGTCACACAAAGTTTGCCGTCTTCTTTCCTCTACCGTCCTGTTGCGTAAGCTCACTTCCTCAGAAGAAACCCCTGAGTGAATTAACTGTAAACTTTGGATATGATAAAGGCTCCGAGATTTTGGAAGCTTGGCTAGCGCTAGTCCTGGATAACTAGAACTATAAGGGTGTATTAGTTGTCAAGGTGAGTAACCTTGGATTCGCGTTAATCAACTTGTGAACATCTAGGCCCATAGTTCAAAGGGGCAGCATAACCCTTCCTTTCCTGCGCACTTATCAACCCAAGTTTCCTGTCGCATTAACTTTCTTAATACTACATACGCCGCACATCCACAGACCAAATTTAAATTTACGCTCTTCACAGTGTCTTCAGGAAAAGCACCCAGGAATCTGTTTCCAATACTAAGCCAGTCAGCAGATAAATCACTCGTGGACTTTGCAAGTTCATGCATATAGTTATTAAAACAATAAAGCGCTTGTTGATAACAACATCATTCTGACTAGATGCTTAAAATTTTATGGTGGTAGCTGATTAAACAAGCTCAGTACAATGAAGGGTACCTAAGTTTAAAAGATCCATCTAAAGCAACGCTTAAGACATACCTTAACGTAAGTGGGTTTCTTGATAAATCCTGAAGTATTTCAAAAACTTTCAAAGATATCAGATAGTAACATGAAAATTTCTGAAGAAATCCAGCCTGTGATCTTGCTTCAGGAAAGAGTAGAATATGATTGCTTATAGTGCTGGATCGCAAAGTTTAAGACCTTGCTTCTCAAAAAGTAATCGCCGATAATTACGACTTACCATCCTTTTTACAGGGAGCACAAGGCCTCTGTCCAACTTTCAACATATGGAAAATTATCCTATCTTCTTCAGTCACATTAATGTAGTACGCGGCTCCGTTACTATTGCAACAATCCTCATCCCTCTTGAATTCCCACTCTCCTACGAAGGATTCATATTTGCACGTGCCATTTTTAATGTCCTTGAAGCACAACCGGTATTCGAAACCTACACATGAGACGGCCATACATCAGTCAATTGTGCAGTTACCCTACCCGCGAAATAGTTGTCTTGAGTTATAACTAACCGTATAGGGCGCTGAATTAGCCTTCTGGGCTTTATAAGTAGGGCGCAAACGATACAATGGAGGAAAAGCTATAAAGCTACCCCAAATGATCCCACAATTGTGGTATCATCTAAGCCATGCCAGAGTTCTCTAACTAGTAAACTAGTGAACATCCGCAATGCTAGGGTCATGACTCATCCTAGTACAGCGCCTAATTTCAACATGAAAGCAAAGCTTTATATGTGAAAGAGCTATATCTAACTGCCATATCTAGAGCTATATCTAACCTTATTACTTTTAATTTTGGCCCAAAATTCTCGATCCACTTTTGACGTGAAGAACCCACCAAGTGGTCATAGGGAACGTACCACAAACGTTTCCATTTCGGCTTATACGTTTAACTTTGTTCTAGTTTTCTCAACAATTTTTGTCTCTTTGTAAAAGTCCCGTTAATTTTCTTCATTTTTAAATGTTGCCGTCTCTTTCGCGTTTATCTCCTTTATAAGAAAGTCGTTTTTCATTAAGGTGATGTCACACGAGACAATTCGCAACGACGATTTTTTGCGCAACACAGCTTGCATCATTGTTGCCACATTGTTTCGAACGGTTGCAACATTGTTCCAACTTGCAACGCTGTGTTGCGCTGAAAATCGTTCTTGCGAATCGCTCCGTGTAACATCACCTTTAAATTCGCGTTTAATGATTTATGTAGCGTTAAGTCCCAATACTTTAATTTCATGGTGCGTTAATTTCCTGTAATATGGTAGGTGTAGAGAAAAAGAGAAATGTCTTTTTTCAAGTTAATTAGAAACAACAAATAAACGAGAAAACGACAAACAAACGAACGAATGAGCAATGAGCCGTGACAACACTTCCTGGAGCGAAGAAAGTGACACCAGCCACACCGCAAAGGGCCTTCCTCAAACTTTTTTTGTTTACTATCTTTTATTAAGATATCCAACATCAAGAATCTTGTTTAACATTTACTAGCCGGAAGAAAGAGACCTCCAAGGCGCAAAAAATAATCGGAAGAAACACTTAAAAAATCCCTGAAGTAAAGGAAAACAACTACAAATTCATTATTTTGCGTACGAGGTCAAAGTTGAAATCTGATATGTTTTTAGGCTTCTGCTAGCAGGGAAGATATGTTCTAGCAAAGTTCTAATGTGCAAATTACGTTTCCTTCAATTACCCACAGGCAGGCCACAGTGCAGGTAATTGTCTATATTTATTGATTGACGAGCTCAGTTTTTCGAAGGCCGATTAGCGGTAACCCTTTCCTTCAAAAGTACTTTCTATGTTAATTTCCCATATTCTTTCAGAGAATCCAATAATCAAATTGTAGACAAGAAGAATTAAACTGAATTTGCTTTTTTAGCTTTCATCTGAATCAAATTTCGCACTAATTCTGGGTTATCTTAAACGTAGATTTGAAAAGCACGGCCCGGTTCTCTTATATGAAATCTACTACTGTAAAAAAAATCCCGAAATTACGCCCCGGGTCTTATATTTTTCAAAGGCCTTCGTTCATCGAAGGAGCGTATAATTGATAGGAACGGTTGGGCTGCGTTTCAGAAACGGTTGGGCTTTGTAGAGGGAAATTTGTAACCGAGACAGACTATTTTCAAGGTCTTTATGGCATTATAAGAGGATTAACTCAAACACACGAGCAAAACTCCTAATTAAAAATACCGTGCCTTAAGGCTACTGTCTATTGCGTCGAAATATTCTGCGATTTTTGCGCGACTGTTCGATCGGCAACGAATCGCAACAGAATTCTGCCCCAGTCCCGGGGGGGGGCACTTTAGGAATTTCTGGGTGGGGATGTGCCGCTGGGACCCTGGAACCCTTGACCTATCCCAGAGCTAGTTGAGCTGAATTTTGCTACCCTATACTAGGGTAAACTCCCAAAATCCCCCTACCCTAGAGTAGCTGTTTCCCCAGTCTAGATAAAATCTTCAACCAACTGATCAGTTTCCTGAAAAATGGTTCCCTATTCTAGACCCAAACGCTCTGATTTATATACCCTATCCTAGAGTAAACTGCTTGAAAACCATACCCTTCACAGCGGCACATACCCATATAACCCATATATGGCAGTACCCCCCCCCCCGGGCCCCAGTACCTTGTAAGCTAAATGGCAGCAGAATCTCTTACCAATGAAGGCTTCCTTAACGCCATAAAATAACCCATTTGTACGATAGTTTTATGTTTATAAAAATATAATGTGTTAAACTGAAACTCACGTCTAGGATGGTTTAGTTTTGTATTTTTAGAGCAAAGCAATCCCTCGGAAGCTTACATACATATGCTTAATTACCATAACACAAAATAAAACAAATTAAAAGAAAGCATGGATTCTTATCGTGATAGTTTGGAATTGATTGTTATAGCGGACTAATAAGGACGTGATCTATAAAACAAAGGATTCCTCAGTTGTAAAGCTTGATACATTAAGTAATCTAGCCATGTTTGGGACCTTTGTTGTTGTAAAGAAACTTATTTGTTAGGAAATCTGAGAATATGTATTCAGTTATGTCATAAGTAACTGCTGATGTCTAGTCTTTTACCATGTTAATATAACAGAAAAAGAGTTTCATTTTCAATTTTACAAGAGGAGTCAGTAAATAATCGTAGACCAACATGACGGCCCTTACATTCGAAAGGGTGCATTTTCGGAATTCAACGGTCTTTAGATGCCTAAATTAACGAAAACACACTGAAGCTATTGCTCGCCAACTGTTACTTATGTCACTTATTTGAAGTAAAAGTCGTGCATTTTTAAGCCAGTCAAGTGAAAACTGATGCCAAAACTCCTCCCTTGTGCTACCTTTCCCTGAAGTTTATTTTGTGATTGCAATAAAAGCAATGCCAGCACGGAAACTCACAGATCTTTTGGGAAACGTAGAGCGCCACCAGTAAGTTCACAAAAACCGTTTAATGTCGTAAAGAACTGAGATAAGACGAGGTGATATCACAGAAAACCTAATGGACAAGTTCGCTTTCTTTTAGCATTATTTAAACTTACATCATCCGGGGGGGGCGTGGTCTCTAAATGGCCTACACGTGGGGGGGCGGTCTGCCCCGAAAGGGTTACCTTTTGCAGACTTCAGGTATCAGTGAAAGGGTAGGGATTTACTAGTTAAAGTAATGAAAGGGTTGGGAAATCTGTCATTTGTGTCTGTAAAAGGACTTAAAAGGGAAGACAAAGGCAGGGCTCAAAATAACGGCCAGTCAACTTAACGGACAAAGTCCGGACTGATTGGCCGGGAGTTGACTGTTCAACCTTTCGTCTTGCCGGTCATGTTGACCGGTCACATTCGCTAGAATTGAAAATGATATAAATTAAAATTTCCAGGTTATTTAGTTATTTCAGTTGTTATCAGTATGTAGTATGTAGTGGATGTGTATTGCAGAACTTTAATCTGAAATCCTCGGTGAACTGCAACTAGAACCGTTGTTTACGATTCGCACATTGAATCAAACATTGGGGCTCACGCACTTCCGGTTTCAAAATTAAAAATGTTGTCATTTTTATTAGTTAAGCAACGACTTTTTGCAGGGCTTCTGTTAGGTCGCGGAAAAAAAGTCAAGTTTCGCGGGATTTTCAGAGACAGATTCACGGAAAAAAACGGCCGATTTCGCGGGAATTTCGCGGAAATTTTGGTGCTGACTTTGCCAAAAAACAATCGGTAAAGAACGGCCGAATTTTCTAGCCAAATTTCACAAGAAATCGATCGATTTTGTGCTGATTTGACGAGCGTGTTTAATGTTTTTTGACAGAGATAATCATTTTCTATTTTAACAACAAGGCGCTCGAGAAATGAGCCTATCGCAAAGCTTTTTAATCATGACCAGTGCCCAGTTTTCCACAACATAATTTACGCCTGGTAGTTTTGGAACGTTGTTCGCTCATTCTGGTGATGAAGTTTACGGTAATTAAGCCGAGATAAGTTTCTATTATGTTTTATCGCCTTGTATTCGGTAAGACTTCTACCTAAATTTCGCAGCCTGCAAATATATAGCGCCCATAATGGGCCCTTCATGTTTTAAGAGTTATTTATCTTATATTTTTGACCAGAAACGATACGTGACCGAGGTAAAATGAATTTGGGCGGTCATCGTGTCCGGAGACTCTCCGGAAGTTATTTTTAGCCCTGAAGAAGCATCTTGTAGCTTTGAAAAACACAGGAAAACTTCCTGGTACATAAAAGGGTAAGGGCATGGCGTCGTTGTTAAGTGCCCGCCCCCGAACAACATCGCACTGCTATAGCTCACCTTACCATTAGCACCCCTTGCAAATGTAATCACTAAGTTTTTTAACATAAAACTAGATTTTCTAAATAGTGTAAAGTCTAATCGACTTGACAGCGTTTACGGAGCTAGCAAAAACGACAGTCCAGAGTAAACTGTCTTAGAGCGCACGTGACTCCTAACATAAACATTACAAAACAGACGTTTCGTCAAGAGTTATTTTTAAAAGTTAAACTCCAGAGTTTATAAATCGAACGGAGACGTATAAAACACATCCGTATTTTAGCAATACAACTAGAACAGATAGAATAAACTGAATCAACCAGATGTAAGTTAGGGAAAACTCGTATTGCCTGAGTTCAACAGGCACACTGGGAGCCAGTCGTAATTTCCGTAAAATCAACAAGTGAAAGATACAGGGGGGTCTTTATTTGTATTTGCGTATGTTTTCTTGATTATTATAGAAAACAAAATACTATGAAAGACGTTTTCGCAGAAAAGAAGGAATTCCTCATTTTTTGACGGGAATGATGAAGTAGGATGTTAATGAACTTTGCAATCAGCAGAAAAGAGCAGACCAAAAGAACAAAAAAGTGACGCAGAACAGAACCAGTTGAGAAACTGCGTGGTCTTTGAAGAAGGTTTGGGAAACTGACTGAAACAACAACCTACCTTTAGATCGATAAACGTTCAAGAAAGCTAGCAGCAGACCCGTCAACACCTGGGAAGGTTTCATGTTAACCAGTTTCTGTCCACTTAGAAAAACTGCAAAATCTAATCGATCGTGCAAAGACTGACTGACCAAAGCGCTGGAAATGCGAACTTATATCTACTCTTAAAACACCGCCCCAGCCGCTTGAGCTGACAGGCAGACAGGAAATGACCGTGAAATGATGGCAACTTCCGGTTCCAACAAGGCTCAAGCTGAGTCACGTTACGACCTCGCAGCAGGAAATAAATGATAAAGTCGAGTATCGTGATTTGACAAACACTTTACCAGGCTTATTTGTCATCTTTATTAAATAAAAGAGTATTAAATAATTGAGAGGTAAAGTTAAACACGCAAATGTGAACCTCATGTGAATTCCAAAGAAAGCTGAAGATTTCCTTATTTTTGCCTTTCCTTTGAATGGTTAATTAAAAACAACTACTGTAACCTGTTTTGTAAAGCCTCACTGAAATTTTACTTAAAATTCATTATGCTAATGGTAGCCTGACGTAACTAGGGCGGCCATGTGTTATTTCGTCTTTTAGGACAGCTAAAAATGTACGAGGAGTTTTGTTCCGGGAAACGCCCTTCTGGAGGCTATTACGGAACCTTTACAGTCCAGTCTAATTTTTCGTGAAAAGAGACTTAGTAGAGGTATAAAGACAGCTGGAGATTCTTGTAGAGACTACATGCTACCGTGGTAAGTTTATTTTAATTTTGGATTATTAAGCTGGATTTTGATCCTGCTAATCTCAGATGACCTGAATAAATGCACTTGACGTATTGTCAGCGGAAAGGATTAATAGACAACCGAGCGAATTTATGGTGAAAGGAATTATCTTTAGCGTTTTTAATGTGCTATGACGGAAACCACAGTGGTAGCATTAGTTTGCCACGTTTTGCTTTTTACGTGACAATTCTACAGCTGAAAACTAATGATAAAAAAAGGAATCTCAAATATACGAACTGATCGTAAATAGAATACCCCACTTTAGACATTCTACTTAAGTGCTTCTGCCAGACAGATAAAGTGATTTTTTAACAGTGCATGTCTCCCTTTTTAAAGTTGTATAATTGTACTAAACTCCTTTTCTTCTGGCTTAATATATTGCTTCCTTTTTCCCACCATTGATCTCCTTGGAACTTTGGACGTACAATACGATCAATAATGTAGTTTTACGTTTCATTAAGATTTGTGATTATAAACAACGCAGTTAAAAGAATTTTACGTTATAAAGTAACAAACTAAACTGACAAGAATCAAATCAAAAAAATATTTAATAAAAATAAAAACTGTTGCATATTGTAAACGAGTTCAACTAGAATTTTCGGAAGGTGAAAGTTCTTGCAAGTTCGGGTCGGGGAGTAATAACATTTCTTTCCTTAAAATTTGCCAGTGTCGCTTATAAAATTAAAATTCCTTTTTCCTTAGATTAGTTCCATCAAAACAACTGACTGAAAAACTTAAATCATTCGAAAATTAACACTAAACTTGCAAACGAGGAATCTCGCTTTAACACTGTTTTCTTGTGGGGTTAGTTTCATGAAACGCTATTCCAATCGATTTTACAAATATCTGCAAATATTGCCCCTCGGGGTGCTTGTGAACTAGGACACTAAATCTTACATTGCCAGTCAATACAGCATTCAAACCAATAAAAGGGCAAAGGGGAGAGATAAACATTGGAACATATTTCATATCGTCTGGGGCAAACCAGTAAAAATCTACAAAGCGAAGAAAGCGTGAGAAAAGTCTCCCGAACTTGTTTTGCTGGTAAAGTGAAAGCGTTAGATTTTGTGCTGTGATCATATGTATATACACGTCAAAATAGGGCTATTCAGCTAAACATAGGTACAATTTTACCTGCGAAGAAAAGACCATAAAAGAGGCAAGCTTAGTCTAAACGTTAGTAGTATCTACTACTGATATTAACTAACAGGTGATATTTGGAACGAACATAACAAGTTCTTATGTAATCGCAAGGTAATAAAGGGGTGGATGCAAATCTACCCAGCCGCCACCCCAAAGCGTTGAATTAGCCTTGTGTACAAACCGCTCATTCATGGGGTTATTTTCAACATTTGTGCTTAATTTAACCCACCTTGAAGCCAATTTACCCGCTTGATTTGAAGAATTGTAATCTCATTTTAATCGGCAATAAATCTGCGGGTGCCAAACAAGCGGATTCTGGGGGCTCATCGTTTCCCTCAAAGCAATAACTCGTTTTTGCTGAAATGACCCTTTAGTATAGGGTTAAAATAGATCATTCTAGTTAAAAGTAAGGAAGTATTATCAGATGGAGAAATGGCTTACTATTGCCATCTTTAAATCATTGTTTTCCTCTATGCATCCTGTGCTCTGTCCCCGGCTCAGCCAAACTCGTCTTCAATACTTTCTCGTTAGGGACAATTTGCCGCCGTCTGTTTTCTTTGTCAAATTGTAACGGGCTACCACCTTAATTCATAAGACTAAACTGGATCACAAATAACGTATGGAGCAATAGTTAAAGCAATTATTGATAATGATTGAAGTGGATTACAGTCATCAAATTTAAGTTAATGACAGGGCTTTCATGCGAAAATTAAATAGTCTTCTAACTTTTTTTTACCCTTTTTCTTGTCTTTTTCGTCTTTATTGCTAATATTTTTCAAAGCGTTTGGGAAATTTTTCTTTTTCCTTTCCCGAATTAGTCAGTCTTTTGACCATCGATCAAGAAGGACGTGATGTCTTTAACCGGAAGTACAGTGATAAAAATGAATGGAAAAAAAATAAGTGTAAGTTAACCAAATAAAGAAAAACAAGTTCAAGAATAGCTTTCTTTAAGGGGGCCAATTTATGCTGTGGGTTGCTTCTCACTTAGCTTCTACCGTTACCCGATGATAATTGTGATTTTGAAAAAAACGCAACTTCCGCACCAACGCATAAACTAAACCTTGGCCAGTACCATCACGTCTTAAGTCTTTGACACAAAGAAAATGACCTGAGATTACTTCTCGGATTCACTCTAGGGACACTGATTCTTTTAAGTAAAATCGCAATTTTGAATACGCCGTTATGGTTTCGTTAGAATTTCTGTAAGTTGTTTTTTTACCTTGCTTAAATTTCCTCACAGCGGGCAAAGTTATGTTTGATTTACCTAAATATTCATTTAAAGAGGGACATCACTCGAAAACTGATCGATTTCGCTTGGTTGTGATATAGTGTTTACGGTTTGAGCTGCTGCCAGGAGTTCTGTTACTTAATTAAGATTCTTTGAAGGCGGTAACATATGATACCCAATACACGTAATCAGGGTTTCTGTTTACTTCGAATTACTCCCTGAGTACCCTTTGATATCACGTTCAGCAACAAACCACAACAAGCGGATGCAATCAATCCATTTTAAGCCCCCCAAAAATATACAAGCTGCAGGCACACGAAGAATCCCGCACTCCATCCATCAATCACTGAGTAAGCCGCAGATGTGCGTGTAAGGACAAACCGATAGTCAAAACCTTTTATTCTTTCATTTCAACCATATATGATTTGTAGACTTTAAGTAGATGAGCATTCCGTCTCCACATACACAGTGGAGGCGCGACAGACAGCCACGTGTATTGTTGAGAGATGGCGCGTTGGAACTTAGCCAATACTATGCTAAGTTCTCATGAGCTTCGAGAATTCTCTTATTCATAGAAGATAAACTCTATACGACTTGCTTGGTGGAAATGTTGCATGTTGGGCATTAAAGAAACATGTCCTACTTGATTTCCGTAAAACTATTCATGCATATTCCATTGTTTGTTCTACAGTTTGACTGATGTTTAGTACACATATCCCTTTCTGAAGGAGGTCCGGAAAGAACGCCCCACGGAAAAATTTTTCGTAGCGTTAAGAGGCCTTCTGTGATGTTAACAATAACAGTTGGTACGTGTGGTCCATCAGGCGTTTGACCTGCTCTGGTAGAAGACAGTGTTGCCTTTTCTGGTTTGAAAATGGTTACTGAGTTTGGTTTTAAAGTAAAGAAACTTGATTAATGAAAAGCACTAAAAAAGATAATTAAGTGGTTGATAAAAAGGGGCCACAAGCCCCAGCGCAGTCATTCGCCCGCCACAAGACCACTGACAATAAGCCTGAATACAGACGTTTCCTCCCTAGAAAATCAGACAATAAGCTTCCCATTTCCCCTGATCGAGAAGATTTATGCAGTTGTGAGTTTAATCAGGAATCACAGTTGTGGTCATTGTGGGTTGTCCAGGTTGTTTGCACTGGCAAAAAGCGAGTCCTTTCTATACGTACGCAGTGGTGTGGTGTGGTGTGGGGTGGGGTGGAACACAACCTCATAAACGTTATTAGGATAGTATGACTGTACCAAGGGGGGAAGGGGGTGAGGTATAACCTGCTGTGAAAAGTATTGCTTTAAGGTACAGTAGTTCCTTTAGGAATATGGTAAAGTAGGGTATTATTAACAAGGAAAGTGACCTGAGGTCGTAAGAAGTTGCTCTAAAGTAGGATTGAAACTAGGCCTTGGTAAGCCGGAATTGGGACTCCTAGCTGATAGTTTTCTTGTGAAGAGCAGGGGGTACAGATCAACGGCGGAACACAATCACATAATATTTATAGAGTTATTCTAGAAACGCCTACGAAACTTATAATAAGCAATACTTTGATTAGCCAACTATCTTTTTATCAAGAGCTGGTAAAAAAAATGGAATAACACAGTTGCCAAACCAATGAAGCGACATTTTTCTACAATAGATATGTATGATGATTAGTTAAAAAGCACATAAAAACGGAGCCCTAGGGACCCTTCTGCATATAAATAATATCAGTATAGTCGCACATCATGACATTGCAGGTGGGGGTATCTGATTTGGTCAAAGGTCTCAAAAATTTCAAGTGTCTAGATCCGTATTTCATGAGGCGCATGAAAAAATGATATTTTTGCTTCTTTTACAATCTCTAGCCTTTTGATTACTGTCCCGTTGGGTTCTAGTTTATGATCTCTAGAAAGCGAAAGAAGATTGAAGTGATCCTCGTAAATCAGTGGGTCAGTAAAGGTGACTTCTACAACTTTGCTCTTGCATAACGCTTTATTGTATATATTTTCTCTGCCGCTGCTGCACGACTACGACGTGCCGAGCTTCAGTCCTATTTTCAGGTTTTATAGAAGACGTGAACACAAGACAACAATTTACTTTTCTCTTTGTCGCTGTCGTTGCCGTCGTGGTTTCTTAAGCCACCTACTTTGATAACCATCCTGCCATCTAGCTGTTTTGGAACATGTTTGGCGAGCCGCTCATAGCGGATTGACCATTTTTTGTGTGTATATTTTGCGGGAGCTAATTCAGTTTTGCAGTTGGCAAGTTTATAAATTCAGTGCCTAGTTGGTATACAGAAGATACAGTTACTCGTCAACCTCCTTTCCTTTGGAAAAACAAGAATACTCTGTGGAAGAGGTTGCAGCTGCTGTTGATGTGATATTCACGTCGTTTTGCTTTTATGCCGACAAAAGTGTCAAACTTGCTTCCTCCTTTGCAAAAAATTATATCTTTCAAATTAGGCCCGGTTGAGACGCCGAACTTTTCATGACCCGAACCTAATACATTGAATTAAGTACATGAAAAGTTCGGCGTCTGAATCAATGATTAGGAACCGCCTGTTTCAATTTGGAACGGCCCAGCCGTTAATTTCGCCTTTGGAGCGACTTTGGAACGCCTTTGATTCAGACGCCGAACTTTTCATGTACCGAACCTAATGCATAAATTATTATAACGTATTTTGTAAGCAGTTTGACCGAAATGAGCATTTTTCGCCTTTGGAACTTAGTTCAGCTGCAATTAAGATCGGCGTATGAATCAATTCAGCCGATCTAAATAATTTGGGTCGGCCTTAATTCGAATTAGGTTCGGCTGATGAAAAGATCGGCTTCTGAACCGGGCCTTAGTTTACGCTTAGACCTACTAGACCTACCTCTATTTCTACTCCAAACTACAGAAGCAAAAACCAACAGGAAACAAACTGGACTCAGTTTTATCGTCATGAAGAACATGGTTTAAAGCCTGTGTCTCGCAAGTCACTTGGTTGCACTTCAGTAGCAGCTGCAATTCAAGTAAACATGTTAAAAGGCATATTCCAGCGGTATAGCTTTTTTCGCTTGCATTAAATGGGTTTAAACAGCTTACCCTAAAGCCTTTTTTCTTCTAGCGACGGACGGTCTGATTTTTAAGTGCGCTAATGTCCTAGTGAAAATCAAAAGTCCGAATCGTTAGTGCAGTCAAAAGCGCAACGAAATCAGAGTCAGGAGAATATGAAAGCTTTCTTTTTCTTCCGACTCCGCTCAGTATGACTCCGCCACTTAAGATCCAGTGAAAACCGCATTGTCGGAGTCGGAAGCAGACGCGGAAGAATAAACCAATCACAATGCTCGTTCCCACGTTTTGTGATTGGTTTAATTGTTCCTCTTTTGCTTCCTACTCGGACAATCCAGTTTTCACTAGATTGTAAGCCACGGAGTTATAAGCAGAATTAGAGCGCGGTTTTTTCAAATTGCTCTATTCTTCCGTCGCTAGTGAAAAACAGCCTTAAGCCTTCGTCGAGCCCGATTAGTAGTGTGTAAATCAAAGCTATTCCGCGCACAAGTTGGTGATGGGTTTGATTTTATACCCTACACTATTCGTGTCGTGAATTGGCCTAATCAATCACGTCATAAGTGAAGATATTGTCCGGTTTCGATCTCCCTTAAAGGACATCACGGTATTTCGTCGCGGCAAGTGTCTTGTTGACACGTGATGTCTGATACTCTTCTTGTGTAACCAAGTCTTGTAACTCTGTGCGATAGTCGTAGGCAAAACTCCTATCGTGTAAATCGGTTTTCAAATGCAACCGTCGTTAGATTCCCCATTCTTATATGTAAATAATAATTTTCCTTGATGGCCTCATTTTGCTCACATGAGTCGGCTTCAGTCCTAAGGCACGAAACTACGAAGGCCACAACAACGGGAACGTCAAAAAATCAACAGAGTTAATGAATTACTTGCGGTCTAAGCCAATCTGATTGGCCGCGTTTATTTGTGTCTGCCCCCTAAAAGCTGTAACATGTATCATTTAATCAGGAAAAAACTTGTGCGGTAAAAAAGCCATTGTGGCCCCCATTTCAAACAGCGCTCGGTGGCGTTTTGTATTGAACTAATCTCTGATGACATGTGTTTAATTCAAAAAGAAGTTTTACCAGCATCTGAGGGAATGATGGTTCGACTACCCCACAGATTTAAATGATCTTTTCTATCAAAGGAATTTCCGTTTATTACAACCCCGGAGGCCTTGGCCGTCGGTACGCGATGTTGATGTATTAAAGTTATGTCATAATGTTGGGCAGGTGTACCTGATGCATTCCTATGTTCTGCCGTAAGGGGTGATCACCTAACAAGGATTTGACTTTTCACTCCTTTCGTAACCCAAAAATCACCGAGTTCCTTGGTGCCCTCTGCTCTCTTGTCCTGTCTTAGAGAGAGGAGAGCAGAGGGCACCAAGCAACTATTGATTCTCAAGGTCTTAAAGGCCAGAAGCGAGCGAAAGCGATTGAGTGTCAGGCGAGAGAGAGGGAGAGAGATCAATCTATTGTAGCTATACAAATGCCACCAGCTTTCATTATAAAATGATAATTAGATTAAGATGATGATGACTCTATCCGCGGTTGCCCTGCTTGCGAGTTAGCCTTTACAAGTACGTCTGTTACGTACGCCGAGACTATCGTCGATTTAAGTACGCCCTTGATAAAAGGCAGTTAGTCCTCAGGTTGCCCAAGTTCACAAGCATTAATTGTTGTTACGTAACAATAAATTGCTATTGTTTGCGGTATACGGATTCTAGCGATCGCTATTTTATAGGAGTCAAAAAAGTCATAAAACGCTGAAAAGGCAGCAGAATTCCTTAATCTTGTCTGTAGTGCATGTGTCATTAATTGTGTGTTACTGGCATATTTGAGACCTTTTCAGAACGATTCCAGAGAGCTTTAATCAGTAAGATATGTCGTTTTTCTTTGTATTTGACTATATACTGCTAGAAGAGCGATCCCTATATACCCTCAGCGTATAATTCATTTTTTGGCAACAATAATTCATACTCGTGAGGCGCCTGTTTCGGAACGTCAGATTTAAAAATGGTTCAGTTTTTATGTAATCGTCAAATCGGCAAACAATAAGATCGTATTCTTCTAACAGTTAGAAAATCTAAAATTTAAATCTCGAAGCATCATTTTTGACTTTAAAATACCATTGAAGAACAGGTTCAAGCCCCCATGCAGTCTCGTGTCTCACTGATATTTGTTTTACGTTTTGACTGAGAACCAGTAGTTGCACGGCTTAAGCATTTTAAAAAAATCTTAGCGGGTATTAGTACTGAGTATGCCAAACCTTAAGAGGGATCACTAACGATTGAATAATGCATCGCTGATTTCAAAAAATAACATCAAACTCATAAGAAGACAGAAAACACGATCCTTACATTCTAGTTCTTGAATCGCATTTCAGGCATTTGGACATTTTAAATTTTTAACTGTAAAAATCGTGCATAAAGTATCTCAGTTCACTTCCGGTCGGAGATTGACGACTTTGAGCAACTCCACTTCCCCACTTCCAGTTCCTCAACATTTGCATGGTGAATTCAAACGATCAGAAATTCAGAGAACTTAGAAACTGAACCAGTCGTGCTGCGGTCAACTTGGGCCGAATTGTTAAACCATAAAACGAGTACGAAAAAGGTAGCCCGGGGTGTGTAAAGACAGTAAACTAAGAGAAAGATTGCCTCATTTGTGAACTAGTGCTATGAGCTTGTCAGACTTACAGTCGTCTTTGCACGTTCTTGCTTCAGTCTGCTTGTTGCCTACGTGAGAGAATACGGAGGCAAATACGTGCATCGACGTCCAGGTCAATTCGTTTCGAATCAAAAGCACTTCCATTTAAGGAGAGGTCAAGATTGTTTGTAGTTTCTAACGTTTTCTGGTGTTAATTGCAAATTTTCCTTCCAATTTTGAAGTTTTAAGTGATGAGTGACTGTACAATCCAATTATATGTTTTGTTTTTCTTTTCTTAGACAAGGTATTCAACATAACTGAGATGTGTAATGTACACCCAAGCGTCTACATTTGGTACCAAAGAAAGCATGTTTCGATTAAGATAGATTCGGTAGAAATAGAAGATTGAAAACCATCGGATTCAAATAAAATGTAAAATGTCATAAGTGAAAAACACTTAATTGCAAACCAATAACACTTTACCATGTGGTTTCTAAGGGTTAAGGACACGTCTAGAAGTTTATATATTAATTGCAAATACTCTTGGAGCAAAAACGTGCCTTACTTACGAGTGTGGTCTGTAGGCATTCAGCATATATACCTAATAACAATAGCCGAAGTAAAATAGTGCTCAATAGAAGTTTCAAAGGTACTCTTGGATCATGAAGCTTAGAAAGATAAAAATTGAGAAGTATATATCACCACCCTCCTGTAGTTTTGGTAATCTCAATGGATTCCTAACTCGTTGTACGTGCAGCGAAGACGAAGAGGTTCAAGACCTTTTTGATGAAATAGTTTAATAATCGAGACCACAAACTTGTCAACTTAAGATTATTCTTTAGTTTCGAATAACGGTCGACAAGTGGTGTGTCTAATGCTAAAGCACTGAAATCACACGTGCCAGCCTTACGAACATCCGATTACAGCTTGACCTCGAACATGCTTTGTAGTCAGGCCCTGAACTAATTAATTAGGTTAACTTATTTACCACAAAAGTCTCGAATGACGGATCTCGAAAGCCTCACGCTATTATATCATGGATATATGGATGCTGAATCACATAGGAGCTTACCTAGTTATTTTATCATCTTATTGTCACAAAACAACTACCGTTATAGGATCTTTAATGGTTGGACTTGTAGAGGGTTACAATAAATGTTTATTTGGACGTGTCTGTGGTATTGGGAGTACTACATTTTCTAAGTAAGCTGTTATTCATGGGTGAAAGGCTTACTCCCTTGAAATACAGAGTGCTAATTATAATGGGAGATAAGATAAGGTTCAGTATGAAAAAATTAAAATCGTTCACCTTATTTTTCGATTAAAGTAGACGTCGGGTCCCGCCAGAATCAACACTTGAATCATGGACGGGTGGAGTTGTAAACAAGCCCCCTCGGGTACTATTCCGGGGTATTGTTCACTCTAAGCATAATTGACAAGAAATAAAAACCCTGTTAAATAAACACTGGGCCCACAGCTGACGCAATAGTCGGCCGCGTCGCTTCCAAAATTTAAGCTTAATGTTTGTTATTGTGCAGATCCTCCCCATAGCGCTACATAATGAACCATTGAGCAAAGTTAAGTCAGTCTTACAACGTGGCAAATGAGGCGACTTGCTCGGCTGTTGGGATCCAGTGAAAGGCAATTGCCGAAAACTGTTATTGTTTGATTAACTAGTCAAAGTTGGCCTTTTGGATGAATACCACTGAGTGACAGAAATGCATTTCTGAATAGTTTATATGCTTTTTTAGTTCTAAATGTTGTCTATTACACTTTCCAACTAAGCAAACGACCGAATAGTTTTGTCTCTTTAGAACAACATACTTTAAGCCTCTGTTGTCTCCTGAATTACTGAATTTTCGTCCTTCCAAACTAGGCTGAGCGATTCCTTTTTGCACTTCACGATAACATCGTGGATCTCTCTGACTCGTCCCAGGTCGTCTCTATCTCTCTGTCTCTCCTTTTTAATAGTGGCGCGAGGCGTGTGATGGTTCCGTTCTTCGTTAATGTATAACCTTAACTTAATGTTTGTGTTTCTCAAAAACGCGTGCTGGAATAAACATGTCAGTCACATTTGACCTGTGAAACTAAGAGCACAACGTAAGCTTTACCCGAAGCTTGAAATTGGAGAACATATCATCTCAGTCTGACCGATTATCTCCACTTTAAGCATCTCTAGCTTTTTATTGTGACATTCTCCATCTATGTAATATTGTGATTTCTACATAAGTTCAGTAACATCTGTAAACCTGAAGAAGGCTGGTATGGGGGCCAGCCGAAATATTGTTATGTTTAAAAAATAATACACCTTGTTCTGAATCAGCTTTGCAGTAGTCTTTGGACATCTCGTTCTTGGATCTCTAGCTGCCTTTTTTTTTTTCTTGATCCACCCTAGTCTGTTCCGCGGGCATGCAAAACTATCGCATGCCATAAGTTTGACGACTACCAGTTTCGAATTTTGCTTTTTGGATAGGCTAATATCCAAACGTATATTATAGAAAACTTTTTGACCCAAAACTGGAATTTTCCTTTCATATAATATGCGCTCAACCCCCCTCACTGAGATAAAGGATTTAAAGGGTGTATCACACACATATATACAATTTTTAAAATTTATATCAGGTTATTGAGAAATACCACTTGATTTACTGTTGATGTAGTTAGACTGTGCTGTGCGATAACTAAACTCTTTGGCACAAGCAGGCATCTGATGGGCCTTGCAGACCGCGGCATTACTCTTTGTATCGGCTATTTGTGTTGTTGGTCTTTTCATGAACCAATTGCAACGTGCTCAGCCTTATCTTTCAGGCGCTGAAAACTGAGAGATTAGCTTTCCAAGGTACGAAGAAAAAAAATCACATAAAATCCGACATAAGGAGAAAAATTCTTGAACTGTGTCATCATTGACAAATGTTAACTAATGCCGCCTTACCGGGGGGCTGGTGGGGGCACCTCCTCTGGCTGCTCTCTAGTAACTCTTCAAATAGTTTATTTATGTAGCATGAAAAGCTTACAAAAACGACGACTGTAAGTCTTTTCTGAATTTTCAATCATCGCGGAGAAAAGTCATTAAAAAACTACGTTATTAGATGCCCAAATTATTTAAAATTGCTTTTCCGACGATCAAGATTTCAATATTTTGAAACGGCGAGTTGTGGGTAGGCTAATTTATAACTACTTGGGGCATAGGATTTCTTGAAAGTAAAACAGAAAACTATTCAGGCAGAAATGCCGTGCGAAATGGTAAGAAATAACTTGGACACAAACGTTCAGTTACATCGAAAGGCATTTTCCGAGTTCTGGTTTGGCTTTTAGAAGATCTTATAATAAAACATCATTCGGAATGTAACGTGATTTAGTTACAAAATGAAGCCAAAGCTAATTCTTCATCTTAACTTGTAAGACGAGCATCAACATGATAAAAACCAAAAAATTCATCCCATTTGTGTTGTGAATAAAAAGATACTCAGAAATAAAAAAAGTCGTAGGGCAGGGATTATATCGAGTGTAGAGAGCTCAATGAAAGCGGCACATTTTACGGTTGTCTGGTTGCTGAGTTTACAATGTCCAGGCTAGTATAATTGGAATTCAGTTTTGACGAAGTGTGATTTCAAATGAGAATTATAAATCTTGGTAGTTGTTCTCCGGAAGTCGATTTCAAAATTCGTTGTGTCAGTTTCAGAAAACTGAAGATCTCGGAAAGTAAAATGTCGCTTTGTATGTTAAAACATGATAGAACGTGTTTGCTAAATAAGGTTCAAAAAGCCACTGATCTGTTAGGCTCACTAGGTGTGAGAAGATCAAACCGTATTAATTTTCGCATGGTTTTATCTCCCAGCTTTAAAAAAGTTAATAAGCCAGGCGAGCATGTTCTGCTGGAAACGTGATCACGTAAATCTGTGAAAAAATGAGATAATGTTGGTAAAATTGAATGTGACAATTGCCGTATTTCTGTGCTTTAAAGTACCCAGTCCCTTTTGTATTAAATAAGTAAGAAAACAAAGATGAAATTAGAAACAAATTGTCTAACCTCGTTGTTATCAAATGTGTTGTGCATCTTCAAAAGGAGCCGACGTATGTCAAATATAGGAAAACAAACGGGAAACTGACCCCGAAACACACAAAAAATAAATGCAAAATACACAAATGTCGCCAAATTAGTTCCTAAGTTTCAAAAAAGACAATGGATCTGAAATGGAGAACAGTCACACGTAGTTTTTTTTTGCTGCGCTTTCATAAGACTTGTTCCATGTCGTTAGTAATTTGAAAATGTTGCCAGCGATACTAAGCCAGTGTGATATAAACTGGAATTTTGTCCGTTGTCGAAAACCAAAAGCAAGCACTTACAGTAGCTAGCAACTACTGAGCCAGTCAGCTTTTTATAACACTTCCCGTCAACCTTATATTGACAGTTGTTATACGGAAAGAAATGACCAATACCCTACCGCATAAATCTTAATCACCCAGTTCTTTTGGTACGGAAAAATGGACTTCTTGTTTTGCAGGAAAAAGTTATTTGATTAGTTTTAAATGTTCCAAAATGTGTACAGCTTTTGCTTACGTTGTGTATTTACATAAAAATGTATCATCAAAATCAATCTTTGAAACATAACTACACCTCTAGGGTACAATGTCTTATTCGGCGGGTGTAGATTGGAACAATGAACTCACCGATGAATTTTGAATTCCTATGGTTATCTTTGCTCGATAGACTGCAGTGTGATTCGTGTCTGCAGGGTTCAGTTGATGCTGACTGACTATCAAGATCTGTTGCGACGTTTTTACTTAGCATCTGAAGTGACGCAAGAAACATTCCACAAATATTTTGTCTGGAATAATCACACAAGTAAGTAAAGCGGAGGCAATTAGCGTCATTTAAAAAGTCTGAAAACACCTGATATAACTTTCGTAAAGTTTCCAAAGGCGGCATACTTCACAATGCCATTAGCCGGCACTCATCAAAAAGGAAACCAGACTTCTCACTTAAATAAAGCGGCAAACCTCGGCTAAGATCAAGATAACTTAAGTAATTTTTTTAAAATGCAATACTGGCGAAGACAGATCATCTCGGATATTTTAGGGGGCGCGAGACCTGATTTTTAATCACGCGATTTACGGACTGAAGAATTTTCCTACGTCAGTTTTGTTGAAAAAGCCATTTTAAACAATGGATTAAGAAGATCAATAGTTCACTAGCCATTATCATGGCGTCGCACCAAAATAAACTAGTGTTCTGTAAAGTGAGTATAATGTAGCAAATGCGAACTGAATAAACAAACAGTGGATGAAGTAATTTGTTAACTTTCTCAGAAGTATTTGTTCGCCGTCTCGACTGCATGTTGCCCTCGTGAACTTCTTAAAGTAAGTTCCATTGAGATCATGAAATCCCTCAAAAACTCAGTGACTTAAGTCTTGGTTTCAGGACTGTCTCGAATACAAACTCAATCAATCACAACTGACAAATGAAAAATGTCTGATATCAAATAGCCGGACAAGTTACTAGCCTGCTAGTTATTGTTCTTTCTTTTCTTTTCTTTTCCTTCCTTTTCCTTTCTTTTTTTTCTTCTTTTTTTTGACCATGATATTATCGGTTAGATGCTCTCTAAAGAGCCAGTAAAAACTTGTTCTTAAGAAAGATTACTTTAGACTGTTGGGGGAGCATGGATTTTTAGATTCTAAAAACTTAGAACCTCTTTTGAAAGTACTCAGTTGTTTCGAGGAACACACTTCAAATGAGTAGAACAATTAGCAAATGGTTTACATACCAACCTAACTACAATGCTCTTGCCTTTACGTAATGCTTTCTACTGACCAGGCCAATATTGTTTTTAATTTCTTCCGGTCTTGAATGAAAGTAGTACTGATCCCCGTCAATGAACTATTATATAGGAGCTAACAAACATCTGCGACTTAGCCAGTATTGACTATTGTTTCGACTCACGTGCTTTTTACCGCCCTCCTACAAGCAAACTTCAGACCAGTTCAAGTTTATCTGTCTGAAATCACACTCAAGCGTCCACTCCATTTCCGACTTGCCCTTTTTTTATGTTACTAGCACGCAATGCTACAACAACTCATGTCATTATGACCTACTTTGTAAAAGTTTATTTTTCTTCTCAATTTTGATGGCAGATATCTATCCAATTTCCTGCTTCTTTTTTCGGATCGCGGGTGATTACACACATGAGATAAATCCGACTGGGTCCATTATCAGGTTGTTTTTCTTTAATTTAGTAGTGGAACAGCCTGTATCAACCTTTTAACGAGACCAAATTGGTAAAACACTAATTCACTGCAACGCGCTTCCACTCCAGTTCGGAAAGTTTCTTTTGGATGGCAATCGAAGTAGTGAAGTAATAAAAAGATAAGAGTAATCTGGTAATTTGGTGATTTCATATGGGTTAAACAGGCTAAAAGCAGGAAAGAAAACTAATTATTACTTGCGAGAGACCCAAGGCATAACATACGAGACTAAATTAATATAATTACCTTAGGGTTTTGTTTGTGGGCGGCTTGATTGAGAGCGTGGGCAAGTGGTTCCGTCCGCAAAAGGGAGAAAAGAGAAAAAGGCAAATCAGTCTCGCCTGTCAGTCGCGATAGCAAATTCTGTGTATTCTCGAATTCGCGCCCTAAGTGAGTCATAAAATGGTATTCTCAACTGCTTCCTAACTGACATTGTGTATCTCAAATAAAGCGTTTAAAGAGCGTGGTTCTGATCTTTGACGTAACCGGTGATATGAAACCATTGAGTTGTAGGCATGGTTCTGGTTATGATTGTTCTGCAGCAAATTTTCCAAATCATACCCGCTCAAATAAAAGCTATTAAGGGTTAACATCCTATACAAACAAAATGGTGCTTTCTTTGTTTTGTGGAAACTTACACATCTGGGAACATTCTGGTAAAGAGATGCGCATGACCTCACGCTTGAAATGGACAGCGAATCAAAAGCGTGGTACAGGGTCAAAACCTTTTGCTGACGAATTCTTGAGGTGCGCTGATTTAAACCAAAGTGTTAATAGAACTTTATTTTCATAGCCGTGTCAGTCGTTTGAATATATACAATCTTGACAAAGTAAAAGGTTTTGAGCCCTTCTCCCTCGAGACTGTACGGTTTATTATATGAGCGGAGCACAAGAATATTCTATTGCCTCGTGCAAATCATAGCCGAGTACTTTCTTATGATAGATCAACAGACGAGATAATGCCATATCATGTAGACATTCCATGATAGGGTTATTACTGGATGTCTGGCAGAGGACACATTAAATAAGATGCTGTCAGTCTTGAATGGAGTGCCGCCGGCATATTAGGTACAGCAGGCCACAAAGGCTACACCCAAAGGCCGGATCAGTCCAGAGTCGGGAGCGGATCCTTTGCCGCCAGGTTTAGGTAACTTAAGGAATACTATAACTGTTGTGCTTTGCCAAGTACTTACAAGGACTACTAATGAGTCAGACATACTGTCCAGCCGAGTACCTGACACGGGGGAAAATTGTTTCACTTCACCGAAAGCTAAAGTTATTTGCCCTACCCTTTTAAAAACAGTCATTTCCTTGCTGGGTAATCAGACTGTCGCTGGGGTGTAAATTCCTGCAAGAATATAAAGCCCCAACGACAAAGAATAACAGCTCGAATACAAGCAGACTTCAACAACAATATTTTATTCACAAATGGTGACTCACGCTGAAATGAGGCTCGTAGTTGTAAGTTTATCGAGTCCATTTCGTTCAAAAAATATTTTAGATTCTTTCTCTTCGAGGGCTTTAAATTTGTAAGGGCAATTTAAAATTTAACTTCTTTTCCAACATCCAATTCAAGGGTGTAGTATAATTCTAAACGATTTAAATTGTAGGCAATTGAAAGGAAATCTTTCACATTCAAAAAATGTCTTGGCTAATCAAAAGCTGACTGTAAAAACCAATAAAAATTTAACACTCATCTAAATTTGCAAGGTAGCTTTATAGTTGCAGCTTTAAGGCTACCCCAATTGACTATTGTTTTGTTCTTCGCAAGCCAGCGCGAGGACTCTGCTTAATCACGCCCTCCTTTCATCCGGGGTAATAGTTAAAGTGTCACGCGACTTGTTCTCAGGCTGTTGCCGTTCGTGCACTGCAATTTGGATACCGGGCTGCCAATCTTCTTTCAAGGAACCAGAAGATGCAGTGTGTTCAAAATGGTGACTTTTTTGAAGCCTAAATTTTCTCAATTCTAACTGGAAGCGGTACTGTCTGTAGGAGCGCTGAATGATTGTAGCGGCACGAATTTCTTGAATTCTTTTCAATGTTGTACTTTCGGTTTGCGTTCTTGCGCGTTTTGGAAACGCGCTGATAAAATGATGTTCCATCCGGGACTTCATAAGAGTAAACGCAACCGAACCCTCCTCTTCGATTTCTCCAATAACTCGTCGTACCAAAGCTTGCATGACATCGAAACAGTGAATTCTATCTCCTTGCTTAATAGGAATATTCAAATGAATACACGCAAATTTATTTGGTTGAGGGATTTTCAAAGGCGGTTCAAGATTGTCGACAAAGTCAGACAACTGTGAATGAAGAATGTATTGAGTGGCATCTGGATCGTAACGTTCCCACAGCGCATAAAACATTTCTAGATCATCATCCGTGATTCCAACTTCATCCTGTTCATGAGCTTGACTTAGGTTCTCCAAGATAATAGCTATATACATGTTGATGATGATTAAGAAAGTCAAAAGTATGAACGAGACAAAGTATAAAGTAGCAAGCCATGGAATTCCACAATTTCCATTCGGTTGTCCCATGTAATTCTCGTCACAGTCAGGAGGCTGAATTAATAAAGGTTCAAGAACATCGTTCCATCCTGCAGATGTAGAAAGTCTGAACAAAAGAAGCATACTACTGCTAAACGTCTCAAAATTTACCACGTCGTCAAGTGCGCCAGTCTTCTTGACATAACCAAACGATGACATGCCAATTATGGCGTAAATGAACATGACGAGAAATAACAAAGCTCCAATATTGAACAGTGCTGGTAGAGAGATGACAAGAGCGAAGAGAAGCCTGCGAATCCCGCGTGCTCCTTTATAAAACCGCAGCAGTCGACCTATTCTGAACACTCGTGCCACGCGAAATAAACTCGGAGTGACGAATAACTTGTAGTCAAGGTATTCTAGAATGATACCTGAAATAAAACAGACAAAGGCTTAAGAATAAATGTAAAATGAAATACAGTTGAACCTACAATAAGCGGCCACGCTTCAGGTAACTGCAAGTGGCCGATTAATGGGGGTTGGCCGCTCACTAGCATAGCATGAGCATAATCTTTAGCAGAAACATCACTTTATTTTGAAACAAACACGTGACGGGAGCAGCATTACTGGTCCACAGTCGGTCATCACCTCCTATGACAGACTGTTTTTTCCTTTATCATATTCTTGAAATAAAACCAAACTAAATGTATCAAGCGCTCGATGACCGTTAAATATAGGTTTCAGCTCCCATTCTTTTCTATAATTATTTCAGGACTTTGATTACTGGCCGCTTACTAGAGGTTCAACCGTAAACTGACTGGTGCATTTGAGCAGTCTGATAACAGACAATGGGGCGAATCAGTAACTTTTGCTTTCAGAAAACTTGCTGTAAGGCAGAACTGAAGTTAGTATCTGTCTTGTGCTCATGTCCATTGGCCTATGTAACCACGGTAACCTCAGACGCTACCAAGTGTTCTCACTCTATGCCTCCCACCAATCGCTGACAAATTTGCTGCTAGCCACACCCTACATCACGGGGCTAAAGAACCAGTAACAAAACCCCTCGGCTAAAAATGTTTTTGAAGGTCCTTGAGTCCCAGTTTAAACTTCAATCTTACGAAAAAGTCTCTATTACGAAGAAGTGGCGTAAATAAACTCTCCTCATCGTTATTCTTCTTAGGGGAAGAAGAAGAAGAAGCATTAGGAAAACTAGTACTCGTTCCCAAATGACCTTCTCGCTTTTGAGACGTTATGATTTTCAAACATGAATAGCATTTTTGACATTGTTTTCTTTCGTCTAACTCGTCACTGAAGTTTTCTAATAGTCCATTAAAGGATTCGTGTTCAACTAACAGCTTTCCACGTGATCTTTAAGGAATTTTTCATTCTCGTTGTTTTTTTTTTCATTTTCACCTCTTTATTTTTTTTTTCTTTTTGCTTCTTTTCGTATTATGTATAGTTGACCAATTTCGATATATTAAAATTCATGCTTGGCTACGAGGCTTGGGGAATAAAGCAAAAGAGAAATGTATCATTCTTTGCTGAGCCTCAAGATAATTTCTTTCACTTGTTTTATATTCCTACAAGCCTCGGAACCAAGTATGAATTTTAGTCAGCAATCCTCGGAGACCCACGGGCGGTTAGTCGGGCCGGACGAAAGTTTTCAAGCACGGCCTTTTCTCTCGACCCGACTGACTGCTCTTGGGTCTCCGACCATGGCAGTCAGCTCACTACTATTGTTAATTAGTTTTTTTAAGGCCAGTTAATGTATTGTACTGTTTGTAGTATCGTTAGTTAAGTTAGCGCCTCAAGCCCGCCCTCTCATATGAACACATATTACAAATGATTTACAAAGGATTTAGAAGGCGAGATCTCGGAAACCGGTCTTATGTGAAGAAAACCTTAATAGATAAAAAATCATTCGCAGACTCGCAACCTTTCCGTGACCACTTATGAATCGGATAAGAGAGGACTGTGGACCAAGTCAGTATGATCGGCCTCTTTGCTAGTGACGTCGTTTTCCTAATTTCCAGGCTCCCGCCGTCTCCCACACTGCTATTCCATGCCTGCCAACTTCTCCACCTTTCCTAAAATTCCCACAAAGGCCTTCACTTCCCTTCTTCCCCCTAGTTACTCCGGGAACTTACGACATTTACCGCCTCGACTATATTTTCCGCTAGCATGCAGAGGGCTCTTTTCGTCCCCACCAGCCGAATATCAGGGACAAGAGGCCTCTGCTGGCTGCAGGGAACCTCAATCCTCTCTAGTCTCAGTGTTACTCAAGTCGTCATAATGAACACAGAAAGATCAACAAAAATAGTTTTTTGACAAAAATAGATTCCTTTACATCATGTTCAGTCTTTGGAGCGGTGAGTACACGTCATTTCATGCCGATGTCACAGCAATACGTGTTCTGTTGTTTTCGTTTTGTTTGAAAATTAATAGTATGACATCGACAGATGAGGGATTCAACTTACTTCAAATCTCCACTTTTTCAAAATAATGTAATAACTAGAGGAAAGGTTGTTCAGAACGGTAGTTTTGCCGTTTTTAGTTTTGGATGCATGATACGTCCTAATAGAACAAACCAGAGATAAGTAAATCCCTTAAATGAGCAATATTTTTCGAAAAATATTGACTACGTATACCGGGCCACTCGAGAAAAACTTTAAGAAACATTCAGTTACTGCAATGCAATACGCAGTGAAGTTAAACTCCGGTCCAAAAACTGAGGGTACGGTAAAAGAACCCATCATTAGCATTCTTCAATCACTTCAATTCAGTTTTTAAAAAACTCGCGCAGCACAATTGCGGGAATGGGTGACTGACTCGCTAATAAACACTGAAAAAACAACACTAATGGAATGCTCTTAAGCACCGCATTTCACAATAAATGTCAAGTGTTTACTTGACCTGCTATAAAGAACACCAAATAAGTATGTTATTGGAGTATCGATGCGCGAAACAAACTTTGTGGTTTTAAAAGCAGCTTTACTGAATATAAAATAACTTGTACTTTAGACCCACGGTTACAGGAACGTGTATGAACAAAGTTCGCCATATTTTAACGATATCAGCCATGCCACATGACTCCAAAGGTGCGACCAAATTGGACAATAAAGATTCTTAAAGAGCAAAACAGAACAGCTCAATTCTGGAGCCGGTATTGGATACGAAGGAGGATTGTTGCCATGATAGGAGGTGTCGAGTGAATCGCATATTTTGTCGTAACTTCGGTTTTTTTTTCTTTTTCGTCTTATCATGCAAATCTCTCAAATATGGATGTAAATAAAGGATATTTTAAGTGTTCTTGTGAAACAATGGGTTTTATTTCATCAGTATCCAGAACACCAATTTTTTTTTTTCAGCACTACAGTTGCAATCTCTAGTAGACGACTAAGCCCTTAAGTGACAGCGCTTAAGTCTGGCAGCAACTTTGGTGGTCACCAACGAGAGGCTCAACGATAAAGAAAACACTTTTTCACTGACTTTTTCCACCGCAGAAAGACCAAAAGAAGTTGAAAATACTAAGCAAAATGTTGTAAAATATATATTGAAGTTAAAAGCAAGTGATTAAGTAACGACCACAGCCATCAATTGCTTTTAAAATGACATTCTATTTTTAAACTTACCTATAATTGATAGAATAACGATGGTAAAGTCAAAGATATTCCACGGCTGTGTGAAATAATGCAGGCGAAGAGCTATAATCCTGACAAATGCCTCCAAGGTAAATATCGCAGTAAATACGAGATTTATTATATGTGAGGACCCGAGAAATATCGGGATACGAGTTAAGGTTGTTCCAGTTTTGTTTGTTTTAAAATGCCATCCCACTCTATTTTTTAGTTCTAGATTTTGAGTCTGTCAGGTCTGTTCATGGAAGAAATCCTGTTTCATAGCAGCTAAATGTAAGCCGCGGTGAACTTAAAGTCGACCGACGTTTCCTTTGGTATAGATTATTATACTGTACACTGAGATGGTTCTAACGTTTGAGTGGTGAGTGTATAAAATGCTCAGCCGAAAACTATAAGTAACACTATCCGAACTGTTGTGATGCTGTTTATTGAGTTGTACAAAGTCATGGCTCCAACTTTCTCATGATTACTCCGTGTGGACTGTTTGACTGTGAAATGGTAAAAGCTATTACGTGCGATAGATACAGGGACACGTTCACACCCTCAGTGACCTCAGTTTGTCGTATAAATAATATCTACATTCCTCACTCATAGATTATAGAATAAGACGTCAATGTTCAAAAACTCAAGTAGAAGCCGCAGGCGAGTAGTTTCACTTGAAAGTTTTGAACATTTTAATGTCACTTTCATGATCTATACGAGTGTAGACTTTGGAATGTTGCGGTCAACTTGTTGTTTACAATAACGGTGCAATTTTTGAACGCTTAATTCCGTCGACCTTTTCTCTTAAAATTCTAAAAATTGCCCTTCAGGCAAGACGAGAAAAAAATGCACCATCATTTCCCCGTCATTCATTGTCTATACTCTAGAGCATGACAAAACTGACTACGTAAGACTTGCGGGTACACTACTATGCTAAAAAACAAACAAAATAAAAGGATATTCATGGTCAAGTTGACTTGTTGGCTTTGGCCATAATGCTGAATCATCATGACCAACATATTAAGACAAATCAGCAACATTATTGCTGTCTCAAATTTAGAGCTGTGAATGATATCAAACAGACGAGCCTGCCACCACACCTAAAATACAAAAAAGAGACGCACATCTATTGGGATGTTATAAACAGATTCCTAGGTATAGATCATAGATTACAGCGACGTAGTTTTTGTGTAAAAGGAGAACTGAAAAAAAAAAAAAGAATATACTAGCTAGAGCTGTCAGAGCTGTTCATCTCCCGAAAGGTAACCGCGATCATGGCTGGAAAGACTTCAAGATATCCCAGGCGCCGTTTAGCAATGGTCAAAAGACAAATTTCCATATCTACATCTGTATTATCCTGTGTCTTCAGCGAAGTGGCATACAAGAAATATTGCGGGCAAATAGGATTTTTATGTTTCCTCGTAGTGCTTTGAGTTAATTGATAAGGAGAGAAATTTTTGGTTTGTCGAGTTGCTTTTAACCGCATCTAATTGTTATGCGCCGTGCTAAGGTAATTGGTCAATTGTCATTACCCCCTCGAACGATAGAATGCACGTGACTTTGTGTTAGCATCCACTCACCCTACCTCCTCCCCTATCTGCAGGTTTTTGCAAGTGGTTATCCAGTTTTTGAATTTTCTAATTACTTTCTTAAGCTCCCATTATTGCTCTGCCCAACAAGACTTTCTTTAACTTTTCAACATAGGATTTTATCTTTTGAAAACTTGGGCAGTTGCTCACATCCGATTTAATCAATCTTTTGTGGTTTGTCATTTATCTAGACCCCCCGTAAACGAGCTTCAATAAAACTAGAGATCGGATTAATTGATTAGTACGAAGGAAAACATAACAGTTGTATATAAATTAGATGCATTAAGTCAAGGACTCACGTCGCTGAACAGTCGAAAGTTTTACATGATGAAGTACTAACCTTTGGGCGGCTGATCATTTTCTTAGGTTTCTTATTGGCTGCTTTTTTCAGAGTGTTGAACCAAGCCTTTTGGGACGGTGTCAAGAAAATGTCTAGTGCGCCACTGTCCTCGTACTGTAGAAGAATTGAGCCGTGAAAAAATTGCAAAAGTACTACTATGATATGTGTTTATGATTCTTATCAGTAGTTTTCGGAGAAATTACAGCCAACGCGTTATAGGTATTGATTTGAAGGCAATGCGCAACCCCTCCTTATTTGTCATCAGGGACTATTCCGTCCCTGCGAAACTGAAATGCGGTCTTCATTGGCCATGGACGCCCGAAAAAAGGCCGGAAGAATCTTGAACCACAAGGGCATGCAATGTAATCATATGGTTATTTTAAAAAAAACTATATATTAGCAGAAATAAAGAGAAATTATCTTAAAATGATCATTGATATGGGCATACACAAGAGATCTCTTGTCGGGGGACATTCCTTCACCTTCCTTAGACACAAGCCAGAGACGACACCTTTTCAAGACAGCAGCGTAAACGTTAAATGGAAAATTATGAAAGTTTTTATTCATCGCGTCATGTGCATGATATGGCTCGTCAGTTTAGCGTTTGCCTCACGATAGTTACCTAGTTATTGTTCGCGACCTTTCGACCGCGTGTAGTTGGTCTTCATCAGGCGATGGTGTCAGTGTGCCATGCCGCAGTATCGTGTTTCTTTTTTTTTTTTCTTCTACGCATATGGTAGCATCGTGCTTGTGCGATACGAATCTCACCCAAGTCCTGCACAGAAAATCGACGCGATTGCCTGTTGAGGACCAGCACTACGCGGTCGAAACGCCACAAATAAGAATGAAAAAGAGACTGCAGTGAGACAAACGGCAAACAAGCGCTATAAAGTTTGTTAACTTTGTTTTACCTGTTTCTTGAGCCGATTGAAGTTATCGATGATGACTCCAATAAAGAGATTCAAAGTAAAGAATGAGCCAACGATAATGAACACCACAAAGTACAAATAAGAAGCAAAGCTGTGTTGGCTTTCTGGCTGTTCGTCGAGCTGAAGAGAGAAACAACACCTTAGCACAGTCAAGGCTCTTTAACACGGACACCAAAGTGACATATTAGCAGGTCAACCGCATAACGGAGGTGTCCGTATTATAGAGGCATGCAGCCAGCCGACTTTGGATCCAACAATAGACAAGTGTTCGCGAGGAGCCACCGGGGCGGTTTGTCGGGTTGGGAAAAAACTGCGAAAGTTTTCAAGAACAATTAAGAGAGCCAGACGTGTATGGCGAACAGTCGAATTTGCTGGTAAACATCTTCGTACAAGAAAGTAGCGCGATAGATGCTGGCCTTCGATTGGGCACAAAAATATTTCTTGTGCCCAATCAGAGATAAGCGTTTGAATGAGTAGTGGAACTGGTTTGTTAAGAGTAGCATTCCAGGGGTTCTCTCGACCGTCTTTAGTGAAATCTTTAGCCGCCGTTTTTCCGGACCAGCTAACAGCCCCTGGGTCTCCGAGGATGGGAAAGCTTACACTGTATTGTGTAAAACTAACGAGTACCGTCTTTCTTTCTTCACTTGGACGAAACAGACGTCAGGTTTAGGAGAAAGTGCGAAATCAAAATTTGTCTGGACTAACTGAACTTGCTCTTTAAAACTAATGAGTCCCAAGAATATCAGAACAATCATAGTGTTTGCAACCGGCTTCAAGTTTTACAGTGCGACTACTCGAACCGCGGCATATAGGAGAAGATTTTCCAATCATAACCATTTTTGAAAACAAAATATTATCCGTTTTCTTCAGTGCACACGGACCAATGAATTTCAAGATACAACTATGTAATCGTTAAAAATTTTAAAACCGTTTTAACTTACCCGACCTCTCAGAAAACAGCTCTCAAATTTAGGAATGTTATTGGTCCTTTTGCAAAGAAAAAACTGAAAATCTTTTGTTTTCAGAAATCGTGGCGATTGAACAATCTTCTTTCAAGTGTTCCGGTTCGAGTAGTTGCACTGTAAAGTTCTTTGGTGCGCATCAATTACCTTCATATTCAGTCCACGATATCACGTTAAAAATGAATATCCATTTATTGTGAAGAGAGAGGAAAATGGGTTATAAGTCTTGTAACATTAATTTCATCACCATTTCAATATATAAGTATATATGATCTCGAATAATTTAAAGTGTCAAAGGTGCTAAAAAATGAACATCAAATTGTGAGTTTCTCGTACCTCCCTGGCGTCAATGGCATCTCGCATGATCTCCATCCATCCTTCAAACGTGGCCTAAAAAGTAATTATGACAGTTCGTAACTCGCCTCATAACAACCTTGCAGAGCGATCACTTAAACAAAATTGAGCAATCAGATTACGGAAAAATAACGATACATTCCAAGAAAGTTAGTTGTGGGCCAATCAGCTGCTCGCAAAAAAACATAAGGTACTCGAAGTACGAAATTGAAAAGCAGACATTTTTGAAGAAAGCAAAGTGTTTCAACAGACAATGTTTTTCTATTCGAAACTTTACATATAAAACCCAGGAGACATATTTGTTTGACACCAATCTGTTATTTTGTCATCTACTGGCAATTTCTTCGCTACCACTGCCGCGCTTTTTAATGACATGAGATCTCAAGTCAAAAAATATAACTAACTTTTACGTTTTTTGTCCCCATCATTCACTCTAACGGAAACACAGTCTTTCTTCAGCGGGTTCAAATTTTCACGTCTGTAGGTTGTATTTGGTTGATTTCGATGCATGTTTTTTATTTCATTTCGTAGTTATTGTGATTGACCACCAACTCTTTAGGAATGTATTGTTATTTTCGTGTAATCCGATTGGTCAACTTTGTCTATTAGGTGGCCCCGGTTATAGTAGTCGCACTGTAATACTTTACTTGTGCGTACCTGAGTAAATGTCGAAGATACTTATTTTGTCAGGCTGAATCCGTTCTTAGGTGCTATTTCGGCCAAATTTCAGCCTGAAGGGTGTTAATCCGCTGTTTCCTTTAAGCCTGTGGTTTTTGTAGTACTCCCTGATCTCAGTTCAAATTTTTATTAGCGTCAAGACAAACGTGGGTTTCGTGTCATAATATCATTAATTTCCTTTATCTTTAATCAGTTAATTGCCAATAACACAGGCTAATCGCTAATGAGTGGTCATAATTAGCTAGGTGGTGGGCTAGTTGGGTGAAAATAATTTTTAACTTTGGCCTTAAACACAGGCAAAGACGGAGCGCTGACACCAACACACAGGAAACTGTATACCACAGGCAGACCAGTCCCACAGAGTCTGGACAACCTGTGGTGTAACCTGAGTTTATCTCGCTCTTCCATTGCCTTTCCTTGTTGATGTTGTATTTCGTGGTAGTTTACTACAAAATGTGTTGCTTGCCTACCAAGTTACCTTAAAGGAAAGTTACCCGAGCTTTTGTCTTGAAAAATTTTTAATAACTCAAAGAAAGAATCGTGAACAAACTCACCACTTGAAAAAGAGCAATGAGACCATTAAACACGTTATCAAAGTTGATGTTGGAATTTATCCATCGATAGTCTGCATTCTGCATGCATGCACTTTTGTTTGGCACTACACTGCTAGGTAACCGCTCCCCATCACCATCTACACATTTGAAGAATCTACCACCAAAAAATTGCACTCCAACAATGCTGAATATAAGCCAGAACACCATGCAAACCAACAGTACATTACCGATACCGGGGATCGCAAACAGCAATGAATTCACCACAACCTTCGAAAAAACACAGATTTAATGTAGCATGTTAAATTGTTATCGGAAGAATGAAGTACCGCTATTCCTACAAATTTCAAAAAGGGGAACTACTAAAAAATGTGATGGTTTCTATACGTAGTATCAGTGAAATTTTAAAAACCTGTTGATATTCATCCAAGCAGTACCAACCACAGTTTGTAGAACGCTACAGCAGTGGAACCCAGCTGTATAACAACGTCCCCGGTATAACAAACCATATGCGGCTTACCCGTCCCTCCCGGCCCAATTAGTTACAACAGAATGTATGAAATAAGACTAAGGGGAAAAGTCTCCCTGTTAAAGCGAACACATTCTATCAATCCTTTGGGACTTTATTATATCCGGCTGTAATACTGTATTTGGATGTCCAACCTCTACTTTAAGGCTATTTTCATAATAAGTCTATACCGGATAGCTTTTTGTGCGTCGTGTCAACACGAACAGCTATCCGGTACAATCCGGGAGAGTAGGGACCTTAAGATCCGAGGACGGCGACGGCAGAGAAAACGTCACTAAAAGTGAATTCGCGTTATTTCAATCTTCATTACGATTACTCCAAGTCACTAACTTTGTCAAATTAAGGTGAACCCTTCTAAAGTTGAATTCCTAGGAACCATATCCAAGTTCAGAAAGAGGGAGGAAATTTCGTAGGCGCTTGTGTACTTCCTCTGTGCGACGTGAAATTAGGCATTTTCAAGTCGAAGTCGTGCAGTGACGGTAAAGAAATGTACAAAAAAGTGTGCTGCCCGTGCAAAATTGTTTTTTGGTTATTTAACTCATTGCTTTTGTGACTTTCTCGTTGCCGTCGCCGTCGTCGGATCTTAAGGTCTCTAGTATGAACAGCAACGGCCCGCCGGGGCGACAAAAGTCGTTCACATCGTCCCAGCAGCATGGTTGGCCGAGAGGGTTTGGTGCACTCAATTCCAGTCCTAACTCGTGAATATTTACTTCCCCCTCAGTGGGTTCCGCGCCCCCCTCATTTATCTACGGTGTTCACACTGCACCAAAGTATGGCACAAAACCTATCTGATATGTGACTCTCCACTTTCGTGATCGACGAAGCACAGCTTTGGTCCGTCCCAGAAATCGCGACGAAATCAACATCTGTTTCTTGTGTTTGAACAAAAGCTCTATCGGTTTCTATGGACATGATTTTCGTTGCCGCTCAAAAGCTATCCAGCACAGTGCGAACAGCTTAAAACTAGCGTGACCCAATGTTGTTGCAAGGCACACTCATGTAGTTAATACCGTTGACATCTTTAAGATTTTTGTTACCTTCATTCCCTCCCATCGTGATATAGCCCGAAGTGGCCTAAGTGCTCGCAATGTACGAATGGAACGAAATGAAGAGAGGCTACTGTCGCTGTCTCCGTTTGTGGACGTTTGATTGGCCACAGAAGTCAAAGAAATCTGTAAGATAGTAACAGTCATTATCAATATTAATTCTTGGCGACCCTTAGTTTCATCCTTAGGGTGGGCGTAACAAATAGTAAAAGGATTTCATTGTCAAAGCTTCCAAGAAAACAATCTCGTGAAGCACTAAGAATATGTACCAGAGAAAAGTACTTTTATTTAGTACTGGCTTTCATTTGACTGAATGGTCAAACCCATAGAGTCAGAAGAGTAACACCTTGATAATCTGATTAAGGCCGGTTCAGAAGCCGTACTTCACATGAGCAGAATCGAATTAGAATTTAGACCAATTCAAATTAATTCAGGCCGTCTGAATTGATTCAGACGCCGATCTTTAATTTATAAATAAATTCAAAAGGGAAAAACGCGCATTCTCATTATAGAATTTATGCATCTAGTTCGGTCCATGTGAAGTTCGGCGTCTGAATCAACGCTGGTGCACAGCTGTTATTCAAGGCTGAGCCGATCCAAATTCAATCATCCGATTCAGATTGATTAAGACGCCGTTAATTCTTTGAATTCGATTCGGTTCATGCTAAGTACGGAGCCTGAACTGGCCCCAAGGGCTGTATACTCTGAGCATTTTAAATAGTAATTTTCCTTCTTGCATAACAGACATTTGCTCAGCTGCTATGGAAACCAGAGGTACAGCGAACCTCGTTGTGAGCATCGTTTACAATCAAATTTGGATGAAATAAGTGTCTCGTTAATATTAGGTTGATTTTAAAGTTCCATTTCACTCATGTATGTGTCAATTTAAATTACAGATTAATTCGTTTCAGTTGCATACAAAGGTATTGAAATCTCCTCTCCTTTCACCGATGTTTTCATCTTGTCAGCAAGGTTGAGGTGAAATAGTATTACCAACAACCACGATCGATGGCTATTTTTTTTTCCAATTGTTTAAGCAACTCTATTCAAACAAAATCAGTTAAATTATTGTTTTATTGCAATGTTATGATAAGGAAAAAGGTTAGTGCTTTACGGGAAAGAGACTATATGTGACAGAATTTTGTGAGGTTTAGTAGAGCTTCTAGGCTAATCTTTATCTTTTGCTGAGTTAGTGTATAGCTGGTCCAACGCAAAGTTAATTGTTGATTTTTCATTAATGCTCATGCACTGAACAAAAATATTAAAAATTTAGTCAGTTTATGGTATGGTTAACAGTTTAAGATTCTTACAGAGTTAAGTTCGTCGACAGATTCTACAGCCGTGAGTAAGGATATCTGAAAGTAAAGAATTCAATTAAATGGTAGTTTTCGGTCTTACTTTGTTTATGCTCAAACTGGAATTACATAGTTGTTTAAGTGCCAAAGATAAATATCACTGAACAACCAAAGCGCTATATATGCATGGTTTAATAATGTGTCTAACTTAAGAAGCAAAACACAATCAATAAAAGTGGGGGAAGGACGAGGCATGGTATCAATGTTTTAGGTTTTTGAGAGCCTAATCATCCTATTCAGTTATTTACTGACAGTCGGAACGAATTACAAATAATAAGTTACTGTACAACATCCTAGAAATTCTAGAACACGGAGGGTCGTAGGTTCGAATCCCATCTGGGGCTCAGATTTTTTTCTGTGTCCTCTTATGGTTGATTCTTTACATCTCCCTTAATTTCCTTTATAATATTAATCTTTACCGTGATGGAGTAAATTTTAAAGAATTTGTAAGTGAAATCGGAATTCTGAGGGTAAATTCTGCAAAGGTACTAAACATAAGGACGTCAACGTGGCAAATGGAAGAAAAGCAGAATGTTAGTTATCTGAAGAGAGCAAAAAAAAAAAAATCAGGATCCAGATTTGATGCAAGTGAAATTCGAAAAGTGAATACTGAAGAACGAAAGTGGGTACTTGAACTGACTGAAAAGTGTGTAACACTGTAGTTTTGTCCATAAAGCTAAACCCAAGAGTTACCACGGGAATATGTGTAATTTACCCCTGACTGAGGGGCTCTGGTGACAGTGCATGGTGATCCTGTGGAACGCGGTTCACGGACACTAAGTTGACATGCGGTTGTGGTGCCGTGGCCGTCAGGTCAAGCGGGCTCTTAGAAAAAAAGGCAGACAGAATTAAAGAGAAAGTAGGGGTGGGAGCAGTGATTGCAGCAGCAAATGGTGCCAAGGAAGTGAAATTTATTTAGTACAAGGCAGAAAAGGTTCATATCAACACTACAGCCAACTATAGACTTATCAAAATAAAATGTCTCACACTTTTTGGCTACTTTTTTTTAAAAAATAACATCACATTAACCCATAGGAATATGTCCTTATTTGGACATGCCTAATGTCAAGAATGAGCTAGCAAATGATTGTGATATGGAAAATGGTCGGTGTGCAGTTAACCAGTGGTGGTAAAGCGGAGTTGACGAGATATGTGAGTTCGTGGCTCGGAACACAGAGAAGTGTCCTTCGTCCGTACCAAGCGGTGTCCATATTATGCGGGTTAATCTTATGAGAAAATATATAATAAGCTTCTCGTCGGGACGAACTAAACTGTCCGTTATAAACAGATGTCGGAAAAGCGGGTTCGTTAGGTAGCTCATTCAATCTTAGCACAGGCATCCCAAACTCATTAAGCGAGCGCTTGTTAAAAATTAATACATCTGGTATTGATGCCTAATGAAGCGATTTACTGAGTTTTATCGGAACGGTAAAAATTCAAGAAAATCCGCCATATCTTAGCTTATTGTGACGAAACGAAATAAAACACAATTACATGTGCTGTATTTTGTGTCCATGTGTACTTCTGAGGCAATTTGGGCTGGTTTTGCTATTCGGTCTTAAACTGTTAATTTCAACAAGCGCTCGCTTAATGGATTTGGGATGCCTGTGATCTTAGTAGCAAGTAACATGAAGTTGGTTCGTTCTTAATGTTACAGAGAATGACAGGTTTATTACAGATTTTACTGAATTTTTCTTATTACGATTTAAATTATCAATTACTAGTTTGCTAAACTAATGTATTATGCATTCCTTTCTCAATCATATCATAATTTAGCTTTTCACTGTTTTTAATGTTCTTTACTTACAGCAACAATTATCACATCCAGGCAATTCCACACGTTCTTAAAATAGGTAAGAAACCCCAATCCGAGAGTCTTGAGGAGGAATTCCACACTAAAAACCACCGCGAACACGATGTTGAGATAATTTAAAACCTTTTTCAATGTAGGACGACTGTCTAGGTGAACATCCTCGAATACCTGAAAACCAAACCAAAAATTGGATCACCAGAGATTGTTCGTCTTGCTCATGGAAGTATGATTGAAATTCACTGTAAAAGTTCAAGAAGAGTGCAAAATATCATATCAAGTGCACAAAATACTATCAACAGAAAAAGATGGTTTTCCTGATGAGGTTCCATTGGTATGGCCCCATCATTGAATTTTTTCCATAAACGCGTAATTTCTCGATCCATTTTATTCTCTTTGGGTGCTGCAAAGAATAGGTACCCTTTTGCCGTACTTTAGACTCAGGAAAGAGATACCTTGAGACATGCTCTCTAGTGACACCCTTATTCAGTATCGAGTATCTTAAACAATAAATTTAAACAAACTTTATATTGAGGCCGACTTAAAATCTGGGGGATGAGGAAAATGCTTAATTTCCCGAAAAACGGACGGGTTAGTTGAGAGAATTCAATATTAACAATCAAGAAGGCCACAAGGGTTGCGGTATGGATATTGAAAAATGTTATGTAACGAAATGCGTATGCTCTTACCAGCGTGATGCTGCTAGCGACTATGATCAGAAGAATCGCCCACTCAAAATACCGATGCTCAACTAGCTTCTTGATCTTATGGCGCATACTCCTCCACGCACGATAACCGCGTGACTCCTTCCACTTTGAAATGCAGTGGCAGGTGCAGAATTTCATCCAACAAGGACAGCACTCCTGAACCTCGGTCATAACGGGATCACCTGAAGGTCGTCCCGTCTGATCAGCCTGGACACTCTGTCGCGGGCTGGGTAATGTTGCAGATGAGCGAGCTAAGCTAAGTACTGTGCTGGATGTAACGGAATCTTTATTTGCTGCTTCAATTGCAATGGAAAGCTGAATACACAACAGTAGCACATACACGTGTCAAGCTTCCGTATTTAACACTTTCAACCATCGAATGAGAATCAGTATTCAGGACTAGAAAACACGAGAAGTCGACAACAGTTTTGTATGTATTTTTTTTAGCTTTGAAGTATTTTCTGTTATTACATTTACAACACATTATCCGTTGACTCTTTGCGTCCAGCATTCCAAACTCCAAGAATCTTCGGTTCACCAACTGTTTAACTTAAGAAGTGCCTTTTAAAAATCTCGATTAAATCAAAGTTTTGGAAAAATTAAAACTAATAGCTTTGAAACAGAATGAAAATTGAATTGTTTGTAAATTTCCTCTTCACAGGGTTTCGTCCATCAACACGAAAGTTGGCGATGTACACTCAGGTTTCACAACTGCTGTGACAGTGCTATACACTCACCCTTTTCATGTGATCTCTATTGAGTCTTCCTTTCTTCTGAAATGCTGTCACCGCAGTCAGCAAAGCTGAAGATCCATTTGAGGAATCTGATAAAAAGTAATTTGGAGACAACTAAGCTTGTGGTACAAATTAGTACTCGAGATAACACAAAACAGCAAAGTGGGACTGAGAACCTTTAATGATCTTTTGACAAAGCAGCCTAACATGTTAAAATTGCAAGTCAAGAAGAAAAAACATACTCAAAGGAAGCTTGTTAACTAAATTTCAGAGAATGCGATTTTTCTTAGAGAAGTTCTTCAAAATAAATGGAAGTTGACGCACAAGACTCACCCTTGTTGTCCGTGTTTCTCACTGATCCAATATCCGCGGAAGTCTGGGACCCGTCTGATGGTTTCACTTGCGAGCGACGTGGTAACATGTTACTTATCCGCAAAACTTTACTAAGTCTATGGACCCCTTGATAAAACTTGCTTGGTTTAGCATCGCTTTTCTTCTCTGCTTCATCTTGCAGCGACTCACGAGCAAAGGCGTTAAGCAGCAGAGCAAGAAATAGATTTAATACCTAAAGTAGACAAGATAATCAGGTCACAAAAAAATGACTCAACCCCTAACCGGATAAAAATAAAAAACTGCTATGAGTTTAAGAACATTCGCTTCAGTCTAATTCGGATAAAGGTCGGTTTACAAATCAAGTGGTATTTATAACATTGTAATACGACTCACCAAAAAGTTACCGATCACTAATGCAGTGAGGAAAAACAAGAATGACACAGGACTGGTCGCTCTCATACAGTCGTACAACGGCTCTATCCATTCTCCACACAGAATTCTAAATATCATCATACATGACCGGCCAAAATCGTTGAAGTTCCAACGAGGAATGTCGCCATTAAATTTCTCTTCTGTGTAAGAACTGGTGAAATAAGATGTAGAGTTCATAAGTTGACTGATTGGTGATGTGCCATATATGAAACATTCGTAGGTAGCGGCTGAACCCAATGTAACTTCGTTGTTTAAACCCTAAATCACAGATAAAATCTGAAAACCTCTGAAATGAGCTTACAGATGTGAAGACTGTACAACGATTTTTCTGTCAAAGGTACAGAAATTGACCACTATAGACTAGTATTGTAATTAAACCTTTTAGGGTACAAAGTTGTCCAAATCAATTTATTCTGACATTACCTTCCAAAGAGCTGCATTCCAACCACTGCAAGCATGTATACAATAATTCCTAACACTAACGTGAGGTTACCAAGCTGACCTATACTGCCAGCGATGGTCCTGAGCAGCATGTTCATTGTCCTCCATGATTGAGCCAGTTTGAACACGCGCAGCTGGAAACAAATTATACAAAAAAAAAAGGTTTAAGAAAAATAAAAACTACAAGAGTCAAAGAATTAAAAAACCGATCTCCGCCATGAATTGAAACCATTTAACACATTTGGTACCGTGCACTTTTAAAACGAATGGCAGATGCGCCTTTCTCAATGATTGAAACGATTGTTACACTACTAACCAGTCTAAATGTCCTAAGAACACTAAATCCACCACCGTTTCCAATATCAGAGACTTCCAGAATGAGATCCACGATGCTAATAATCACAATGAAACCATCAAATATGTTCCAACGGCTCTTCAGGTATCCACGCGGACCAAACGATATCAGTTTCATTACCATCTCCAGGAGAAACACGAACGTAAAAACCTGTTCAGAAAAGATGTTTCATTTGCCAATATGTCAAATATTGGCAGATTAAAAGTCACATATAAGGATATTTCCTAAAAAGGAAAAAGGAAAATAAGCCGATTTCTTAAAAAACATGCTATGTATACACTCCACTGCCATATGACGTTAGAAAATTTCATCTGAGTAGAATGCGAGACGTAATAAAATCATCTCTTTTGGTAAATTCAGTAGGGGAATGAGGACAATAATGGAAAAGAAACAGAAAGCGGCTGATGAAAAAATAATGACGATAAAAAAACATTAGGCAGTAAGAGTAACTACATTTGACTCTATGTTCGCTTCCTTAGAATGGCTCTTCCTATCATTGCAAAGCATTGAGAATATTTATTCCGGTTTTTTTTTGTCACTATAATTACTTCTTCCACTACTGCACCAACCGGTGATGTTAATTCGGCCATGCAAAAATTAAGTCAGTTCTTTTTACATATTCAGTAGATAAACGAAGCCCACGAAGAAAAGTAGTTTGAAGAGTCGACACATTTTCATAGGCTTTACGATGATAGGTAACATAAGGTCAAATCTTGTCGGTAACTAGTGCCTTTACCACCTCACCAACCGGTGCGATTAATTGGGGCAGGCAATAATAATTTCGGTACATCACACTTACCATGTTACCAATGTCCAGAGCCATTTTGAATTTCTTGTTCATGTCATGGTATTCCAAAGACAAAAACAGGGTGTTTAAAAGGATGCAAAACGTTATAAACATTTCAAATAAAGGATCCATCGTCAGCTTAGAAATACGTTTGCAGATAGTTTTCCTTCTGGATAAATCCTCCTTACGGTGTCTAGAAGTTTGTTCTTGAGATTCACCCTTACGCAATGATCCCACCGATCCCCGAGGAGTTCCCAACGGTGATATTCCTGTAGAAATTTCAGGGAATGTTACTCTTCTCTGTCCATCGTAATTATCTTCTCTTGTGAAGTGATTTTCAACTTCTGTTGTCTCATTTTCACTTATAACAGTTAGCGTTCTAGCCCAAGATGGCTTCACTTCTAAAAATTTCGAACCCGAATGTGAATTTTGACCCGTCTCTGATTTAATTCCGTTTGTTGGAAATTTAGTACAGGATTGGGATTGGCAAACGGGCGGTAAACGTATCTGCATGTCATTTCCATTCGGCAGTTTTGCCGTCGTCAAACGTTCATTTATTTCGGATACTGTAGAATTATCCACGGTGGCTGTCTTGTTGTCCGTTGAGTTGAATCCATTTGGTGAGTAGTGCAGACTCACATGGCTTCCATCATTTACGCTCTTTAGTTCTTGGGCTTTTGAGCTCGGAGTGCCTTTAAAGCAAGGCACACAAAGGGACAGTTTGCATTTAGTTACCAAAGCTTCAGGATTAAGTTTTCCGTTTTCGGCAAGAAGCTTGGGAGCAGCACGACCGTGAAATGAGTAGGAAGATGCAACAGCTTTCAGCTCTTCATAATTTGCATCCTGTATGAAAAACAAGAACAAAAGTAATGCACAACGTCTACAATGTAACAATCCCACACAGTATTGCATGTTCTACTGAGCACACGTAACGGAGACGATAAGGGTGTCTTTACCTGACGGAGGGCACAAAAAATAACATCTTAATATAGCTGTAATTAGCCGAGTAAAACTGTTAGATTACCATAAAGATTTCCAAAGTGTTTATTTGCTTCTCTTACCCTTTCTTGCATGGCCACTACTTCCTGTTGATATGAAACAGCCACTACTGCAAGGACCAGATTAATGAGGTAGAACGAACCAAAGAACACCACGAACATAAAATAAAACACGTACCAAGAACCCATTGAAGAAAGTACCTGTATGGTAAAAACACGAAAAAAAAATATACAAAGTAATTGTTTTGTTTTTTTGCAGTGTATCCGTTAAAACTCTTAACTGGGCAGCGATTTCTGTTAGCTTCAAGAAGTTAAAACTAAGACAGGCAATGATTCTCACCAAAGCTTGTTTAGTTTGATTATGATCTTTTTTGAAAACGTAAAAACACCTTTTATGCTCGCCCATTTGAAACCAACAATTTAGGCAATGACGACACTTTTTCGAAGTAATTAACCAACCAGGATCCATGTTTACCCAATCGCTAGTCAATTATGTGCACATGAATGAGGAGGGAGGCTTAATTATTGAGGTTGTTTGAGTTAGTTACGTTAAATGCCAAGAGATGAACAGGTAGAGGTTCCATTACTCACATAGTTGAAGACGTTCTCCCAAAAGTCCATTGTTATAAGTTGAAAAGCAGTGACCAAAGACCATGCAAAGTTATCAAAGTTCGTGTAGCCATAATTGGGGTTATCACCAACTGATAAACAGGTGTAATTCACAGGGCAGTGACTGAAAACAAAAAAAAACAGAGCTGGAAATAGGTTATCAAATATTTTATCTGGTTTAAAAGGGAGGTGCGGAGACATCACATATATTTTCGACTTATCAGTGTATCAAAGAGTCTGTGGTGCTATTGTGCTGTATAAAATGGTTTGAAAGGTTAATGAATTAGGTAGATGAAAAGATGAAAAGCCTTAAATCTACTCATTCAATTGCTGAAATTATCCATTACAGGGAAGGTTAAACTTCGTTGACGGCAGATAAGACCTTTACAATCGCAGTTGCAAGTGAAGGCCGGTCTAAGCTGTGTAAGCCGATTCAGAAAACTTTCGTGTGATTGGATTTTTTAACTTTGTCACTCTCGGCTGGGACACAAGAATTTCAATAGAGCTTTATTGATGGAAAACTGTACTAGAGGTATTTATAAGAGTAATCGACTTCTGAAAGAGTACATAAAAACACGTGTTATTTAGCGTACACTTTGATATGTAATCGTGGCGTGCGAAGTGGTTGGAAAGGGCTCAAATTTTCCCTTAAAAAATTACGAAATAATCATTTTATACCCTGCAGTTGAAGAATTTCCACAAACAAGAGGTTTGTTGTTGCTCCCGTCATGCCAGAAACCTATTACAAAAAACAATTTTTAATGAGCTATTTTAAAAATCATGCAGCACATTTGTTCTAATAGTTACAGTATCTACTTTGGCAAACTCAAGTTTCAATTTCGTGATTACTTCATTCGATGACTCGTCCGTTTACCCTCTTTTACTAACGGGTGGCTCCACGAGCTATCTAGATGAAGCAAATCCTGTTTTCTGATTAGCCATCTGAACGGGCTTGATGGATCTGATCTTGCCCGTTTGGGATTTCCCAAATTGGTTCCGCAAAAAAAAGTCTTCCTGGCCATATAATTAATTCTTTTTTTGACCATGCAATTGTTCGGCTAAGATGACGGTTATATTGACCCCGACCTTGTCCTTGTTCTACACGAACGCAAATAAAGAACTTGGCAAAAATTCAGCCATCTTGACCTCGCGCTTGGTCAATAAGGCATACATCTAAATCGGTAAAACATACCACCTGGCACCACCTCAGGCATCCATACTATGTCAGTAACATATATTCTCGTTTTAAACCGTCCAATAACTTTATCTTACTGTCTTACGCAACCCATGAAGTAGAAAGAGCCATAAAATATGTGGTTAAGACGATTATAAACAAAAACTCTTAAACAGACTATCCAAAACTGTTTTTAGCCGCAGTTAATTATATTTAGGTGAACTGACCAACCGCCGGAAAAAAGGAACTTTAAAAAGCCCCGTGCAAACGGATGGAACATTGTTGTAAGTTACATTTTGCGTCCTTTTGCACACCCTTTGCACGTTGTTGCATGTCGTTGCATTTTGTTTCGTGTTGTTGGGAGTTGTTGCGCAAAGTCTGAAACCGGTCCAACGTTTAGGGCCAACAATTCACCATTTCACAGTTTAGGGCCAACAATGTTGGTAGCTGTTGCGTCTGTTTGCACGTAGCTTAAGGAATACCTTTCAACTTAGTTGCTCTACGCGTTGTTTTCTGAAGCAGTCATTTGAAAACAAGCTTCTGTTCATCTTTACAGGATTACAAATTTCCAAGAGACCATGACCGGCTGATGATATCAACACAAAGATCTGGATAGCCAATATTTTTTTCAGCTTTCTAAAGTATAAAGCCTCGTGCAAACGGACTCAACATTGTTGGCCAGCAACTCCCAACATTGTTAAATGTTACATGTTGAGCCCGTTTGCACACCTTGTTTCATGTTGTTGCTATCTGTTAGGAGTTGTTGCACAAATGTTAAAACTGGTCAAACTTTTAGCTCTGCGCAAACGGACGCGCAACAACTCCCAACAACGTTTCGTCCGTTTGCACGTGGCTTAAGGCTCAACTGTTTGTTCAAAATGGATTGATGTAATACTTACTCTGATTGGTAATATATTTGTTGTAGGTTATTGAGGTAGGGGGTGGGGGTGAAGCAACACATTTATTTCTCAGCTGACCAACAAAAAGTTGCATCCCGACCAAGGCAAAAATACAGAGAAAGAATAGTGTTAGAACCAAGACATCTGAAAGCATCAACATGGACTTGAGCAAGGCGTTTACCATCGTCTTTAAACCTAAAAGAAATAAGACGTGTTAAAGAGCTGCGTCATTGGTTTATGTAAGGGACTGTGGTACGTGGTGTTAAACAATGAAATCGGATTCAGTTTTAGCTAAACATCGTAATGATAAAACAATTATTAGTCGTGCATTTGATAGCCTGCGAGAGAATCCGGTTTTTTCGGCTCAACTTTCTAGTTTAACCCGCCGAGTGAAACTAGAAACTTTAGCCGAAAAAACCGGATGCTCTCGCAGGCTATGCATTTAAGGAATCCGGATTTTATGTAACTTTAGTAAAACGTCTCTTAAGGGAGACCCTTAAAACCACTGAAGCATCAGCGATTGCATGGCTACGATGTTTAGTTCGATATTCGATTGCTGACAGGACCAATGCTCAGAGCCTAAAAAACAATTAAGGACGGACTGTAGATACTCCTTTGATGTGCAGCTTTTCATTGGACTATATAAATGGCCATCTACTCTCCACAAACAAAACAGCATCCTTAGGCAATAGACCTATTAATCTTTTTATGTTTTGCCCCAGATGTAGGTCATGTGGTATTACTCTGGAGAAATTTTTTTCTTTCAAATATCTTTACATTCCATTGTTCATAATTTACATTATGAATAATTTATTATCAAGAAAGAGTTTTGTTGGTGTATTAGTTATATTTATTGTTAATTTAATGTCATCTATTTCCATATTTGTTTATTGATTTATCTACTTACTCACCCGCAGTTTATCTTGCTTCTTGTTTCCACGAAATTAATTTATAGATGACAACGAATGTTAGCCAATAGTCCATTTACAGTTACAGATGGAAACGAGGCTGGAGTTGACCTTGTTTTGAGACAACCCTTACGGCTTTCTTATGTAAATCATGTTGTTTTCTTGCTGACTAGGTTTTTTCAATAATTATTTCCATTAGATAAGAAGGAAGCTTTTATCAGCCTCACATTCACTCGAAGGCTAGGGTACTAAGGCCACAACCCTCCCTAGCTTGGCCCACAACCGTAAAATGGTCTAATTTGAAAACGGGTTTGATGTGACTTCTCTTTAACTCAGTGGGTTTTCGTTGACAAGCCTCCACATTTCTCAACTCTTTATAAGTTTGTTTTTTGGAAATAAAGAAAATTGAAAGATGAAAGACTTTTTCAGTTCTTACCTTCTACAGTGGATATGGTCCTAAGTGCTCGAAGAACTCTAAACGTTCGAATTCCTGACAAATTGTAAACATTTGGTATAAGAGTTATATATCTGTAAAGAGAAAAGACAAAATTAGTTACTTGAAAGAAAACACCGTGAAAATTCTCGACATAAGTTTGTTAAAAGTGTGAGCATTTCTCTGAAACGCACAGCTATTTTTTTAGCAAAAATTACGTAACTATTATTTTCCTGCTTTTTGCCGCGACACAAAGAAAGCTGTTTAAAATTAGTTGATCTAATTTTCCCAAGTTGCAATCCATTTCCCCCTCGTCATATCTGGGGCCATCAACATCTCGGTAATAGGGACCTTACGATCCGACAACGGCGACGTCTATGAAAACGTCGCTGATAAAAAGGTTTCGCATCCTGTCACCTTTTTTTCGCAATTATCCCTAGGGGCTTAAGTTACTTAAAAAAAGGGAATTTGCGTTAGAGCTGAAGAGAAGGGGCCGAGCCCGAGTTCAAAAAGAGATGGCAGAAATTATCACCTTGCCGTTCCCGTTCCCAAGTAAACTTAAATTTTGGTCATTTTACGTCGTAGTTGTGCAGGGACGGCAAAGAAATGTCCAAAAAAGCGTGCTGCACGTGTAGAGTTGTTGTTTTGCTCGTTGAACCTATTGCTTTTTGAAATTCCCGTTGCCGTCGCCGTGGTGGTTTCGTATTAGAGACTTTAAGTTAAGACGTTTTTGAGAGACGTGCGTCAACCGGAAGCTGACTTTTTGCATTTGTCTGCAAATTTGGTGGCGTTAATGCATAATACAAAGGAAAAGGTCTCACTTTCGGTTGCGTCGCTGAAAAACGCTTTTGCTTAAGCTCCCTAACTGTTCTATCTTTTGGCTACATTTACTGATGCCTACACCGGAGAAGCAACGGATGTCACTCAAACATAAAAACCACTTTACCAAAAGCTAAAGAAATGAGTGTTTGGTTCGTGCATTCCCAAATGCCACACACAGACTGAAAATTAAAACTATGCCATTTTTGCTAACTGCATGTCTTTCTGCAACAATGCCCACCCACGAAATGTCAGTGCATTAAATAAAACAAAACTAAAGCACTTACCCAAGAATTACAACAACAAAATCTAACCAGTTCCATGGATCTCTCAGGTAGGCGTATTTGTGCATGCAGAATCCTTTTGCTATAATCTTTAAAATCATTTCAACAGTGTAGATTGCCGCAAATATGTACCTATGGTAGACAAAATGTGAGTTAATCAAGCTTTAGCTGCTTCCATGACGTCGCACTCGTTGTATTCTTTAGCCGTTTGGGAAACGCGGACAACGAAATGGCTAAAAGGGCTAGCCCAAAGCAAGAATCAAATAACCGACGCACTCAGCCCCACTTTACCTTACAGTTATAGTAGTTAAAACAAATTCGTTAAAAACAGCCTCGCCCTCTAATCAGTTAAAGTATTTTTACAAATAACGGAGCTAATTAGCTGAACTACTTTAATTTGCTGCCCTTGGTTCGGATCAGCCGTTATTTGGTTGAACGGTTTTTCCTTCTTGGGTTCCAAATATTACTTCTGATTGGTTTATTTAGTTAGATTGGCTGTCATAGGCTAGATTTGGGTTCTTATTATAAGAATGAACGATTTTGTAGAAGGATGAACTTACTCTGGTTCCTCTGGAGCATTCTTTATGGCAAGAAAAATGCAATTCACAATTATAGTTAGAAGTATAAAAAATTCAAAAAATCTGTAGGCAAGTTAAGGAAATACAAAAGAATACAAAATCAACGCATAATTATTTAACATAACAGCCAAAGGTGATTGAAGAAGTGGTTAAAAGTGTGTATAGGTAGGTACATTGTAAATAGAAAAACGTACAGTTCATAATGTCGCAAACAATTGAGACCAATAACTTAGGTCCCTAACCACTTTTAAATGCCTCAAAACACCCTCGGTATTGTCACCTCGTAAAGATTGTGGAACTTGAGAGTCTTCAATGATCCTAAGAGCCTGGCTGAGATATCAGTCTGGTTTAACCATGCAGGATTGCCGGGTAACGGAGAAGAGTCCCGACTTCAGGTTGAGGGTTGAGCATGGGGCCAAACACCACCATCCCCATCAATTACTACAGAAACTACTGGGGACTCGGGTAAAGAGGCCTAAGCAAGAAACAGAATCCAGGCTAGAGAATCCAACGGAGGAATGTAGGTTAAAAAAAATATATGCTATTTTCTGGCTAGCTTAAGCCCCGGGAGGGGGCGGGGGGTACTTCCTTATAAGAGGCTAATGGAGATGTGCCGCTGGATGAGGTCGCTTTTTCACAACTGGATTGACTATAATGGGGTCGCATTTTCGATTAAGTTACTAGAATGTGGTCGCACATTTTCTGATTTTGGGGGTAAGACAGTTCTTCATATTTACGGTTAGCAAACGCACATGTACCAGAATGTTTGTACCGTAGGTGAAACGTAAAGTGTTCTTCATTCAGTATAAGGTAGATACATAAATATCTCCCCTCCCCTTCCCCCGAGGCTTAAGCAGGGCTTAAGCAGCAGCTTTTGGAATTAATTAAAGGATACTGATTTGTGATAAGAATAATTATTGCTCTCCTCACTGAATTGAGCGGCCCAAATAAATACAACGATTTCTCCTTGCTAAATCTAAACACGTATTGCCTACCAAGGCGGTTGGCAACTATCAAAAATGTCTGAAAAAGAAAGGAAATGAACAACACTTGTTAAGAAGCTAAACTGAGAATAGAGGCTTCGCCTTTGAAAATAATATGTAACACACAACCTCACCACATACATTATAACACAAAACCTCGTTATCTCTCTTCTAAATATCCTCCTGTGCTTAGGGCACGAGATGGCATCAAAGGCAAACCGGTTAGAACTACTAATTACCCGCTGAAAGTAACGAGCAGTTATTTCAAAACCCACCAATGATACGAGAAACAACTATGTCAAATGGGAGTGTAAACGTACGAAAGAGGTTTAGGCCCGGGGTCAAAGGGGTGTTTAGCAAATATGACTGTTTCACAATAGATCTCTCTAGATAACTAGAAAAAGATGAAATGTTCCCCAGATATGTCAAGTGGTCAAAAAATAAAAGTGAAGGAAATCGGCGAATTGATAGCAAATTTGCTTTGGATTGTTAAATGAATTAGGGTTTACGATAGAAGAAAAAATTTGTCTTTCTACGTTTGGAATGAATGTAACCAAAGTTTAAAATGAAAGTTTTGAATTATTTAATCTGACTGAATTTGAGCCTTAGAAATGACGTTTGTCGTCATAATTTGTTATTGATTTGCAATGGACGGTCAATCCAAAAGTGAAGCGTTGAAACATTTGAATCGCAAAAATGTTATTACTTGACTTCTTTTCTTAAACGCGTCACCAAACTAAAACTTGTCTTAAACTTATCAGTTATTTACGATTTTAAGTAAAGTGGTCACATGACGTATCACTTGACTAAATGAAGCGATAGTTGTACTTTACATGTAAAATGCTAAGTTAAGGTTTTTTGTACCAATTCTCTTTGACGAAGTTTAAAGCCAAAAATCAGAGGTAAACCTATGAGACCCAGGCCTCAAACTATTTGAGTAGAGGCGAACCTGCACTGCCCAAGCCATTGAAAGATAAAGAAGCGCATGAGAAATTGTTCCGTAGTGGTGGGGTTATGATATGTTTTTGATGTTGAGAGATTTAAAGGGTAAAGGGCTGCAGTACTCTTATTCAAAACGCTCTGCATACTGGTTGGTCGCAAATACAAGCCATTAAATTGAATAGGGTACTTTTGGTAAATAGGAGGGTTGTAATTAAAAGTTTCTATAGCTCGTTTGTCGTCTAAATGTCAGTCATATTTTGCAGCATAATCATGATCTTCAGTTAGCTGTGTTTTCTTCCACTTACTAGCAGCGATCTGAAAAGGGTTTGTTTATTAATTTCAGAAACACACTGAGAATACACAAGCAAGGTAGCAAGAGCAAATCAGTAGTACAAGGTATTAATTAGAGGCACTTTAAAGCGAGACAAATTGACATTGCAAATTAAGTCCTCTTCAATCTGAACCTTTATAATCTGGACATGTAGTAGGAGAAGGCCTCTTATAGTATTCGCTGTACGACCTCTACCGAGAGATTAGGTTGTAGATTAATTTAATAAATTTAACGAGTTTAAGCACATTCAGAAAGATTGTATTAGGTAACGGAAGGGACGAAATGCGGATTTTATTAGATTAATTCTGATTGATTAGAATTACTTGATCTCTGTGTCTCCAAGACGTGTAATGTTTATTTAATCAATCGATGCTGTGGCTGAGGAGACTTGAAAAACAATTTGACCAATACGCTGGCGCACGCTGTGCTTGCGCCGCATCTATATTGGATAGTGACAAAAAAATGACAGATTTGACTTACTGTGCGTAGTTTACGCAAAAAAAAAGCTATTTGTAAGACGATATTATCTCAACATTGGAATCTCGTTCGTTTCACTCACATAATGTTTTATGAAATACAATAGTATCAAATTTTAAAAAGAGTCGACAAATAATTATTCGCGCAAAAAATACAAAGAAAACACAGCAAGAAAAAAGATACATATGTAAACAGCCTAAATGATCTTTTTCAAATTTAAGTAGCCAAAGCCAACAGCAAATGCGTTTGTTCATTTAATTTATTTACATCATAACCTTATTCATTCTATCACTTATTTTCCGGTTCATAATGGAAAAGTCTGAAGAGTGAACGTACAAAAACTATACTGACACAACTGAGAAAACATTATGTCAAAATCCATTTTTGATGAAAGGAATTGAATAATAAGGCTCTTTATAATTATGAAAGGAAGGGGTAATCTCTTCAGTGCATCTTCCATAAATATTTTAAGATTTACGGCACTATTTCATTTGCATCTGAATAACTCCTAGTTCAACTGATTGTGAATCTGTTTAATTGTTTTATCTCAATGTAGTCCAAGTTCGACACGACTTGTGTAACTTTCAACTGTAGCAGATAATATTCTCAATTGTGCATTTTAAATGAAGGGTTTTTAGAAGTATTGGAAAAATAAGGCAAAACTGTATGAATTTGTCTTTTCATAATGAATTCCGCGGTCTGGCACAGCCGGCTTAAATATTTCAATTGCATTTAACGAAAATATTCCTTAACAACGCTAAACAGTTACTTTGGCACTAAATATGAAACTAATAAATATCTTACAAGGTTTGGTCTTGCTTATTTAAAAAAAAAACGTTTCTTCCTCATTTATGTACGTTGAATGCGAAGAAAAGAATTTTGCCGGCAGGATTTACCGCGGGCAAGAGGCCTGCTTTTTCATTAGTCAAATACTGACTCACAAGGATCATAGATCTCATCACGAACTGATGAGCTTTCTCTTTACATTGGTTTAAAATAAGTAACATTACGTAATAAAATCACTAGGAAGAAGTAAGTTTAGGGTTTCATCTCCTCAGTAAAAATTATTGAAATAAAACTCGCCGCGACAAGTAGCATTCAGATACATTCACTTACATAAGTGATTCAAGCGGATTTTTTTCAGTTTTAAATCAATTTTCGTCCAAAACTGTTTGTTTTCTAACTAACAATAAAAGTCTACCTTACATTTATTTATTTTCCATTTCTATTTGGAGCTGAACATGGTTTTAAAAACTACATTGAAAATAGATTTTGCCTGAAACAGAATACAGCTTTTCTATATATAACCAAAATAAATTTACTTTCGTTCCCTGGTTTATAAAATTCTCTAATTTCAAATAAAACCATAGAATTACCACCAACAATTTTGACGCAAGGTGGAATATCGCATCACATTGCCGTAAAGTTATGTACATTTTTTTTGGAAAATCTGAGGTCAAAAATTGATGAGATCGACAACATCGATTTTTCCACCAGTTACCTTTTATAAGTAATACAAAGGAGGGAAATGAATGATAAGGTATTCAAGACATATTTGTATGAAGGCCTCGGTCGATTCAGCCACAAGATTTTCTGCCTTGTTAGATTTCTTCAGAGTTAACCTTCTGGGAAGCCGGAAGAAATTCAACTTAAATTTCACGTAAGATCAATATTTAGCGAAATTATTTGACTTACATTTGTTTGCGGGGAATCGAAATCCTCCAGCGGTTGTCCAAGATATTCTCCTGATATCGGCACGAAGTTGTGGCATGTTTGAGTTTCACTTGAACTTGAATTAAGGGAAATCCCATTTATAGACGTCCCTGATGAGCTATGATTAATATTCCTTTTGCTTGCGTTAGTGCTCAGATTTGAAGTCTTCGGCGCTATTCTAAAACTTGCGCTCGATTTCATGGTTGCGGTTAAGCCGAAATTGCATTTTTAAAATGCTTCATCAAGATCTGAATGTGACCTCCGATTTTTGTCCTGTTGAGTCCCTGATGGCTAATACAATCCTAAAATTAATAATATTTTCCTGCTCCACAGCACTGAAACAAACAAATTAAAAGCCCGCCTCATGGTAAGACTGTCGTACCAAGTTGTTAAAACTATATTGCGGTCCGATTACCCACTTATTTTCTCATGGACGAGGAGACAAACATATTAATATACCAAATACCGACAAATCTGTTATCTCACTCCTCTGTCTTTTTTCTCCTAGGTTAAGCGACTTTCAGACGTGGTACAACTTTATGGTCCGTAAACGAAGACTCTTCGGTGTAAAGTTTTATGACGTAGAAGGTTCTTATCACCATGGAAACCATTGTAGACGTCGCACCTGCCGCGATGGTAAAAGGTGCTGAAGGTTTCGCGTATTGGACTCCAGTTGAATTAATTTCGCGCATATAAATAGATTAAAGCTGGAATTTTAAGCAGGCTTCCAGACTGGTAGAAGCATTTAAAGGCCTTTTTCAACAAATCTAATGAAAAAGAATATCGCATTAACCCATTTTAAAGTTAAGGAAGATTGCCTAACGAGTGCGCGTGCCGTCAATCGATTCGAAAACCATTAGAAAACCTGTTAATGAAATCGACAGTTTGCGGCCAACTCGGTCGTATTATAGAGCCAAACCGATTGTGTGGTTTATGTTGATAAAAGCTGACCCGTTGCAGTTAAAATGGTCGTAATATTTTTGTCACTTTAGGCGGGAAAGCGATTATATTTAGCCTCTCCAATAATAAACTTGACATTTTTTTCCGCAAAATTTTGTTGCCCAGGTGAGCTCTAGAACACCGTAAAACCAGACATCTGGTTTAAGAAAAAAAAAAGACAGAAGGGTGTTGTCATCCCAATGACACAATAAAGTTTCAATGTTATAATCTATACCTAACGATCGCATCTTCAGTTTCTCGAGAAAAGGATGCAAATCGTAATGTAAATCGCAATTTAGTGGTGGGCTTGAGTGAACCTAAAAACAAGACTATGACAGGACTTTTTAAAGTACACCCTAATTTCAAACCTTCTGGTTACATGACGGTATTTGTTAAAGCATAACAAAAATTACCACACAATTTAGCATATTAGATCTCTTTAGCCTTATTTTATATATTTTTTGTTTACTTTTGATAGTTCGAAAAATTAACTGTTTTCGTGAGAAGAGCTCGTGCGTTTTAGTGTCGGTAATAGTACTCACTTTGTCTGATTTTTTTTTCTTTTAGTACTATAAATCTGATTTGGTTGTTGAGACTTGGGAAGAAGTATATACGTTTCGATATGTTCATATCTCTTGAAATAAAGCAACTGTCAGGGAATTATCATAAAAGGGATGCAAAAGATATCAAAATAAAAAACCGGCGCAGCTGAAACGGCGTGATTAATAGACTCAGTCCGTGTGATATATTCCGCAACTGTTGCTTCTCAATTCAGTGTCTCATCTTTTCATTAGTATTACATTAAGTGTTAAAAAAGTTTTTTTTTAATCTTGATCTATTTCTGTTACCGGCTTAGGATCTATGGTGGGTGGTGACGGCCGGCCCGCGCCTGGGTCATAATCATGAATCATGCTTCAACCTTCCTTCAACCTTGTTTTCCATATTTTTGTCCGAAATGTCATGATTGTCCCAAAGAGGCGATCCAAAAGACTACATGGAAATCAGAACTAATAACTCTTTCCTCGTAAACACAATTGACTTGGCTGGATCTGTGCGAAATTTCGTCTCCAGCCTTCTTATGTTCTTTGTAAGATCAATTAGAGGCGATTTGAAACAAATTGTACCAAAAACTAAACGACCGTTTCTTTGATCTTTTTTTTTAAAAGAGCAACTGACACAAACTGCTCGTAAAAGTCGGCAGCTATTAAAACGCTGTTGGAAAGATATCTTATTTCTCTCAAAGGTTCAAGTTTATTTGTAGCTTGATTAATAGTTTTAAAAAGAGAATCAAAGATGTGTCTCAGAAATCTCGACTATACTGCGACAACTGGGCCATTTTAAAGAAATGATGATTTCGTTTGAATTGTAAGCCTTCTATTTGGGTTAGTTTAATTAATGCATAATATTAACTGGAAAGACCAACCCATTTTCACAGGCAATTAAGTTGAGTAACTTGGTCAGATCTAATGCTATAAAGTGAAAAACTGTCAAGTTTGCTTAACACTGATCAAATTTCAGTTTAGTTCTTGACGAAAGTGTTCGTTGTCGGACGTTTCAGGACTTTGGCTGGTTGTTGCTCAAACTAAAAATCCGTACAGTTTGACAAAAGATTTTTTTCACATGAAACAGTTATTTTCAAATCAACACGATAATACCATCGATGTCGTTGATCGAGTATTTGTTGAAGTAGTAGTTGAACGAGTCCGAACGGGTTGGACGGTAAAGTTAAGAGCCAAAACCAGTTTTTTTAAAAAAGCTAGGGAAACAAACACACTATGTTATTTCAAGAGCTTAAAACACCTTTCAAAATTAAAATAAACATATGCACGCAGAAAACGCATTAATGCACGCAGTCGGCAGCTGATATGAATCCTGATTATAACACAGACGTTGCTCGAATGTAACTAAACATTTACATGTTAATATAACACCTCGCTTTCTAGATTTGAAACCCACTGCAGGCACAGTGGATAATTAAATAGCGGCAAACATGACCATTAAAGCTACGACTAAAATATTTTCAAAGACGAGGGGAACTTTAGAAGGCAATTCAAAATTGTGTTCAGAATGCGATCCTGCTATTTAATTTGAATTAAAACAAAAGGAAATGTAAACAGTATTCGGCTTCTCTTCAGTGCGTCAGTAAACGTTGCTTCTTCAGCGTAGCAGATTGTAGCTACTGTAGACATCTTAACGAACATTTTATGGATTCAAAAAGCCGTTCGATAAAGAAAAAAAATCCCGTTACATAAAACAAACTTGATTTGTTAACTATCCTGAATTGAGCGCATTGAAATTTTGTACGAGCAAAGAATGACTTTAATATACGACTGGAGCTTACGTCGTCGGTAATAAAGCAGGGATAAAAAAGAGTTTGGTCGTATTTCATGTCTTCATATCCTAGGTTTGAACAACCCTTAAATTTGACAAAAATATAAATAATTATCGATGAAGATACAACAACATTTTTACGTAAAAACTGCCGTGTCATGAAGAGAAAGGAAAGAGAAGTAGCCTGCTGCCATGGTAACCAGGGGAAGACTAAACTTTTGTGTTCCTTGTTAAAAGAGCCTTACTACATGGTTTCTAGCATTCACAGTAGTACCGAACATATAGTTTGATACCGACTTATCATTTTGAGATCGAAAAGGGGATTTTTTTATGAGTGCTTTCATGTATCTTATAACGGTCCTAAGGAAAATCCCCAAACCGAAACACTCGATTTCAATGTGAATATTCACGTGCTCAAGCTGAGCGTTTGTACAAGGTTCTAACAGAACGAGATCTGAAAAGATGGCCTCGATTATATTGTAAATCGTTTTGAGTTTTCAATGGTAAAAATAATTGCTCTTACAATTACTGCTCCTAAGACTTCTCCATTGAGTAGAAGCCGATATACACCAAATAATTGTAGGTAAAACAGACTGGATACACTGAGAAATTGATCACACACTAAAAAAGTAATCAGCAACTTAAAAGCACAAAATTCTCACAAAACAGAAACAAGAGCTAGAAAAAACATAAATGAACTTACTACTGACTAGCCTGCCGAGAAAAAGCCTTTTATTAGCTTGAAGCGGGCATATTTACGGAAAACAGTGAAACAATTAAGGCTGTCGGCTTTATGACGGAGGAAATGGCAAAGAATAAAACAGCTTGGTTTAATACAAAGCGCAGCAGCCAGCTTAAAGCTTTTTCTCCTAAACTCTAGCGTCGGAAGTTGAAGAACACAAATGTTTAAGAAAAATAACATAAGATATCTTTATTTTGCCTGCAGACTAAGGAAGAGTGGAAAATTAACAGCTGACCTGACATAATAGATATCAATGTTTTTAACTCAATTGGTCGCCACCTTACATGACAACAAGAAAGTTACAAAGCCAATATACCATGCGACAGAAAAAAAAATCGAATTTTATGTGCTAAACACGCTCATAGGCATGCCCACGATTAGAGCCGATGAAGAAATGTAAAGAAGCCAGATACGGAAGTTATTTACCTCGCATTTTGGCTCTTCTATTTGTTCTTCTGCTTGTTGAACTGTTGCTTCTGCTGTTGTGTTATCTACAGCGAACGCCGTGGCAGTCCTCAAAATGCCGGCAGCTCCGACCACCAAAGAAGAACTTTTAACTTTGGCCCCTTGCTTTGGTTCATGATTGTTATCTTGCGAAGAAGGTGCTCCTGTTGATTGATCAGAGTCTAGGCCATTTTCTCGCGAGTGTAAAGATTGAAGTGATATTGTAGGATAGAGAGAAGGCAATCTTACTGGCCTTCCACTCCGCGTATTCGTAACATCAGAAAGTTCTGAGTTCAATCGAGTTCTCGCTCGCTGGTTAACCTGAGAAGCTCGTGCCACAGCTGCGCTGGATATAACTGGCGCAGCAAACCGTACCATTGTTAATATTGTAACCTACTGCGGTAGGCAGTACATATTTCAGTTAAACACTGTCTTCCTTTCGAATACATTGAAAATTATAACGATCCTCTTAGTACAAGTCTCTCAACCTCACAGAGGTTCTTCACAGTTATACCAGCGACCTTGGCCTGAAGATTCTCGGCTAGTTGTCCAAACTTGCTTGTAAAGCTAACAACTCATTTGCTCCCTAAAATTCACGACAGTCCTGCTAATTCACGTTCAATTATTAAAACTTTGAGGTCTACCATTGGTATAATGGCAGCCGAAAAGAAACGGCGTTTAAGTATCACGAAAAACCTTCGTAACCTTTAAATTTGCGGTGATTACTTGACTACGTATTGTTCAAGACGGCCGCGCTACCGTTTGGTCGAGTTTACTAGGTTGTTTTCATATTTAATCTCCGATTCGGCTTTGACAATTTCTCAAGACAGCGCCGGGCAGGTGGCTTTGTGGGCTGAAGAATAAATTTATGTAAATGACAGTGTGCATTAACGGGTTGACTTCACAATGAACTCAAGTCGTACTGCTGTTATCTATTTCTATACAACACTGAGAAACTGAATTGCATTTTCCCGATTATTATCTTAAACGCCTTGTAATTAATCCAAACACAAAACAGAAAGTTATGTTTTCGGTAAAAAGAACTTTTCTGGCTTTGTTGACATTTAAAAAACACTAGTTGGTCGGATGGCGCGCACCAGCCTGGCTTCTAAAAAAAAGTCGCCGGGTCTGTGGGAAATTTTAAAAGTTTTCCTTTGATGTAAGCTAGAAAATAAATCATTCGTCGCTATCAACACAACTAGAATAATCGTTTCTTTCTTAGATCTTAAGGAGGTTTTCTTTAATACATCCCGATCCACATGCCAAGTAAAGTCATGTTATTATTTAACTCTAACTAAAGGAACTTACAATTCAATGCGTAATGCCTGTATTCTACGACCTAAATTAGTTTTCTTCTACACCTTGCGGTCGTGTGTGGCTTAGACTAATATCCTTTTTAAACGAAAGACTATTCTTTGAGTTATACGGCATAACTACGTTTTTTAACATTTTCCATTTTTAATAGAAACAGGAAGCAAAAAAGGATGATAACTGATAAATAAATATTCTGATGGTGAGTCAAAAACGAAAAGACATCTCCGTAGATATAGCTATTCTAAGTAACTAATATACGAAACGTGTGACAGGAGTACACAAACTACTAACTGTCGGCACAATATAGCAATTAAACCCTTGCTGCCAATTGGCTTAACGCTGACTATTCCAGTTCTATCTTTAATTCAGCATTTTTTTAAGCTCATGCTGCCGCTGCTTATAACGACACATCACTGAAAGTTGTACATAAAAAAATCAACACATCTGCTAGTTACAACAACATTCTCGCCTTATCTAGTTTGTTACTTTTCTTCTTTTCATCAGTTTGATTTGATCGAGTGAGTTTGACTGGCGCATGATTAAATGTTTTTAGCATAATTCATTGTTTCATTTTGTTTTGTCTACGAACTGTGTTATTTTCAGAGAAGGTCCATACAAAATGGTGAAAAATGAGTATACTTTACTGATCCAGCTCCATTGGAAGTCATAACACAATTTCTAAATAATGAATCTTCAATATTTCAAGTATCGACGCACCAGATTTGCTGATTGCACTAGAATGTGCATCATCTTAACGCCAAACGAAGTTCGTTAGCAACCCGAGTGTTTTTTTCTTTTGCGGAACGTAACAACAAATCGTTTCCAAGAAATTCAAGTAGGAATTTTTAACAAGCACACCGTCGAAAGTGAGGTATTTGAAATTAAAACAGTTTGTAGAGGAAACAAGTTATGTATGTTTAATCAACGCATGCCTAGATTACGCACATCGAATTTTCACTGAAAGATATAAACTAACTTAATGAAATGCTTCATCATTCCCAACATGATGTCAGCTGACTGATGATTTCCCGCCAAGTCAGGACTGGATGACGGATTGACCTAAAGTTCAATCAATTTCTTTTCTCGACAACAACAGCTGATAACGAAATCACATCATGAATTGTTGAAGTTACTGTTGGACAAAATCGTAAACTAAATATAATCAAAGCATTAATCGTATTAACAAGCTTCTACTTGAGTTCAAACCATCAAGATTCAAGGCCATCTTTTTCTTAGGCTGGAGTATGAGAACGTGGCTGGAGTATTTTGATGTAACAAAGTTGGCCCAAACTGGGTCAAACTAAATTAACCGAATTTTTGCTCGGTTTTTCACTCCAGCACTCATCATTGACTGTTTAAAAGTCAACCCTATTTTATTTGTTGATCGTTTCAGGGTGGGTACCGTTAATCTGAGCTGTGCCAAGCTTTCGGTGCACTAGTGAAAAAAGCGGGCGAGCAACCAAAAAGTAAGTGAGCGAAAAACGGCGCGAAGAGTGGACTACGAAAATGGCTACGCCGGTGGCTGAGGTAGGCACAGTCCTCGTTTCTCGCGTCTCGCGGCTTCGCCGCTCTCGCTCGAGCGCGCGTGCACTCCCCTCACTAAATCTGGATAAGAAGAGAGACTGTTCGCGGTCTACGGGAAGAGAGAAAAGGAGAGCGTGTAAGACACCTCAGTCCACCCACTACCTCGACACTTCTGTGAAACTGTTTGCCTTGTCAAAATGATATCAAAATGTGCGGTATGGGAAAATTTCACAGGCTCGCCTGTTTGTTTGACTCTGCACGTGTGTACGTGTTGACTTAAACCGTCAAAATTGACCAATCATAGGGTATACCAGGAGCCGATAAACCGGATAACAGATATATTAGAAACTTATTACAGAAGAAGGCAATGTATCAAACTAGCTGCCCTTTCAACTTTTATCTGTGCTCAGCAAGGTCGACTTCTAATTTCGACGGCTTGATAGAGCTCTATCAAATAAGAATCTGTTGATATAAACAGTTTTAACTTGATCTACCAAAAAAGTGCATCTTTTTAGCCCTAAATAGCACTGACGCTTTTAAATTGTTAAAAGTAAATTAAGTTTAATAGCTTTTCACTCCCACAAATCATCAGCACACGAATGGTGTTATAATTGCATTACACCGTATTTCCTGATTATCAAATGAACACCGACAGCCTCTTTCACCCACTAATAGGCTGTCTTTAGCAACAGAACGGCAACGTCAGTTCTTGACGACGGAAAAGCTCGCAGAAAGGCTAAACGCCATTTCCGGTGCCCAGTTTGCCACTCTGCCATTGGTCGAGCCAGTTGTTTGATGAGCGCCCGCCGCCGTCAGCTGAAGTTCCCGTCTCAACGTTGGCCTTTTTTTCGGTACAGCTCTAGGGTATAAACACAGGTTTTTCCTGCAGATACTCCTCAAAAAGAAGATAACATCCATCGATCAATATGTTTTGCGTCTTCCTTCCTTTCCTTCCGCAATATTTCGTCTTCGGACTAGCCGCGAACACCATTTTTGTGAAAAAACGGCTAGGCCGCCGTACCTGGAAACGACGTTGATCGATGCTCTGAGCCTTGTTCTTTCTTCAATGCTCTTCGCGCGGACGGCTTCAAATTTTAACATGTCTTACTGTCCCTCAAGTATGGTTGATAAAAATGTGAAGTATATCGTTAAAAGTTCTGTTTTGTTAAAAAGACTGCAATTTTCAAAAGCATGGTAGCGTCGAAAGTTATAATCCTGGCATTTTGCGTGACACAACTTGAAAAGACTGAAAACAATGATCATAGGAGGGAAAGAAACGTATTAGGTTTTTGCTATATTAGAAATGTGTCAGATGTCAGTGAACCGGATAAAATCTTTTGCCATTGTACGAATTGTTCATATTGAGCAACTCCTAGGGGTTTTAGGGAACACGGGAACAGGGAATATTGTCAATATATTTTCAGGGAACAAGGGAGCTTCGGATTAGATTGTTGGGATAAAGGGAATAGTGGTCAACACTACCTGAATCTACTTTCAATTATATTTTTTAACTTTCCGAGCCTCTACAAGAAGATATAACGTCAATTTTTCGTAGATGGGTCATTAGTCTTTTTTCACATGACTGTCAGGAGATCATTATGTATTACAAGCCACGCAAGGTATCTTGGGAACGTTTGGTGCCACAGCCGTGACACCAGGCCCTCAGGGAACCGTTTCATCAGTTGTCATGAAGATGAAATAAGGATCCTGAAGTGTCTGCGAGACATAAGGGACCTCCTAGACCGTTTTAACCCAGCCTTACCACCGAATTTAGTATCAAAAGTCTTTTAACGCTTGTTGTCGAAAACGCATTTTCAGAAATGAAAAGTGGTACCACTGCCATGCCCTTAGAGCTTGAATTCGATTACAGATTCAGCAGGACAATTAAGGAGCGGTTGAACTAAATGAAAAGGCAAGTTTTACACCATTTGCTTACTTCAAATCTTCCAAATCCTGCTACCCACAGGTTCACACCACAACACATTACATGGGTTTACCCAAGTTACCCCTCCGACTGAAAAGCACACAAACAATCTGAAAAGCAGGTAAATGAAATGAGAAACTGGAGAACAATGTATGGTCAGAGCGTCCCCAGAAAACAGTACGAAGCATGACAACAAAGGAAAAGATCCAGGAACTCTGCCTATAAATCTGTAAGCAGCTGACTCTCCGACTGTGCAGCCTCTAGATTTCACTGTGCTGAGTGAGGCAGCAGCAACCCCTGTGCCACATAGGGAAACAACTGAGACTTTGTACAAACTAAGTCAGATTGTTTTTGTTAAAGCTCGGATTCCAGTGATTCTCCTCAACTGTCCGCTGAATTGTTCATAACAGCCTGTCTGCAAGAGAATGTGAGTGTCGGCATGAAGAGGGTGAAAGCCAAAGTGTTCATTCAAGATCTTTTCAATCCAGTGCTGTACACGGAAGATGAGGAGAGACATTCTCCGATACGTGCAACATTGTTTGTGCCATAACCAGCTATAACTACCGTGAAGATATCTTAGAGCTTGAAGAAGGTGATGTTATTCCTCTCCTTGATG